ATAGATATCAGATTGCCAAAATCACTCACATACATCTACACCTCGACCAATTTCCAGTGGTGTTGTGCAGGGCAGTGGTTTTTGGGTCCACTACTTTTCATAATCTACATCAACAGCATATGCAGTTGTTTCAACACTGGTAAAACCTACCTCTATGCGGATGACCTAAAAGTGATTTATCAAACTAGCAAATCTGACTTAGGAAACTTGTTGCACACATCCAGCACGAACTCAATACTGTAGATGTCTGGTGTCAGCAATGGAACCTTGAACTTAATACTAAGAAGTGTGGCTGGATGTGTTTCGGTGACATGTCTCCCAAATTAGATCTCATTCTCAACAGGAATGTATTGCCCAAACTCACATCCGTAACTGATCTTGGAGTGCATTATTCGCACAACCTTAACTTCTCCGAACATATCTCCAATAAAGTTTCTCGAATGAGAAGAATGCTTGGTTTCATCTTTCGTAACTTCCTTCATAGAGAATCCAGAACAATTCTCTATAAAACATGCGTAAGACCTATTGCTGAATACTGCTCTTTCTTATTTTCTAACGTACGCCTGTCTGATATGTTGAAGCTTGAAGGAATACAAAGGAAATTTACTCGTAAAGTCCTAAATCATAGCTCACCCATTGTAGAATTCTTTTTGAATGTTTTGTGTTTTGGAAAATCCCTCCATGTTTACATATTTTTACTATGACATGATGGACTTTTTCTCTTGACATTTTGGTATTTTATTTGATTCCAATTTGAGATTTTATCATTGTATATTGTTATTCTTTCTATATTTGTACTTATATTGAAGTTTTTGGGTTTGCTTCTGAACTGTACATATATTGTTTAAATTTGATATAATATGGCTACCGCCACATTTTCGGACGGACGCAGTGGCTGCTGGACTTAGCTTCACTTATCGGCTATTGTGTTGGATACTCTGCGGAGTAACTAAACCCTGGAAGAAACACAAATTCCTTAAGGCTTTGTATTTCCATTTTCTAATAATACAGAGACGTTTTCTCCTAGAATTTTGTCCTTTTTTGCGTTGGTTGGGACCCGGAACTAGGAAAAGCGTACAGGAGTGTTTCTATTGGAAACAATTGGGACAGCCACTGTCGAAATAAATCTACACCCATTGACTATCCAACCCGATGTATTGAACTCGGGCTCGATCCATTATGGAAAAGAAGGCTTAAGTCCAATCTGATCCTTTACTTTAAACTCCTGCACAAGCTCACATATTCCTCCTCTAGTTTAGTCCTTATACATGGTCCATAACCTTCGAGAAAAAGTATCTACGGTCAAACTTGAGAAGTATAGATCCAAAACTCGAGAAAACTTCTTCCTCTCTAAGTATGCACTTATATGGAATAGGCTTCCCTCAAAAATACACATGGCAAGTGGGTTACATGAGTTTGTTCAACTTCTTAATGATGCTCTCAGTTGCACTGACTCTTCTGCGCTCGTGAACTCACTCGCACCCTGCTTTCATATTAATAGCTCTGCATACGCTTTAAACACAATGAACTCAGTGCTGCGTCTTATTTAGTTATTTTTACACTCCCAAGTAGCACTAATTTTTCTAGTTGAATATAAATCTCTTTAGTTTTTATTTGAAATAGACAGGCTACTCTACTCAATGGGTCGATCGACACTGTTCAACTGTAAACTGGTTGACTAGAATGCACTCTACTCTCCTGGGCGCAACCTTATCAACACTTACAACCGTGTGAGTTTCACATTGCCTATTATCAATTATACTGTTCTCACTTACACGCTATTGACTTACCTTGGCCCCTTAGTGTTGTCTATTGCTCCACTTTTATCTGTGATACTCTTTATATCTCCTGCTTAGCTAGTTTAGTACATCTCCCACACTACATTCTTAATGCTTATATCTTGTTTGAAAATTCTTACTATTTCTCCATAACTGTTAACTGTATAGCATTGATGCCTAACCAATAGTTCATAAGTTGTAATAGCCAGACGAGTTTGTGAAAGGAACTTGCAGAAATAGTGTTTCTGAACAGGATGCGAGACATAGAACACCAAGTAGAACTCAATAGCTTCTTTTAAACATTTAACATGAGCCTAACAACACAAAAGGAGGGAGGGTGGAGTTACTGACCAGCAAACATTGATGGTGTGGGCGATAACTTCAAACCACCCATGTTTGTGGGGCAGAACATTTTGTTTGCTTTCGGCTCTTTAGATTGACGAGACGACTAATCAGTAACACTGAGGTTGCTCTTATACGCTTGCTACTTCTGTGGTTCATGTTTCCAAAACTATGCTGAGGTCGCTATTCTGTCGAGACACCTGCAACATTCTTACTCAGGCGCTAACAGTATGACTTAGAGGTTGGCATTCAATAATAAAGAAAAAAAACAGTTAGACAGTGCGAGATTTTATTCTTCAAATTTTTATTTTTACAAACTCTACTCTTTCAACTAGAATTTCAATTTCAACGTACGGAAATCCAGCTTCTTACTTCGACTTCTCTTCTGTCCACCTGACACTGCACAACTCTCCCTTCTTTTTTGCTGTACTCCTTTATCTGTGTTATATTCTTATATTCCCATAATTTACTTTAATTTAAGTGGTCAGTATGAATTTTATCTTGACTTACTACTGTATTGACTACTTCAACATGACAGGTTAAGTAGTGCTTTGGTTATATATATTCACTTGCCACACTGCTGCCTTTTTCTCTCTCTCTTCTCCTTTTCAGAAACCCATTCACGGTGGGAAATCCTTGGCTACTCTACGGAACATGCACCCTAGGTACATGACTGTCTGGATCACAGCTCGTACAAGCGCGCTCCATATGACCTTACCCAACAAATTCACTATTGATCTCGGCAAATCGCCAAAAGAACCTATTGTGCACCTTCCTTCCTTATTTGTACTCTACTATTGAAAATGAGGCTGTACAATAATGTTTCTGTCAGTGACATGGTGTAAATATGCAATCAGAAACTGACTCATACTTATTTTAACTGCTATAACTTTACAGTAATTGTGAAAGCATTTGTGACAATTTGATCTAGCCTGTAAACTGGCGTGACTCTTGTAACGTAGTTATTTGAGAATAAATTATTATTATTATTATTATTATTATTATTATTATTATTATTATTATTATTATTAATGACTGACAGGTAGAAGAACACACTCGGCCTCCGAACGGTGAAGTTCAATCACAGTCAGAGACGCGTATGGAACTGGGTAAGGGACTTGAACTGATAGTCAGTAAGGGATTTAAGCACTCAAAGTTGACAATACCGACATGGGTCAGGAAGTCGTCGGACTCATTCATAACCAGTTTTAAGCAGCGATAGCGAGTAATAAAAGGTGAGTGATGATCACCAAAAGTTCGGCTTATTGATTAAATACTGTCATCGAAGGAACGTTCTCGCGGGTTCTGCGGTCAGATGAAGTCGCAATACTTTTCGAGCTCCGACGGACCAACTTCTCGAAGGAGAAGACTCACTTTCCAAGTATCATCTCCGTCAGAAAGTCTTCATAACGCCTGAACTAGTCATCAAATGTAATAGTGGTGTCAGGATCATAAAGAAACTCTGAAATACCACTGGTAATACTGTCGAGTGATTTCGGAATTGCCTTTTTGGATAGGACTCGAGTAGAGGTGTTCGCCTGAGTAAGCATCTTCATGAGCATCAGAAGTTATTCAAACAACCTTACTAATATGGCCGGATCCATAGTTAGTCACCAGCCCCTTCGTCAGGTTCCTCGTCGCCAAATACTGTGGTCCGCGTATGGCCGCTCAAAATTATACCGATCGGCCAACCTCAGATATTCCCGTACAACCGATAATTATGTTCCCGAAATCCCCAATATATCAGAACACAAAACCGTCAAATGAGAGTTGTTTATGGGATCAAAATGCAGACTAGAAATTTAAAGAAACGGCGTATTTATACAGTTAGGACGACCGTAGACATCGGTCAATTAGAAATGAGACGTGAAAAGTCTGAAATATGTGAAAGCATGGGGTCTTACGTTTAATGATAGAATTAGACTTAACAAAATAATGTATGCGATATTTTCATGAATATCCCAACAAAATTGAGTTTCAAAGATCGAACACCTCCAATCACCTGGAACCGTACCGAAAGAACAAGAAATAAATCGGTTTATACTAGCTTGTGAAAAAGATATTGGATACTGGAACACTCAGGTTTGTGCATACTTCTTCTCACTATGAGTTGCTGCAACTTGGAATGTTCTTCTACCCAAGGTGACCACAGCACCTCAGTGAACAGCTTAAAGAAGAGACTTGATAAGCACTTATGGATTATTATTTTCTTCCTGAACAGTCTGTGCCTGATGCATGTGTCGAGGCCGGCTAGTTGTTATTATTTTCATTTACTCTACTCACAAACTTAATAAACTAAATTATCAATTTATTTATCAGTCCTGAAATCTTATTATTAACATAAGAATTTTCTCCTTGACATTTTCCACATTGCAACTAACTGATCTTCACCCTGATAATTTGATAGCTGATGGTATCCAGAAACCCTACTTCCCTGAAACAAACGTTTTATTCAAATCCCGAGACATACAAACTCACAACCAACTGCCAACAGACTAGAATTAGACAGTCGAGTGGCTAGACCTCCACCCATCGGACATAACCGAACACCTGGAACCGTACCGAAAGAACAAGAATCGAGCGCAAAGAAACAAATTGGTTTATAATAGCTTGTGAAAAAGATATTGGATATTGGAAAGTGTGGTGGGTTTTTTAAATGAACAAGGACAAGTTCGATTTAATTGGTCGTTGTGAGCTTTTGAAATTATTTGTCATTCTGATTGCTGAACACTGAGCATGAGCTGGCACCAATATTTAAAAATATCTAATACTGGCTAGTCAATATTTAAGAAACTGCTTAGCTGTTATAGTTTTTAAAATTTTTAGCACGCTAATTAGTGTGTTCTCTACTATTTATCTTGTGTGCTAATTCATCAGATAAAGGCGAAAGATCGAAAATGTTATAACGTCTTGGTTTGGATCGCTTATTAGATGTTCGGTGCATATCTGACACATGTCTCAGATAAATACATCTCATTAGATTATGAACCTTCGACAATTTTGCCAGTTTCTTGACCACTGCTACAGCCAAACAACCATGTCTAAAATCAACTTCATATTACTTAAAAATGCTTCTGGAGTAGTGCTCACAATTATATATGTGTGAAGTGCATGGTTTGTAGCTAACTACCCTGAATTCTATATGTGATATCATGAATGTGCCGCTTTTATAGCGTTTAACATAGAGCATGGTGGGTCAGTTCATCCAGTCAACATTCCCATTGTGAGAAAACGGTGGTTTTCACGTCTGATGCTACATTTGTCATAAGTGACGGTGTCAACCCTTTAGTGGAATAGATGTAAGATTGATAACTTACTAAGTAACCTAACGACTCCACAGTTTCTATAATAAATAGCTATTGTCTTACCGTCTAATTGCTGAAACAGTATTTTGACTGATTAGTCACTACGCTGTTAGCTTCCCTAAACATCGCATAAGCCCTACTGAAGAATAAGTGTCAGACTGATCAATTAATAAAATTAAAGTAATCATTCTGTATTCAGTAATCTAAACAGACTGTACAATAATTTCGAAATGGGTCTCTCTACATTGCCTAGGTCACTTGCTAAATTCATAGGATAACTACACGTCCAAAAGCAAAAATTATCAAATACACACAGCTACTGCCTTTGTTTAAAAGCTCAGTTAAATTTCATTGACGTTTTATCCTTGATTCTGTCAGTATCTCAGAGATTAAATGGTCTATATTCGACGATCAGATCAATTTACTGCAAACAATAAGATCTACCTGCTAAGGCTAGTAATAACCATGCGTTTCAATTCCTCAACGCATGTTAAAATCGAATTCGGCTATTTGAATATAGTCGGGCGGTCTTCTGAATGCTAAAAGATATATCGGTCATTGAAAAAGCTAAGTTTTTGGCCTAAATAAAATAATTTATTTCATTTAAAATAAGTAAGTGGTGCTCTCTTACTTAAGATATTTTTCGTGATATATGTCCTTAAAAATATCCACTTGCAATTCTAGTCAATATGTAGCCTTAAAGGAGTAACCGGAATAGCAAATAGTACTATTAGAGTTACATTACTGTTGCCACTGACACCAATATTGGATTTTTCATTAAAAACATTGAAATTGACAGAGCTCACTACCATAAATGCTGTTGAGTGTGTCAGCGCGTTTGTCACTTCTCGGTTGCTCACACTGGATATGTCTTGAGGCACGCAATTAAGGAAATAGGTTAATAGTGGTCCTTGCAACACAGGAGCATCACTACAACCCCAAGAGACAACTGCCTAGGGTAGGCCACACAGCATTTTTGTGTGGAGTCTTATGTGCGTTGACTTCGCACTATCACGGCCTTTTCATCGCCAACATAAATCTGCTGCCACAGAAAGTGGTTTTCTGTACAAAACATATTTTTATCGTCATATCGCGGTACAGTCAGCTGTAAAACTCCTCCATCAGACCTTAAGCTACTAGTTTTATTCTAGCTACTGTCTAACAATAGTTGTCTTCCCGGACCTAAGAGCATTCAACCCTGTTAATCGTCAGGTCCTGTGGCAGTGTCTGTCATTAAAAGATGTACGAAAGAAGTACATTAACCTTATACAAGCTCTCTACTCGAACACTACTGGTCGGATGAGAGCTTATGGTGAGCTATCATCAGAATTCTTTACATCAGGGCTGTTCACTCTCTCCATTCTTGTTTAAGTTTGTCGTATGTATGTTTTTAGAGTCAACATTATCCTCGTCAGATTTTTCAGGAGTAGACCTTCTACCAGGAGACATGCTTGATGACTTAGAGTATTCTGATGACAGTTCTATTCTGTGAAGACGCTGACAAAATACAAGCGTGTTCGGGATCCGGATTTCGCCGTTGATATGCAAAATGTTGCTTCGGGATTGGTTTGTATCGGCACCTGAACTAGTGATAGGAAGTGAAGTAGTTGAGCGTGTCGACCGCTTCACTTATCTGGGGAGTTTCATCAGCGCTGATGGCCTGGTGACTGAAGAAATCTCAGCACGGATACAGAAGACTTGATCGGCCTTAGCCAACTGGCGTCACTTATAGCGTAAGCCAGATATCCGTTTGCCAACCAAAGGACGAGTGTACTGCGCAGCAGTTCGATTCGTCCTACTATATGGATATGAAACATGGTCGGTGAGAGTAGAGGACATTCGTAGGTTGCTTGTCTTCGATCATAGGTGTCTCCGAAGCATTGCTCGTGTATCGTGGTACAACTGAGTAAGCAATGCTGTCGTTAGGAAACAGGTCCTGGTTAAGGATAGCAGATCAATAAATGAAGTAATGAAACGTCATCAGTTGAGGTGGTTGGGACATGTGTTGCGTAAGCCTAACCTCTGACTGCCTCTTCGAGCTATGTTTTGTGATGCAGGAATAGGTTGGAAGAAAGCTAGAGGCGGCCTAACCAAAACATGGCAGAAATCCATGAAGTCACTGACAAGTGGACTGAGTCACTTTGGTAGGTGTTGAATACCTTTTTGGGACCCACGAGATGATAGTAATCGATGGTTAGAGACCCTGAATGGCATGGCTCAAAACCGTTTGCAGCGGCTCAGGTGCATTCATTCTTTGTGTTCTCTCAAATCCTCACCTTCGGAGTTCTTTATCACCCTTACCTTTTTCTTTTTAAGTTTATTTCATTAGATTCTACTTCTTGAATAATATCGTCGAACCCTAATCTCTCCGAATAATTCTAATATTTCTACCACCTCTACTACTATGGTATTCGAAGTGACAATTGGGAATAGGTTGGAAGAAAGTTAGGGGCGGCCAAACCAAAACATGGCAGAAATCCATGAAGTCACTAACAAGTGGACTTAGCCATGTCGGTAATTGTCGACTACCTGGTTGGGGTCCGCGAGATGATAATAATCGATGGTTAGAGACCTTGAATGACATGGCTCAAAATCGTTCGCAATGGCGCCAGTGCATTTATTCTCTGTGTTCTCTCAAATGCTAATCTTCTGGATTCTTCAACCCCTCTAGTTTCGACTCTCTAAACTTTTCTCACTGAATCATACTTCTTGAGTAGTATCTTCTAATCCTAACCTCTCCGATTATTTCTAATTCCCTTACTACCTCTTCTACTATTGGATTTGAATTGACGATTACTTCTCTGTGCTGATGTGGTATGGCAACATGAACTGATGTACTTATGTACAAAGTTCTACGTTGCATCTGACTGACTGACCGAAGTGACAATTGCGTCTTTGTGTTAATGTGGTATGGCAACCTGAACTGATGCACGTACGTACGAAGGTCTACGTTGTAACTGATTGACTAACTGACTCTCTAAATTTATCTACCTTCTTACTACTCTCTTTACAAACTGAAAACGTTAGAGAAGTAGATATATTTTTGATAGTTCCTCTCGACATTGTTGATTTCATCTTTGAAGTTTTCTAATTTTTTTTTGTAGAATTTCATAAATGATTCAGAATCAGTCTGTAAATCAAGTAAATAATAATCAAACAAAGCGTAGCTCATATGCAAATTATAGCAAGCAACTTCAAAATACAACAACATCTAGCCAACAATCACACCAACAACAGATTTGGCTATCATCTTTACCAGCTGGTTGGAAGCGTGAAGAATGTATGCGACCAAATGGATTAGGCACTGGCAAATCAGATGTTTATTATATTAGGTAATATACATATTGTTAGTTAATGTCATTGATTTCCCTACCTCCCATATTTTGACAGTCCTCAGAATCAAGTTGTACGAAATAAGCAAGAAATGCAGACGATCTTAGGTGATAAATATGATATTGGTCTGTTCGATTGGAGAACCGGTAAATTTACAATGAATAACAACACCAGTAATAATAACATTAATAAGTCCAAAAAAGTGGAAGAACCAGCTACAGACATGTCATCAGTATCATCACCAGCGACTAAAGGTATCACTATTATATTAAATCGTACTTACAATTTCCAGTTCCACGTGTAGATAATCAGTGTAGTTTACCAATGAGACGGTGTCCATTCTTGATATCGAATGACATTAAGCCAGTTATTGTACGTTCTCATCCTGAATGTAAACGAACAGATGTGAAAAATACCAATCAAGAAACACCTCACCAGGTAAGTATTAAAAATAATTATTAACTTATTATAAAATGAATTTTAGTTATTTTGGGAAAAACGATTAGCTGATCATATGGCTATTGATCCAGACACTGGGGAATCTTTCAAACCAATTTCTTTGCCCAAAGGAATACAAAGTAAGTTTAAGATATGCCTCGGCTGCATATTTGTATTGTAATTTCATATATATGGTGCATTGTGACTCTGTAACTAAGGTTGATGAGCGTACGGTTTTTTAGTGATGTGGACAATAAAGGAAAAATCATAATGAAAGGTAATTCCCCTCCATATCTTCGTCTCCTGGTTGGTTACTTAAAATAGGGGGAGCTCGTGTAACAATAGGCATGAGGGTTTTGATCACTGTCCAAGGATGTTTGTGTTACTGGTCAAGAAAAATTGGTCTGTTTAGTGTAGAGTTAACTAGTTATAAGTGGACTATATAATCAAATAATCCGTTCAAGCTGACAAAATAGGAAAGATTGTATGTATGATAATCAATACTTACTTTGAAATAGATTTATATAATTCACTCTTCTATGTTGCTAGGTGCTGGAGTACCAGGTTACCAACCTACCCAACTAATCCAAAGTTTAGTATATGCGTTATCATCATCCTCTAAGAGTTCGCCCATTATTGGTCAAGAACAACAACCTTCAGCTATTGAGAAAAATCCTTGTGTTGTGATAAACCATTTACAGCCAATGATTAAAGTACGTTTGTCTGTTTTGTAATAGTTATGCACTCTTACTATTGTCATCTATCTTGATCAATTTATTTTGTGATCCGCAATGTCTTGAATTGACTGGAGTCCAACATGTAAACCAGTGAATTTAACCTCTACGGTCACGCAACCAGGACTCTAAGACCGACACTAATCTACCTTCCTTTTCAGGTTCCTCAAGAAACACCGTTCCATGGTGTGGACAGCCGGGAAGTACCAACCACCCTCATAACCGTAGCAGCACACGAGATCAAATTGGTCGAAATCAAATCCTTCCTACACCCCCTAATATCTCTCTTATCTTCACGACTAACTCTTCCCACATTCCTTTATCACCCTGGATCTCTGCTGCAAACGATTCGTGTTCCCGAAACATTATGTCTGGTCTCCTGAAACCCCGTTCTATACTATACGTTGGAGCATTTAATGTCCGAACATTGTGTCAAATTGGGCAACAGGCATCATTAGCTAGGACTTTAGAATCTCGCCCAATCGATGTGTGCTGCGTCTCGGAAACGTACATACAGAATCCTAGTAAAATTATTAATCTGATTTCACCTTGTCAAAATAAAGAAACAGACCGATTTACTCTTCGTGTATCTGGAATCTATAATGCTGCTTCCAGGGGTCTTGCTGGCGTAGGCATAGCATTGAGTCGTAGAGCTGAACAATCTCTCCTAGACTGGATCCCAGTAGACAGTCGCTTGTGCGCTGTCCGACTAAATAAGACAGTAAGCGACACCGCTGTCTGTTTGTTGTTTCTGTCTACTCTCCCACTGACTGCAGATGAGACGAGGTTAAAGATGGGTTTTACAGAACGCTTTCGGACCTCCTCCGAAAAGCTAGGCGCTCTGATATAGTTATGATGGCTGGTGACTTCAATGCTCAAGTAGGTAGACTAAGTGAAAATGAAAGACACCTAGGTGGATGTTATGGTGTCGCAACTGAGAGAAAAGACAATGGCGACCGTCTGTCACAATTATTCTCAGATAACCAACTATTCCTAGCAAACACTAACTTCAGGCATAAGGTAAAACATCTGACCTGGCGACCACCAAAGCCGACCCAACTAGATCAGTAGTTCGCTCCGTCCTACTATACAGATGCGAAACATGGCCGCTAAGACTAGAGTACTTTCGTAGGTTACTGGTTTTCGATCATCGATGTCTCCGAAGCATTGCTCGTGTATCCTGGGACAACCGTATAAGCAATGCTGTCGTTAAGAAACGAGTTCTAGGTAAGGATGGTAAATCGATAGATGAAGTATTGCAACTTCATCAGTTGAGGTGGTTGGGACATGTGTTACGTATGCCTAACCACTCTCTCCATTCTTGTTTAATTTTGTCATATACCTGTTGCTAGACAAATATTATCCTCGTCCGACTTTTCAGGAGCCGACTTTCTACCAGAGAAATCGCTTACTGATGTAGATAGCAACCTGCGGAAATCGGTTTAAGCAAAAAGGTGTAATATCGCTAATTATCTCCTATTATATATATATATATATATATATATATATATATATATATATTTGTGCAGTTTAGTCTTATGTACTAACTAATTCGATTGTTTTTCTCCTTAAAAATTTACCTCAACTAGACATTTATTGTAACCGATGATGATATACGCCGACAAGAAGCTCGTGTGAAAGAACTACGAAAGAAACTGGAAACTGCAAGAAAAAAGTTGCATCCTGTAAGGGAATTTTTTTAGTTCATTCACTTTACTATACTGTTAAAATTATAGAAATGAACCAATAATTGAAAAGACTACTCGTTTAGTTTCTTGTCAATAATTAAAAAATAGAATGACTTTTTTTATTGTTCATCAATCATATCAAGTATACGATAGAAATACCTTTTGTATATAATGTTCAAATTGTTGAAAATTGTTAAGTAAAACTATGCTATAATGACTGCCTAAAACTATTGTTCGGATTAACCATGAGATCAATCGATCAATCAATCAATCAATCAATCAATCAGTGCATGGGTTTCAATGAGCGAGGTCTAAAATACAGAAAAAATAACAAACAATAAAATTACAAAGAATTAATTGGTTTGACATAAGAGTTAATTAACATATTAAGGCTAACTAATCTAGTGCTGAAAATGTAATTCACAAGAAATTTATCATTTTATAACTTTCAAAATGAAATGCACTCATAATTGTGCGCTATTCAATAACAAAACTATTCACAATAAAATTTTGAATTCTTACTAATATTTAACTTTGGCTCTGTTAATTTTGCTTCATCATTTTGCATAGTGTTATCAGTCTGGATTATAGTTTTACTTCTTTTTATCATATACTAAAGACTATCAAATGTCCATTTGTATTTGTTGTTGTTGTTGTTGTTGTTGCCAATGGCAATTTCGAGTAACATGTCAATGGATCAGTTTGTGTCTCAATTTACTCTCTCTCTCTCTCTCTCTCTCTTAAGAAAAATAAATCATTTTGTTAATAATTCAATGAACAATAAAATAGTAACAGTAAATAGGCTAGTTAGTTAGGCAAGAATGTTCAAGTAGATGGCAATCTCCATGTATGACACAACACAGTCATTGTCTTATACACTTCCATTCTCTTAATTCCTCAATTAATTTATTCATAAAAATTTTTTTTACAAGATGGAGAATTCTCCATGAAAAAAAAACATTCCTAGCCATAAAAAAAGATTCATTAGGAAACCTGTTGACATAAATAAAATTTCAACAGCATGATATCTGTTTGATCATTGCTTAATTTACAGTAACAAGTTAACTTGATAAACAAAAGGAATTAAGAAATCTAATTCAATCCATGAGAATCATACTTCTCATCGTTTCTAACTGTTGCTAAATTAGATATTTTTGTAGTATGATGATTATGTTGTAGTTATAAAAAATGTGTATATTACATGCATATGTATCATACTGACACATCAAATTATTTTTAATGAAATATTATCTTCACTTCCCTATTTGGTTGTGTATAACACTCGTTAAATTATATAGTATGTTATAAAATAACTTAAAATCTAGTTTTCACTTTAGGTATGATATTCTTTAGAAAAGTACTTACCAAAAACTGTCTACTACACCTAGACTCTTTACAACACTTGTGTAAAATAATTTACACTGCATTAGTGTGAGGCGATTATCTGCTTTTTGTGTACGTATGCTTTTATCTACACGAATGGATTTTTCAACTGAATTCACTATTAGGCTCGTCAAAAGAACGGATGCTCTCCATTTCAACTTTTTTTCACGCACGTAGATAAACACTGCTAGTAATAAGTTTCAAAACATGTCATGCTTTTCATTGCTTTCGAACATACCATTATACATTAATTAAATTTTTTATTTATTTCAATGTGACTTTTTTGTTCACCACTTATTGTGATTATTATTATCATTGTTAGCATTTAGAGGAACCTAAATAGATAACTGAAAAATCATCAATTTAAGGAGTTCGTGCAGATTTTCGGTTCTTGTAGTTTAGAACAGGAACTGACCTTAATTAAACAAGTCGTTATACCGATCATACTAATAATAATTTGCTCATTAGTAACTAATGTCAAAAGGTAGTTTCACGGATATTTCTAGTGCGAACCTGTGTCTATTGGGATCCAGTCATGTTGAATGAGACGCTGTTGTATTCCAATAACAATGATACTGAAATATAATCACACTAAATCCCGGATTAATGGGAATATGAATCATTGTATGCCAACTTAGTTTTCTAGAAGTCAAGCGCTTTCTATGATACCTGAAGTCTCTGCGCCCGATCCCTGCTGTTGTTGATTTTCAGTGCTGAGGGTTCGCATGCCGGGACGAAATAGCTATCGAATACTTCGTGGCTTTCAGTGATTGCTTAACTAACGTCAGATTTTGATCTAAATGACAAAACTGAGAATTTGGTCTTTTTCATCTTACTGAAATGTTCAACAGTTGTGTAACTAAAGAAGTTCAAAGATCGTTGTTTTATTTTTTGTTATTGGCTTGTCCATTTCAAATTCATAAAGTTCATTTTTTTTGTTTTATCTCTTTCTGCTTCGTTATTTCAGCGATATGAAACTGAACGAGAAGGATAAACATATTTGTGCTTGTGTGTTTGTCTGCCAGCCGGTGAACAGTTGTTCATTTGTCATTGTTAATACCTCTCTATCTTTCTGTCTATGTTTGTTATTACCCGATTGTATAAACGGTTATAGTAGTGTTAATGTCATTATTGTTAATGCGTTCTTCTTGTCAAGGTTCTATTGTTGCTTTGGTCCTCTTGTACAAAACTGAATATATGTTTTATTTGTATGCACTTGTGCATATAAAACTTCTATTGGTTTTAATACAACGTACTTTTTCTATTTGCTTCTTTTAATATCATCAATCTATTTCGGTCATCATTGTAGTAGTTATCCCGTATTATGTTGGGTACAGATTCATGTCATTAAATTCTAGACACACTCTAAGTGTGAGAGCTGATGATACTACTACCTATTTGACTCATAAGATAGAGCTAGGGCGGGGTTCAAACTAACGATTTGATGACAGAAAGTTGAAAACACCTGGACCATCAAACCATGGTTCCATTTGCTGAAACCGTAGTTATATATATATAGTTGTTTAAGTCGACTGATGGGTCGTGACTTAGTTGATTAGACGTGTCACTCTTCTAAATTATCAGCTACCCCTTTTGCCTAAAAGTACAGAAAGACTGACTAAACGGTTCTCTTTGACGGGGGGCTTGTGATTTCAACCCCGCCCTACATTTAAAACTCAGTCGCTGATTCATTCAGTCAATCCAACTGTGTGAGGATAATCATCTTTTCGGTGTGCAATATCTAACATTTCCGAGCACTTTTCCATTCAGTTAGTGAGTCACTGCTGCAAACCAGAGTCTAACTTTCACTAGAGATTTCGTTTCAATAGTCTAAAGATATCTGGCTATATATATAAGTCTTGATTAACCTGTTGAACGATGTTTACAATTGATCGACCCTTGAACAGTAACTGATATGCTTGAAACTATTACGAGTTCGCCTTACTCGGTTAACGGAGAGCAGATAAATGATGCGGTGACACGATAGGCTATCCTAGTCCGTTGTCCTCGGCCCGGCTAACTATATCAAGAAGTCTTGATAAGGCATAGAAAGTGTATTCTACAAGCACCCAGAAAATACGAGGTCGACAAGCACACAAATGGAGCTTATTTAAACACGATAGAAACGTCCTTGCGAGAGACACAAAAATCGCGTACAAAAATTATACATCAACCAATGAAAGTCAAGGATTTTTCGGGTGGGAAATGTAATCTCATGGTCGGCTGAGCAGCTTTATGCGTGCTAACACAAAACCCCAAAATTAGGATTGTTTTCAAGTGATTTCTGGGACCTAACGTCACCAACAGTAATGAATGTCATATTTCCCCAGTTTTCTAGTGCTGATCGGATCTGAGTAATACGGCATCGAGTCCAGCACGGAATAACAGTCCCACCAAAATTACACGTCTTTGGTGTGTCTCAAACGGCTCACAATCTCTTGTCGACTACCTCCAACATCTCAGCATAGTCTACTTTATGCCAACTTATTTAAACTACTACCCACATTGTAACAAGATCGATAGAATGTCATAAGCACTAAAAACGACTAGACGAATGCAAAATTAGTTAATATCAAACAATTATTCAGTTGTACGTAATCTCATGCTTATCCTAAAGAGGAAGTTATATCTAAACACGGTTTGACCACTAAATCTGCTGTGGTTCCTCACATGATCATTGAATAACTGAAATGACTCTAGAGTCGGTGTGACATGTGTAGTACGCAGCACAGAGTTACCCAGAAGTTGCGACTCGATGGATATGTGTCAGGAAATCGAAAAATGCATGGTATGATAAGATATTTTTAAAAACCGAAAGAGGAGTGAGAGAAGGCAAACAATTCCCTGCTTGGATTGCATATAGATGATTGAAGATTATGTATACACATATTTGGTAAATAAACTGTTTTCATTAATTATATGTATTCCATCTGGCCTTAACGTCTTCGTGTAAACACACAGGTACAATATTTATTCGGCTCTAATTCGCATGATAATGAGTTAATTTACGACAATGAAACATGAGAATAATATACCAGTTATCATTTTCATAACAAAAGCACAGCAATATATTTGCATGAATGCGATAAAATAGAATATTCAGTTATTTTAAGTAACATAGAATACAAAATACAGTAACAATATACATACGATACATTTAATCAATGTTACACAATGAAAATAAAAAACAAAAGTCAACACCCTGATTATTATTTAGAAAATAATTTTTTTTTAAAAAAACACTCATTCGAAATTTCATCAAAACTATGAACTATTTGACTGATAAATAAAAAATGATCATTAGAGAAATGCATCAATTTTAGACTGAATAGAGAGAGAGAGAGAGAGAGAGAGAAGCAGCATCACTTCTCAACACATTAAACATCTGTAACATATGGATTGTAATTAGAATTATGATTGTTATATAACTTTGTCAATGGAATAACATTACTATCATTTCTTATTGTATCTTCTGAATACAATAATCGATCAAATAATTTTGATTCTTTTCTATTATGTGTTAATCTATTTTTATCATTGTTTTGTTTGATTTGTATTTGATGAAGTGATTTTGAAGTTTGCATTGATGACGCAAACGACGATGAAGGTGATGATGATGATGATGACGATATTAATGATAATGATCCATTGGAAGAACTAGACGCAGACTTTCTTCGATTTGATGGTGGTATTGGAGGAGGTGGTGGATGTTGATTATTATTATTATTATTCTGTGTAGTTGATAATCTATTAAGAAATTTCTCTTCAGGATATAATGGTATTTGATAATTTGTACAAGATATTGTTGAATTCGATAAATTCAATGGTTTTTGTTTAATCTTTTTATTAGATTTAAGATAACCGATAGAATTGACTCTCAATAATGTTGGTGATGATTGTAATGATCTCATTGTCAATGGCTGTAATGCTGATATTGTTGTTGTTGATTGTGGTGGTGCTGGTGGTGGTGGTTCAGAAGGAACAATCGTTGACATTGTCATTGGATAAACATGACGATTCGAAAATGAATCTTTAAATGATGCATGAAATGCACTACCCGGTGTACTATAACGTATACTTGACTTGAATTGTTTTGGATGTGGACGTTTCAGTAGTAAAATGATAATTATGATTAAACTAATCAATGCAACACTGAGAAGACAACCTAATACCAATGTAGCCAATCGTACATCAATTAAAGGATAGTAGTAAATTGGTGGAGATGCTAATATTGTGAAATATGTGTGAGAAGTGATAAGAAAATTTTTTTTAGAAAATTAACAATAAACAATTATATCAATCATTAAAGCAATATCACAATTTGTGGATTGTAATCATTTCAAATTGGTCTCAGTTAAGAGGTTAGTGAGTATTGAATTTCTGGATCGTTCTAGTATGGTACTGCCTGACCATGCTGGCAGATAACTCCTCTAGGGATCGGATGCAAAACCTTCCGGTTTCGTAGTGAATAATTAACATTTAGAACCACTGAAACGCCCTACAGTGGTTCAATTCCGACTTCAATCAATTCATAATACAGCGTGTGCTCCATCCAGTAACTATCGTGACAACTACTTTACATCTGATAATTCTAAACTCATAGGAAATCATGAGTAGGCACCGCATCTGAACAGTCCCACACTGAAATGAAATAATTTTTACTTACCCTTCAGTTCTTAGCGAAACCCGAACTGCGACCAAGTCACGATGAGTACAATTTACAGACTAAACCAATCTTTATACAACCCATTCAATCAATGTCGTAATATTCAGAGTTTAACTCCCAAACTGACCTTAGCTAGACCATCATTGAAAACTCGGAAACATTGGATAACCATTCTTCCCTAGTATTGAACTGCTCAGTAGTACGTACTCCTGGTAACTTAAATTGATGCCCAATTTATCACCTCAAGGTCAAATGGTAGATGAGAAATTATACATACGATACTGTACACACAAAAGTTAATTATGTACATACCTCCTCAAGATCTTAGCTTGCATGTCCTTTTCTGGTTCAAAATAACAATCGTACGCATACTTACAGTTCGTATACATCACAAGTTGGTTTGATAATCAAATCGAGACATTCATTTCAATCTTCTCTTTTAAATAAGGCATTCCATATGGCGTAGGAAACACACAATAACTAAATTGGACTATGAAGCATGACGTGAGCTCACTTATAGACCTAAAACGCTTCAAAGGGATCACTAATAGAGTCAGGAGTATACATATGATAAATTAATATTATGTTTTAGTCTGACTATACTTACTTACTTACTTACTTACTTACGCCTGTTACCCCCAATGGAGCATAGGCCGCTCACCAGTTTTCTCCAACCAACTCTGTCCTGGGCTTCCCTCTCCAGTTCTGTCCAATGTTTGTTCATTCCTCTCATGCCTTTCTCTATTTCTCGGCGTAGTGTGTTCCTTGGCCTTCCTCTTTTCCTTTGGCCTTGAGGGTTCCATGTGAGGCCTTGTCTCGTGACGCAGTTGGGTGCTTTTCGTAGTGTATGTCCTATCCACTTCCACCGCTTCTTCCTGATTTCCTCTTCCACTGGAATCTGACTTGTTCTCTCCCACAGTTCGTTGTTGCTGATGGTGTCTGGCCAACGAATACGAAGTATTTTGCGTAGACAACTGTTAATAAACACTTGTATCTTCTGAATGATGGCTTTGGTAGTTCTCCATGTTTCCGCTCCATACAGTAGAACTGTCTTCACATTTGTATTGAAAATCCTGATTTTGACTTTGGTTGAAAGTTGTTTGGAGTTCCAGATATTTTTCAACTGTAGAAATGCAGCCCTTGCTTTGCCGATCCGCGCCCTCACATCTGCATCCGATCCACCTTTCTCGTCGATGATGCTGCCAAGATATGTGAAGGTGTTAACGTTCTCCAAGGTATCTCCATCAAGCGTGATTCGGTTGGTGCATGTTGTGTTGCATCGGAGAATTTTGCTTTTTCCTTTATGTATGTTGAGACCTAGTGCTGCAGAGGCTGCTGCTACACTGGTCGTCTTCTCTTGCATTTGTTGTTGAGTGTGCGATAGAAGAGCCAAGTCATCTGCGAAGTCCAGATCGTCCAGCTGCGTCCTAACTGTCCAGTTGATACCGTGCTTCCCTCCAGATGTTGACGTTTTCATAATCCAGTCGATGACCAGGAGAAAGAGAAAGGGTGAGAGTAAGCAACCTTGCCTGACACCGGTCTTCACCTCAAAAGAATCTGTCAGCTGACCTCCGTGCACGATTTTGCAGTTGAATCCATCATAAGAATTCCGTATGATGTTGACTATTTTCTCAGGCACACCGTAGTGTCGAAGAAGCCTCCACAGTGTATTCCGATCCACGCTATCAAATGCTTTCTCGTAGTCGATGAAGTTGATGTAGAGTGGTGAGTTCCATTCAATTGATTGTTCCACAATGATCCGTAATGTAGCGATTTGGTCAGTACACGATCGATCCTTACGAAATCCGGCCTGTTGATCTCGAAGTTGGGCGTCTACGAAGTCCTTCATTCTGTTTAACAATACTCTGTTGAAGATTTTGCCTGGTATTGAAAGAAGAGTGATGCCTCTGTAGTTTTCACACTTGCTGAGATCGCCTTTCTTTGGTATTTTGATCAGGTATCCTTCTTTCCAATCTGATGGTACTTGTTCCTCATCCCAAATCTTCTTGAAGAGGATGTGAAATATTTTCGCAGTTGCTTCCACATCTGCTTTCATTGCCTCTGCTGGAATGTTGTCTGGTCCTGCTGCTTTGCCGTTCTTGATTTGTCTGATGGCCATACTGATCTCCTCAATCGTAGGTGCGCCAATATTAATTGGGAGGTCCTTGGATGCTGCTTCGATGTTGGGTGGGTTCAGTGGAGCTGGTCGATTCAATAGTTCCTTGAAGTGCTCTACCCACCTATTTCGCTGTTCGTCAGTGTTGCTGATTACTATGCCTTCCTTGCTTCTCACTGGTCGTTCTGGTTTACGATAGCTCCCGGCGAGCTTCTTTGTAGTTTCATACAATTGTCTCACGTTTCCGTCTCTTGCAGCCTTTTCCGCCGTCATTGCTAGATCTTCCACATATTTTCGTTTGTCAGCTCTGATGCTCTTCTTCACTTCCCTGTTTGCTTCTGTATACTCGGCTTGCGCCTTAACTTTCTCTGCTCTTGTTCGGCTGGCATTCACTGCTGCCTTCTTGTTCCTCCTTTCTTGAATTTTTTCAAGAGTACCAACAGAGATCCATTCTTTGTGATGGTGCTTCTTGCGACCAAGGACCTCCTGACATGTTGAAGTGATTGCCTCCTTAATCCCTTTCCAATTGTTCTCCAATGTTGCTTCCTCTCCATTGAGTAGATCCTGAAAGGCCTGGAACCTATTGGTGAGGGCTATCTTGAATTCGTTGAGTGTTACGGTATCCCGAAGAAAGGCTGTATTAAACTTCTGTGATGTTGTCTGCCCCGTTGTCCAGTGCTTCTTTAGCTTCAATCTCATTTTGGCGATCAGCAAGTGGTGATCTGAAGCTATATCAGCTCCTCTCTTGGTTCTCACATCCTCCATGGTCCTTCTGAACGTTTTGTTGATACAGATATGGTCAATTTGGTTTTGAGTAGTGTGGTCCGGTGAAATCCATGTGGCTTTGTGAATGCGTTTGTGCGGGAATATTGTGCCACCGATGACCAGTTTGTTGAAGGCGCATAGGTTTGCAAATCTCTCACCGTTTTCGTTCCTTTCTCCCAGTCCATGTCGTCCCATGATGTCTTCATATCCAGTGTTGTCCATTCCAACCTTGGCATTCAGGTCTCCCATAAGAATCGTCAAATCCTTTGGTGAACATTTTTCGACGATTGACTGCAGCCTTTCGTAGAATTGATCTTTATCGTCGTCATTGTAGTCATTGGTAGGTGCATAACATTGGATGACGTTCATTGTAATGTCCTCTTTCCTTGTTTTGAAGGATGCCTTAATGATCCTGGGTCCATGAGATTCCCATCCTATCAGTGCCTTTTGTGCATGTTTGGACAGCATCAATGCAACTCCTTGTGTATGTGAAGCATTTTCCTCTTCATGACCAGAGTATAACAGCAGTTCCCCTGAAGCTAGTCTCAGTTGTCCTACTTGTGTCCAGTGTGTTTCACTGATTCCAAGCACCTCGAGGTTGTATCTTTTCATTTCTGCCGCAACTTGAAATAGTCTTCCAGTCTCCCACAATGTACGAATGTTCCATGTACCTAAAAAAATGGTTGCTCTGGTTGTCAGAAGAGGCATCAGCCCCGTGACTTCCGAGGGGACTCGGCTTTCATCACGCGACGTCATAATTCTTCTTCCAACTCCCAGGGCAGAGTTAAAATGGTTTGAATTATTTTTTCTGGCTAGCGTTTTTTTGGCAAGTGAGATTTCAACGGAATGGGGTCGCCAACCCCATGTCCAACCCTCCTCCTTTATCCGGGCTTGGTACCGGCAGTAGCCCCTAAGGTTCTACTGGCGGATAATACATATTAAAAAATGTTTTGTTCACTCAGCCTACCTGATACAGATTGAGCTAATTCTTCAAAACGATATTGCCAAAATGCCATATCTGATGATTTATAATGATATTTAATTGAACTATTTAATTGTATATGAAGATATGCTTCTTGTGGTTTTTTAAAACTTGGCCATTTAATATTTTTAACATGCTGAGGAGTTGGATTGCTAAAACAAAACATTCAGAATGATGATAATAATTTTTTTTCTTTTTAACAATATAATAAAAATTGATATCGAATGATATCGAAATAAACATTTCAATTGTACAGGATGTTTTGAATTTGTAACCTTTTTATCCTAAGTCTTGTGACCTAGCTAATATATTTTATATGGAATTTGAACCCTAACTACTTATTTCCACATTCAGCGATTTTACTACTCATCTATTCGAATCATGACTAATCTATAGGTCTCTGATATGCTTACACTGATTGACTACAATGATGAGCAACTGCATGTTCGAATTGTGTCTGATGAGTTTATAATGCAGCCTGAATTTAAAAAAATGAATTAATTTGTTTGTTTATTAGTTGGATATAATTGACAAGAATCCATGTTATTGATGTGTCATGTTAGTTAAATTTCAGAAAAGGTTACATCATCATTCTATTTAAATATTTATTCAAAAAACTTACCCATATTTCACAAAATTTGTCCATAAATCCAATAAATATTCACTGATATTTGTATCATATGGATAAACATAATTGTCTGATACACAACGTGGTAAAGGATTATTTTCACCGAATAATGCTAACCATGTAGATTTATTCATAAAAGGGAATCCGAATAAGAAAGGCAATTCAATACCATGATAAATTCCTAAAATTAAAGAAAAAAAAGGAAAATTATGAATAATGCGGGTGTAATTATTATTACTTATCAAATATTTTTTCTTTTCAATTAATCAGGATTAATCAGTAATATATATATATATCAACTTTACTGAAAAAGGTTTTTTCACTCATATATCAACTAGACAATAATATTTCGTCAGAATATTCCGTTTTTTATTTTTTTCTAAAATAAATTACATCTGAATTATCAAAAGACTAAAACATGAATTCAATTGCAAAAAGAAAAACAAAACATCCTAATTCTGAATTGAGAAAATTGGGAATTTGTACAGTTTATCAATCTGTAAGATAAATAACAAACCAATCATGTACTAAGAGAGGAGATCAACCAATCAAAATAGTCAACATTAATGGAGGGTGCAATGAACCTGAAAAAAAGTCTCTGGAAATATCACCAACCATAGATAGTGAGTGTCATGACAACATGCTAAATAAATGCTTACGAAAATAATTAGACCATTTTCTCACTCCTACATGAAAAACACACTGATAATATTGTTCAGAATATAAAACAAACTGCTTCATTATTTAACTAATTGAATTTAGAGAATACAATACAACTAAAAACTACTCGCTTCAATTGAAAATCATTTCTATCGTTTCAGTATAATACAAAATATTCTGTTTCATCAATTATCCATTTGAATTATTTGTGTAGCACACACATATGTTATCGAGAAAATATTCAAAAATAAACAAAAGATATCAACACTAGTTTTACAATGATATATCTGATATGTCTAGTGAATAATTCTTCTTATTTATAGAATACAATAAATAAATTAAGAAAGAAACAACAAACAATACAGTCTGCTATGAATCATATTTGAATATGTAATAAACTATTAGAATTGGAAAGTGTAATCTAATTATACTTAGTAACCTTGTGTTATATATATATATATATATATAAAACACAAAGATTTTGATTGAATGAATTCATTTAGAATTATTATCAATCAATGTACACTGTTTAATGAAAAGAAAGTTTTCAATAGACAATAAAGAATTTGTTCAATTCTTCTTGGCTTTTATTATCAAAAGTTCTCTAGTTCATTGTTTTATTTTGTTTTTATATTAAATAATGAAAAAAATTACATTCCAATTGCATAGAAAATCATCTCTCATCAAAAATGTACAATCATTTTTTTTTCACAGTGAATTTGAATAATGACCAGAATTGAAAGTCATGAAATAAGAATAAGAAAACAACAGGACTATTGTGAGATATAAAAAATAAACATGAATTCAATATTGTTGTGATATGCAGTACTGTCAGCATATTTTTTTTTCTCGAAATAAATTTATATGAAAATATACAAAATAATCATGTGATTAATTTATCTACATTGTGAAAGAGTTCGTTTCATGAAGATTGATGATTTTCGTTGTAAATAAAAGATTAATTAATGGTGAAAATTGGCTTCATTTGACTGATTCAAACTCAGTGGAAATCATCATGCTTTATAACCAATGGTGAAAAAGTGTTTTAAAATATTTGGAAATGTAAAACTGTAAATTATATGTATCTTGTAAATATGCTAGAAATTCAAAATTGACCTGGATAAAAAATAAATCATATTAGATGATACACGTTAATCGGCAGGAAATCCTACTGCAACTAGATTTTATGCAAGTTGACACTTATGAATAAAATATAAATACAATCTGGACAGAGCTGATGATTCCAATTCAATTCAAGTAGGTTGTAACCAACTTTACTGTCTGAGATACTGCCACTGAGCCACTTTCATCCCAACCGACCTACCAAAGAATATCAGTATTTACATTGATTGATTACTGAGCAATGACAAATGTTGTAGCTTTTTAGTTCTTAAGTCCTGACCACATTCTCTTGATCAAGTTTTAATTTGGTCTCTACTCTATATTGAGACGTTCCTTTAAGAATTTAGGTATGCCTTGTTGACAAGTGTCAACTAAACATAGGTGATGGCCACATACAATGGCCTACCATCAAATATAGTACACATGACGTCGTATCAATAAGACTAATGGTCAAAGTAAACTTGCGAAACAGAATTCGATCAGTACTAAAGGATCAAACAGTCAAAACACTGGTCAATACTTAGTGATTAGTCAGTTGTAAAATAGAACATATAAATAATAGCAGTGGAACACATTTCAGAGATGGTGGTATAATATTGCACCTCTGTAGAATAAACAGTGCCAACAAAAGTATTCCATTTCATGGCAATGAATCGGCTTTATGTCTTAGTATGGAATTTCTCAACACTAGCAATCGAAAAATCCCAATAATTATTCTCCTTGTTCGAAGGATGATATTACAATCAATATTTTGAGTTTAAACAAACATTTCAATCACTTGTATTCACAGGATTTTGTACTTCTGTAACAGATATTTCGTCGTTAATTTTAGAAAAAAATCTATGCATAATAGTTGTGATTGGTTAGATCAAAATGGTAAACATAGGCTTGTTATGATTAAAATTCATTAGTGTTTCAATTATGTATTTCATAAACTTACCAATTTCTGGTGTAACTTGTTTATCATTTGGACTGGAATAAGCGAATTCATAGAAATAAACTGATGGTGAATACGTTGAATGATATTTTACGATAAAATCTAATGGTGATTTAATTTCCATATCTGAAACTAACTAAAATGAGAAGTTTTATCGAATAAAATTATTATCTATAATCATTGAATATCGAGAATAGTAAACTAGAAAATATTGTTAATATAACATACTACTGTTCTATTTTATAAGTAGCTTAGATTGATTGTCTACATTTTTAATCGTTACAATTCATTTTCATTATAATCTACTTTCAATTATACTTTTCTTCTAGATATGTAACTTATATAAATATAAAAGATAACTGTCATGATTTATTTCTAGTGAACTTTATACCTGTGATATATTTTATTTACATACATAAATCATGAATTCACTTCATTCCAAAAAGTTTATTATTGGTGTTTCAAAAAAGAACTAATATTCATTGGCAATCCACAGAAAATGAATGAGCATTTGACAAAACTATTTCTTTTTAATGTATAAGCATTAATGAAACTAACACGAACACCTTTATTCATAATGGAATATGGAATCTTCAAATTCAGCTACAAATAAACAACACAACACTTCAAATTTGAGTTAATTCATGACTTTGTGTAACAACATCATTAAATCCATTTATGAACAACACTAGTCACAGTTAAATATTGAGACCTTCAGTGTTCATTTCTTAAAAGAAAAATCAATTTTCACTGGAAAGTTTCATGAATATCAGTTTGTTCTGATAAATGATTCCGTAAAATTACATTACTTTTTAGACATTGTACTCTGACACTGATATTTTTCGTTAGTTTTAATAAACACTGATTTGTAATAACCTTATTTTAAGAAATAACCGGATCATACAATGAATCATTTTTTAGTAATCAAACTTCTGTAAGTCAATAAAAATAAATGTTAATCAATAAATATATATCATAAACTAACTCAAACAACTACCACTCAAGTACAAAAGAAATTTGCAATTTGAATCAACACACAATATTTAAAGAGGAAATTATACATTTAGAAATGTTTTGTCCAAAATCATAAAAAGTTTATGATGTAAAGAGAAAGTTGGATCATACAATCGATCAGACTGAACATTTCCGTTAGTCATTACATGGATATAGATAATATTCAATTTGGAAAAAATAATTACCAACTGAATATTACAGTACTAAGTAAAATACACGTTTTTTCAATGTTTTCAGTGGGGGGCCTTGATAAGACTGATAAATATAATTCAACATACAGGAACAGTCTTTAGTTGTTAGTTTTATCCTGCTATAGAACTCCTCCGCAATTTTCATTCATGACCTTGTACTCAGGAATCAAACATAGCACATTGTTTTTTTGCCGGCTAATGTTTAACCTTTTTAATGTTGACTAATATTATATTTTGTCTGAATGTCAGAGTGCTAAACAAAAATTCTATCAGTCAAGGACAATTTTCACATAACTTACATATTAAGGGAACTATTCTTGCATATTAGTTAAATGATTCAACGTAATCGGCAAAGGAACTTGTTCAATCAATACAAATATAATAATAAGATTATATAATAGTGAAAATTACTTGATTACCTATAACTTTATTCAAACAAATAGAAAGATGTTTATCACAACTAATTTTTGATTTTTGAATGCATAATTATGTAGCAATACTATGACGGTTAACAACAAACATACAATGTCATATTTTTCTCTTCAATTTCATTTCGTATATATGTTGTATAGCCGTTTCGGTCTGATTCTTATATGAAAGCTTCGCCTAATCAGGTATTTGAATGAGATAACCATGAGTAAGAAAGAAGTTTCTGTCAACCTACATTAAAATCAAATATACGTGCACAACTCATTAGTAAATATCTATCTTCCTCATTTCCAACGTTTGTCACTTTAAATCAGTTTTTAAAGTAGCACAACAATCATCCAATCCAATCGGCGAAATCTGTTTCTTTCCGGAAATGCATAAATAATATCATTCAAAACTTCTCAGTAACATATTGAACTAAGATACTAGTGAATTGAATACAGCCATTCTAGTTGACGGGCTTGGAGGGGACATGATTTTTAGCGCGACCTAGTGGTTTTAATTGTTGAGAATTTTCAGGGAGGTATGAAGGTTCTTGATTCATCCCCTACAGAAGGGTGTGGTGCAGGCCGATGAGGCTTTCCATACTAGGTTCAAACAGATTTAGTGCTCACCTATTCTTGCCGGCACCTGAATTGTGATCAATCAGTGAAGAATATGAGCTACAAAACAAACCAATCTCCAGAGTACCTCTTCATTGATGTGTATATTCTAAACGTTTGCTTCAACTCATACTCTTCTTTATTTCCTTAGGCTGTTTAAATCTTATGAGAGGCTTTAAAATCGAACAAATTCACTTTACTCTGAAAAATATCCCATAACACCGTATAGTATAGATTGTAATTATTTTGCGAACTCTTGTCAGATAGTCTGAACGTACCGACTCAACTCAGACGTATAGTAATTTATCTTATAACTCGTTATCTAGCTACTCAACTGCCTTCTTTTATACTGCTCTACTCAATAGTCTATGATTATTATGAGTAACATTAAGGTCATTATTTAATTTATTATTTGTATTGAGTAACCATACATTTAACTTTACTATTAATCATTTGGTTGTCCCATTATACACCAACAGAATGTTGAAGAAACATGTTGTATAAACCTAGGAACTTACATAGAACTTTTTTCATTGATATTCTATGTCACATAACCTCGAAATAAAGTTGTATAATAAAAAGTATTCTTGATTCTACTTTCCTATCGGTGTTCAGATAGACGTTTTATCTGTGTTATAAGTAATATCAGTAAATAACAAACCATAACTCGGCATTTATAACAATCGATTTGTCAATACCATCAAACAACTAAATAATATAGACCAATAAATTTACATAAACTTACATCAACAGTACGTTTCCATCGTGCAGTATTATTGTCTAGATTTGACCACCATGTATAACGTGTATACAATTCTTCAGCAGTTTGATTATGCCGAAAAACATTCAAATCATTTAACAGTGTACCAATAAAACGTCTGACAATATTATCTGTAAAATTTTCAATTACATAACCCTGTTGATCTAATTCTGTAATAATAAAAACAAATAAAGAATATAATAAATTTAATTATTTACAAACTTGTTTTAGAAGAGAATAACAAATGAAATATTATAAATTCTGAGAACGAATTAACTTAAACTGAGGATATTACTTGGCAACATTATACTGAGAATATATCACTCAGGGTCAGTACTAACAATTCACTGTTTCACTAGATGAAATATTTGATTAGTATGAAGTCTGTGGTGATTATTAGATTTCATTGATATCAACAACTGATGTACGCTAGACGATCAGTGAGAACTTGAAAGCACTGAACAGCTATTTCGTTCCATTATAAAACCCTTAACAGTGCGCATCAAAGATCTCACTACTGGGCATAGAACTCATGATCATCCGTATCATGTATGGATAACTAGCCTCTTGAAAACTGAGGGGGATCTAAATGGTGCATAACTCTAACTTCAATCAATACACATTGTCACACCATCTTCTATTGTCTTCACTGGCTACTCTCTTCACATCTAACATGGTTGTACTGCATTGGTCAAGTCTTCTGACCAAAACTCCAAACATTTCCGCTGAAGCCAGTCGCTAGTGAGCACTTGATGATTATTAGTGTTGGATTTGTGAAGATAATTAAGTTTTTATTGAGATCCAACTTAGACCGGTTTGTAATCGAACGAAATTGCATAATATGGTGAATAAATGTGCAAAATGAGCAGCTTGATTTTTAAGTAATCAAAAAACTAAAGTAATTACCGGTTACATTGTGGTTAAACCATCACCGACAATGTGCCTGGATATTTAGTGAGGAGTGTTTGTCACTCTTTCGTTTTCACAATATTAAATATAACTATGGAAATGAATTTGTTGTTAATTAAAATATCTAAAATACTCAAGAGAAGCAAGACGAGATTGATTGGTTTCGCTGACTTCTTTCATCATAAGATTAGATATAAATCAATCACCAACACGAATTCAACACCATAAATGATCATTTGACAATATCTACATAACTGGAAAGTCTCAGATAAGGCTGAAACAGTTTGTCATTGCTTTGAATTTTTATTAGTCGTCTAAGTTGTCTAAGACCAGCTAGCAGTGTAAACTATAAAATTCAGCAACCTCTGCAACCTCCTCCACGCTGTAATAACAGTAGTCATCCCCTCACTGGTAATTAATTTTGAGCGAAAATCACTAGAGCTGTGACCTTTGAAGTTCACCTAAATTGAGTGTGAGGTTACTACTAGTTAAGGGCCATGGAAAATGGTCGAGCAATATCCCAAATTGATTAAAGTCAGAAGTATAAACCATTCGAACAGGACATAGCAGTCTGAAAATTAAGCTCTCTACATCAAACCGACTGACTGTCAGTTCGGTCCCCAATAGGGTCATGGATGTGAGCTGATACTGAGCAGTTCCACGATAGGGCAAAACAACTGTGCGAAGTTTATACCTCATAGACAGTGATCAAACCAATATTGAAGTCTAATGTAATCAGTAAATAAACACGAAGTAACACCATACTATTACATCTCAACATATATGTACAGAAAAAATGTCTTTACATATACATATTTAAAAAATAACTCTTACGATATAAAAAATGTTCTAATGCTAAGGAACCTTCGTCCTGTACTACACCAGCAAGTAATGGTATTTTAGCAAAATTACCCAATGAACGTTCTTTCGCTGGTGTACGTGGGAAGAAACCAGACATCCCGTCAACAACTGGTGTCCAGACAAATGATGGAGCTCCTGGAAGAGAGTGTAATTCACTATCAAAAAATAAACAATTACGAATAATCAGTTGAGTTAGAATGAAATATGAAGTATTTAAAATTTCCCATGAATAAAAACAAGCATCATACAGTTTGTGTATACATTTTTCACAGATCAATGAGATCAAATTTTAGGATATAATTTGAAAATTTCTTCATATCTTCTTCCATATCTAATCTAAAGAATAGCGTAGTTATTCTTTTACTGAATTATATAGATCATATAGTTAAAAGTAAGATATCATTTATTGCGTTCAATTTTCTTGATTATCATGAAATCTTTGAGAATACAATTTTCACTAAATATGTGATAATCACTAGAAACCTAAAAGTCAAATTTATTAATATTACATCTTTTTTCTTAAAGAACATTTAACGAGAACAAAAGTGCAGCATTATTCCTTTCTGAATAACTGAAAAAGAAACATCTCAATTAAATATGGTGATTTTTTATCAAATGATAATTTATCTTTCAATCATATTCAAAGTGTTATTTTCCCTTGAAGGTAGACTGAATTAACAAATCAATTAAATTTAAGATGCAAAACTTTGAATTACTGCTTGAAATTCAAAATTCAATGATAAAATATCTTATCACTTATCAAACGCTACATAAGAATTAGTTAAAACATTCTATAATAATACTTAACTATTAAGATATTGAAAATTAGAAAACATGCAAAAGCTAAATAGCTGAAAAGAACTTGATATTTTTGAAGATGTGAAAAGAATTGGTTTACATTTTTGAATCTAAAATAACAGAAATAATAATAACATTAAACTATATGTAATATATGTAACATATTACTTATAAATGTTTCAGGATAATTTAAACATTTTTTGAGATTTCATTTTAAAGAATTATTGAATATTATCAATTAAAAAGTATTCTTTCGCTCTCAATTCTAATTTAGAACTTTAATTTATACACACCATAATCCTATTTTCATTTATTATCTTATTTTGAATTAATTAAAAGATTCATTCATCAGATTGAGATTATTTTTTTCCCGAAATTTTTTCTACAATAATACTACTTTTTTTTTTCTGACTAGTAGTTAATTCCATAGTCTCAGTTGTTGGTATAGTTATTATTACTGATGTTAATTTTCAAATAATTCCATTTGTTCAATGAAATCTAAAGTATTGATAAATGTAATTGTGTTTATTGTCAATGTATACTTTCGTTCTTATTATACTGTTAATTGTCTAAGGCATATTTGACAAAAAACAAATCTTCCGTATCATGCAAACAAATCAATGTATATATATATATATATATATATATATATACATACATAATTTTGTTTAGGACAAAACGTTAATGTATTTATTAGTTGAAAAGTTCATTTAGCAAAACAAAAAAAAAGATTTAAACAAAACACAATCAACAACTTACAGGACAATATTATTAATTTGTTCAGCTGTCTTCTCATATCTTAAACAATAGATTAATGCATATGTATCTACTTGTACAGAATATGGTATGGTTAAATGTTGTTTTACATATGATTCACCAAATGGCATTTTAAATGATTTATTTATAAATGAACGATATAGATTTGTATTACGTAAATATTGTTGTGATTCATTGATAGCATTGGTTTGCACTGAAGAACAACCTAATCGTTGAGCTAATTCAATTGCATAATAACGTGTATGAATTTTAACTGGATCACTGAATGCCCACTGAGATAAATCAGAACCGGACATCATGATTGCTTGACTGAATAAATCTAAAAAAAACAATTGAATATACGGAAAATTATCAGTGATTCTGTGATTATGTCAATTGTTCACAAAATATAACCTAGGGATTTAAAGGTTCTCCAATAACACTAATTGAACAACTCGCTAAGTCATTCCCAATTCAGTGCACACGATATCATGTCACAGCATTCAAATGTTAAAAGATTGGGCAAACATGACATGAATCAACAATGTATACATTATATCCTACAAAGAACTTTTCCTAGAGTTTCATGCTTTTACTGGCCAAATTTTAAAAAAGACATTTTGCGGTTTCTAACTATTGAATACAACAAATTAAATCAACAGGATGTTAGATGGTCGAGGTTAGTTGGCAAAAAACCCTACCTCACATAAATTGGTCACTACTCAATAATTAGTGAACTGTGTCTCAGTTCTACGGGGTATAAATCACTGCCCGAGTAACTCAGTTGAACAATTTAAGCCGTGAAGCTGAGTAGCACGAAAGTGTATCCCACAGAAAGGATTAGCAACCTCGAATATTCTGGTTCATCTTGTTGATAAGTGCTAACTAGTAAGAAACTTAGGTCGATCAGAGTATTTTAACAACTATTTTGAACCATTCAAAATATATTTAAAGTCTATTTGTTAAACAACTGATTTAATATTGTCTTAACTATCAGCGTTATTTGGCTCTTAAACTGTTGCCATATTTGTTTCTGTTCATAAACTGCTCTCAGTTAATCATACTACTAATATTGAAATCACGAATCAGTCATGGTTGGATCACCATTAAAAACCTGAAAGTGGACGGCCGTTTCGTCCTAGTATGGGACTCATCAGCAGTAATTTCATGATTTTAATGAAAAACAAAAATCTCCGCAACGGAATAATGAATATTATATACCTAGTACTCAGTTTAGTACTGCAAACACCTTTATAACAAATATTCAGGTCAGTTAATTATGACGGATCACCGTCTTGTATTTTATATGTACAATCAAATGAATCGTAAAATCTGAATAACATGAGATTTTTATCTGATCGTTTCAATGTTCTGATCATCAGATTGGGAACAGATAAATTTCTGGAATGGGCTGGCGACTGTTTAACTTTTACAGTAACAGCGTTACTGAAATTATCGTTCAAGTACATGGAAAGGAAACCAAAACGGTTATGTTGTTGTTACTTTCTGCCGTCCTGTTTAGTGTCATTAATTTTTAATTTTTAACCCACAACTTATCTAGTGGAAGAAAGACCGAAGGTTGTGGGTTCGAATCATGTGAAGTTCAAGAGTCATGGATACGCACTACTGATGAGTTCCACACCAGGACGAAATGGCCGTCTAGTGCCTCCAGGTTACTAATAGTGGTCTAACAGTGATTGATTGATGATTTCAAATGTGTAAGAACACTAATCTCCATAACTCTAGTTGGAAATTTTCGAATAGCCCAGGCCTCCATAAACCTCAAAATTCGTCCTTCAACATTTTGATACAATGTTTTGAAGGCTGTCTTGATGTCGATCTTATGCCCTGTCTCAGTTATGTGTTTTGCGATAGATGAACATGGTTTCCTGTTTCCCACATTTAACAGCTCATCTGACGTTAACTGATTTTGAAGCCACTTAGATACATGTTCCATAACCCTTGATTGCAAAGTCCGATTACTCCTCCCTAAGTGTGTGTGTCCACAGAAACATGTAAAGTGATAAATGCAATGGGATGTAATATAATTATTCGAACAACGTTTAGGTCTATGTGAAATCATGAGCTTAGTCTTTTCAATTCTAATTAGTTTATCAGCGTTGTATGTTTTCTCTATGGCTGCTTTTAGTCTTTGTCTTATTATTAGACCATTTGCTTCACCTCTAAATGGTAAAGTGATATAAACCTTTTTCTTCTCAGCAGAATGAAAAACTGGCTTTTGCCTTAACTGATTTCTACATCTATTGATGAACTTTAGCGGATAGCCATTTGAAATCAATGCTTCAGTTAAGAATTTTACCTCGTCTTCAAATGTATCCGTGGTGCAAATCCTTTAAGCCCTATTGAAGAGGCATTTTACTAAACCTTGCTTGTGTTGCAGTGGACAAAAACTGCTGAAATTTAAATACTATCCAGTCCACGTTGGTTTTCTATAAACTGAATGCTTTATGGTTCCATTCTCCCTTAGAAACAACAGTATGTCTAAAAAGGGCAATTGGTTACTATTTTCTGTTTCGTGGGTTAGGACATTGTCGTTCTGAATACTATTGAAATTATTCAGTAACTGAGAGACAATATTTTCTTTATCGCATATAACTGAAATATCATCCATATTTCTCCCATATAGAGTGAGCTTATTGATGGGTTCATTCCACAAATTTTCAGCATATGCCATATAAACATTAGCTAAGAGAGGTCCCAAAGGACTACCCATAGCAACGCCATCAACTTGCTGGAAATGTTCATGATTAAACGTGAAATGAACTTTCTCAGTACATAATAAAATTAAATCTCTTAGTAGATTTGACTGAATGGGAAAAAGGGGGAAATTACTTAATATATAGTCACAAAGAAAGTTAACAGTTTTCATTAGGGAAACATTGGTAAAGAGCGGAGTTTACATTAAAAGAATGCATAGTCTTTCCATTAATAATAATATCATCAAAAACATTAATCAGTTCAAATGTATCATTCAGGGAAAACTTACACAATTTATTACGAATTGGACTAAGTAATTTAGCTAACCATTTTCAAATTAAAATTTTTGAAATAATATTCATTAATGATTGAATCCATGAACAAAATAATTTCATCTTGATAACTCTATCTAACACCAAATTATTATGTAATGATAATAATGGCAATTTGATTTCTACAAATCATTAACTTATTTAAGATTAAAAAAGTTATGAAGATTATTAAATTCTGTAAGTTTACACCATGTGCCAACATTCTCATTAGATAAAAAAGAGGCATTGAACAGCAAAGGTAAGATAAATATGTCACATTGAGTAATGAATGACAACTCAATGGTTTAAAAGTTTAGCCGCTCACCATGGTCCCTTATTTCCATTCTCAATGACATTGTGCACGTTCATTATCATTGATTAGTGTGATATACTAGGATGAAACTAGTTGTGTCAAATGCCACCTGGCTTTATTTATTAACTATAGATTCACTTGCAATGTTAACCAAAAAAAATTTCTACGTACGTATTAATTAAAACTTTCAATAAATTAAAATAGACATCAATTTAATAATATTAAGGAAGTTTATTTTGAAAAATTTAACTCAATAAATTTCGAATAACTGATATAAATTGAATTATGTATTATTTCAGTGTTTTTCATAGAAAAAATCTATGAACATTTCATGGCAGATAGGAACACTGAACATTAGATTGACAAGTTATACATATCAATGTGATTATATTTTATACATTACAACAGTATACATATATGTTCAAATATGTCCAAATGTAACTAACTAACTAACATGTCTGAAAATTATTTATTTATTCCATTTGTATTTATGCACACATAACAGAGACTAAGTAAATAAGTAAGAACAAAGAAAATTTAATGTGTGAGTGAGTGAGTGAGACTAAAGGGCAGCTGGGCAGATAGATGGAGTAGTCGTCTCGTACGTAATCGAAAACTCTTAAAAATCAACAATGGGTTAAATAGAAACAATGTGAACACTAATGTGTCATTCTGCTCATAATTTATTTATTCAACTTAAACACATGTGATATTCGAAATGAAAAATTAGAATAATAATAAATTTACAATTGTCGAAATAAAAACTAATTTACATAATTTAATAGAATTGAAATCATGAACAATCGGAAAAATCAATTCGTTCTTGTTGGTACATACAAATTTACAAGATTACGTGCTATGATGAATTATGATATATATATATATATATATATATATATATATATATATATATATATATATATATATATATATATGATATATCTCTACTTATATATCGTAGAAAAATGTTAGGTGTGTTATACACACTTTAAAAATGTACCAAATAAACTGCAGAAACCAAAGTTTCATTTAATGAGCTCAATAATCATAGCAGCTTAACCAAAATGTTCTTCACGTTTTGATAAAAAATGCTAGACTGATGAAGTTCAAATCCATCAAGATCAAAACATTGATGTCACCAATAGGATTAGAAGATTATTTATACTGCAATTACGTGGAGTTGAAATTACACAAACAGATTCGATCCTGCATGACTGCTTCTGTGTATTCAGCTTGTGCCTCAACTTTCTCTGCCCTTGTTCGGCTGACATTCATTGCTGCCCTCTTCTTCCTCCTTTCTTCAATTTTCGCAAGAGTACCAACAGACATCCAATCCTTGTGATGGTACTTCTTGTGACCCAGAACTTCGTGACATGTTGAAGTGATTGCCTCATTGATCCCTTCTCAATTGTTCTCCAATGTTGCATTCTCTCCATTGAGTAGATCCTGAAAGGCCTGGAACCTATTGGTGAAGGCAATCTTAAATTCGTTGAGTTTTACGGTATCCCGAAAAAAAGCTGTATTAAACTTCTGTGATGTTGTCTGCCCCGTTGTCCAGTGTTTCTTTAGTTTCAGTTTCATTTTGACGATCGGCAAGTGGTGATCTGAAGCTATGTCAGCTCCTCTCTTGGTTCTCACATCCTCCATGGTCCTTCTAAATTTTTTAATGATACAGATATGGTCGATTTGGTTCTGAGTAGTGTGATCCGGTGAAATCCATATGACTTTGTGTATGCGTTTGTGTGGGAATACTGTGCCGCGGATAACTAGTTTGTTGAAGACACAAAGGTTTGCAAATCTCTCAACATTTTCGTTTCTTTCTCCCAGTCCATGTCGTCCCATGATGTCTTCAAATCCAGTGTTGTCCATTCCAACCTTGGCATTCAGGTCTCCCATAAGAATCGTCAAATCCTTTGGTGAACATTTTTCGACGATTGACTGCAGCCTTTCGTAGAATTGATCTTTAACGTCGTTATTTTAGTCATTGGTAGTTGCATAACATTAGATGACGTTCATTGTAATGTCCTCTTTCCTTGTTTTGAAGGACGCTTTAATGATCCTGGGTCCATGAGATTCCCATCATATCAATGCCTTTTGTGTATGTTTGGACAGCATCAGTGCAACTCCTTGTGTATGTGAAGCATTTTCCTCTTCATGACCAGAGTATAACAGCAGTTCCCCTGAAGCAAGTCTCAGTTGTCCTACCTGTGTCCAATGCGTTTCACTGATGCCGAACACCTCGAGGTTGTATCTTCTCATTTCTGCCGCAACTTGAAACAGTCTTCCAGTCTCCCACAATGTTCGAACGTTCCATGTACCTAAAAGAATGGTTGCTCTGGTTGTTAAAAGAGGCATCGGCTTTCATCACGCGACGTCAAAATTCTTCTTGTAACTCCCAAGGCAGAGTTAAAATGGTTTGAATTATTTTTTCTGGTTAGCGTTTTTTTGACAAGTTAGTTTATAGTTGGGATGGGGGCGCCAACCCCATGCTCAACCCCCTCCTCCTTTATCCGAGCTTGGGACCGGCAGTAGCCCCGAACGTTCTTCAAGCGGTGAAGTTGAAATTACACTAACGGATTCGATCCTTAATAGATTTAATTATATCCAATACTAAATAGTTCCCTACTAATGTGGTGGATCCCATTCGCTAACTGGCATGTAAGTAGTATGTAGGGGAGCATGGACTAGAAATCGCTATCAGAGGAGTGGATGTCTGGAGATCGAAATGCATACTGTGATCGGAGTCAAGTCCAGAAAGGATGTGAGAGAAAACAGTCAGTAACCTGCTTGTATTTTAAATGTATGTCTGAACATAAAGTGTATATATTTTGTAAATGAACTATGTCTTCTGCAAATATATGTACTTTATCTGGTCTTGACTTCTTCATAGGTTACAGTAGCATAAAATAATTGGACAAGGCTTCCTAACTTTTATTCATACTCTAACTGAAATCAATCTATAGTTAAGACATCATAGAAGTTGTAACCAGCTCATTAGATTATTCATAAACAAAATAATTCCCTTTTTTTTTGAATTTCACATCAGTACAGTGATTGGGAAAATTCAACAAGATGTAATTTAATTAAGTTGATTTTACTAAAACAAATAAACTAGAAAGATGAAAGCTATGCAAAAATATTACAAAAATTCAAATTTTATAATTAGGGGAAGAAGTATAATAATAATCAATTACTTTTATTTAATTTATTATGGTTGATTTGAAAAAAAGTATCAGCTAGTGTAACACTGTCAGAACTCACTGACATTGAACAAAAAAATATAGCTGATTTTATTTCCTAACTGTTTTTCATATTTTACTCTAACCACTCTTAGTCTACTTCTATTTGACTGTTATCTATTGACTAAGATATTACTTCTAGGAGAACGGTGATCAGGAATATGCAACACAAATCATAAGCATCTCAACAGATAAAGGCTCATAGATTTATCATCATTACGCAGTATCCTTCAATTAATTTCCGTTTTACTCAACAGTTATTTTATATACTAAAGACGATTTGGTTGATAGACAAAAATGACATTGATAACAATCACTCACTGATCAATATTATCTAGAGTTGTAGAAGTAGTAGGAGTAGTAGTGGTGGTAATTATAAGGATTAGGCATTCGTTACATACCATGAGGTATCATTTTCGATCTCCGAAGTATTCCCGGTTATATTAGTTGAGTATTCATATTCTTGAACGAAGCAGATTTCTGGCGCTTAGTTTTTAATGATACTTCAGGTGAGTTCCAATTGTAGAGAACACAACATATCGAATAATCCAACCTCTCCAAAATATTTTCAACTAAACTGTAATAATCGGCTTAATAATGCCTTAACTGAACACATTGCCAAAGGTGTAGCGCAACAAATAGTGTGACTGGTGGAGTTCAGAAATTGAGAGAGTGAAACAGCTGTTACTAATAGTGTCAAAAGATAACCATGCAATACTGTGAATTAACTGGGGCAGTGGATTCCAGTTTAGTGTTTCTACTGTTTCAGTACCATTTTCTTAATACACACTCACCATCACAAACGAAACTATACTAAAAAACCTTTCAAGAAATATACATTATTTATAATTTAAAAAAAAACTAAGCATTTTATTCCAAAAAAATAAATAATCACTTACATCTTTCTCGTGTTAACGGTGAGATTAAATGTAAACCAACACTAGCCGCACCAGCACTTTCTCCCATCAATGTAATTTTATCAGGATCACCATGAAACCATTCAATATTTTGTTTAACCCAAGTAATAGCAAGTAATTGATCCCATAGACCATAATTACCAATTGATGCATGATTACCAGTCGATAGGAAACCTGGTTGAATTATGAAGTCGGATTGATAAATAAAAAAAAAACTAGTAGATAAATTGATATAGTAGAATTTATGGAAATTGTTAAATTTCTATAAATTTTAAATCATAAAATGATTTTAACAAGACCACTAATAAAAATTTGAAATTACTGAAAGGATATCCTATGCTAATATGCGAGGCAGTTATCTTCTGAAAGCGATAATAAGGATTTTACAATATCATGAATTGACTGAAATCTGACATTGCCAACGTTGGATATAATAGGCTCAGCAATATGAAAGTTAAATGTTCACTTGTAAGACCAAAGGTGTTGGATGCAGTATCATAGGATCCACACTAATGATCAATCCCTTAGTAAGGAAATTCGGCTACTTAGTGCTACTAGGTTTTCTGTAGTGCTTTAGCTAACATCACTTCGTAAATTAAACCATGAAAATTCTGCAACCTCTACATATTCCCACATTCACTACTTTCAGTATTCTTTAAAGTGAAAAATATCAACTGAGTATTCTGCACAATAAATGTCTATCTTGTTATTTCCTACTTGTCTACAAAAATACATGTCATAATCATAATGGTTGTTAAAAGAAAATCAGAATATATCTTTGCATGATTTGTATGATGATGATTAATGCCACCCAATAATATGTATGAATTTACTTGTTCAATGTGTTCAATGACTTCGTTCTCCGTGGCACGAAATAATGAATTTTACTTGTATGAAAATAATTTTCGTTTTGCAAAATATAATAACTATGACTACTTATCCAACAATAAATATTAAAAGATACGAATTATGTACTGACCGTGTAACATGTATAAACAAGTAATTTATTTACTCTAAGTATGAAGAAATCTGGCCAAAAATATATGTTTTTATCTGTCCATTTTATTTTGTAAGTGTTGAAACCTTTTTATTTCAATAAACACTTATTATGAAAGTTTTCGGTCGACATCATAATTTCTAGGATGTTTAGTATACGTTAACAGTGAGCATATACATTTAGATTTTTTTTTTCTTGTTAATATTATATGAAAATGTTTAAATAGAATAGAAAAATCCGACATATTTTTATCTATTCAGTGTAATCTAATCAAACTGATTGTTATATGATTGATTGTGTTGATTGATTAGGCTTTACATTCTATTCTCTGTACAATTTATTGTTTTTCTATTCGTGTACATGCATGAAAAATAGTAATTTCAGTTAAATCATGTCAGCATTTATTATTTTCATTTGATAAGATTTATGAATTCTGAAGCACATAATCAGGTTTTACCACTTATTTTTTCTTTACTAAATTAGATCATTTGGACAAGTTGACTGGTTTTTTATGGTTAGATTGGTACAGAAATTAATGATTGGATAAATATTTACTTGAAAGAGTGTTAGAAAATAACATCGAATGTGTGTATAGAACATCTGCAGATTTGTAAATGATACTTGTTATCAACCCATATGTACAGCCTAAAGATAAGTGATGCTCCAAGTAGAATATGATAGACTTCATGCTTAATTATAAATAAGATATTTTGTATATATATATATATATATATATGAATAAGTATGGGGGATATTATTTAACATCTTTAGACGAGAAAATTAAATGGAGTCTAGATCACCGCTATATTCATGAAAAAATTGGATTTGTTCGTACACCACGTATACACACTTCCTGTATTGTGCTAACACTCGTTTATAAATAAGATTACTCTATTTGTTCATAGCTATAACATCCTAATACTCATTCGGATAAACAAATATTTTACAGTTGGAACTATAAAATGTTAAATGATACAGTTCTAAAAATATATATTCAAGTATCAATAATGTGAATGAAGCACATTCTTTTCAATACATTTTCATAAAGTACTTCGTTCGTATAGTGATGTTTTAAATAAATTGGTATTTACAATACTTTCTCATCCAGACATTAGAATTAAAAAAACATAAATATTTATTTGTAATATATTATTAAAACTATTCATGGTTAGATTATTTTTCTTTACTCTTTTTACTTAAATTGTGGGTTTTATTTGTAACCATGAATCGATCAATGTTAGACCACCATTAGAAACCTGGAAGCACTGGACGGCCGTTTCGTCCTGGTATGGGACTAATCAGCAGTGCGCATCCACGCCTGTCACCCCAGACGGAGCATAGGCCGCCAACCAACATTCTCTAACCTACTCTGTCCTGGGCTGCCCTTTCCACTTCTGCTCAAATTTCGTTCATTCCTTTCATATCTTTCTCTATTTCTCGGCGTAATATGTTCCTTGGCATTCCTCTTTTCCCTTGACCATGAGGCTTCCACGTGGGGACTTGTCTTGTGAAGCAGTTGGGTGCTTTTCGCAGTGTGTGATCTATCCACTTCCAGCGCTTCTTCCTGATTTCCTCCCCCACTGGAAACTGGTTCGTTTTCTGTCACAGTAGAAAGTTGTTGATAGTGTCTGGCCAATGGGTTCGAAGTATTTTGCGAAGACAAGTGTTAAAGAATACTTGTATCTTCTGGATGACGGCTTTGGTAGTTCTCCAGAGTTCCACCACATACAGTAGAACTGTCTTGACATTTGTATTGAAATCCTGATTTTGGTGTTGATTGATATATGTTTGGAGTAGCAGATACTTTTCAGTTGAAGAAATGCAGCCCTTGCTTTGCCGATCTACGCACTTACATCTGCATCGGATCCACCTTTCTCGTCGATGATGCTGCCAAGATATGTAAAGGTTTTGCATACAGAATCCTAGTAAAATTATTAATCTGATTTCACCTTGTCAAAATAAAGAAGCAGACCGATTTACTCTTCGTGTATCTGGAATCTATAATGCTGCTTCCAGGGGTCTTGCTGGCGTAGGCATAGCATTGAGTCGTAGAGCTGAACAATCTCTCCTAGACTGGATCCCAGTAGACAGTCGCTTGTGCGCTGTCCGACTAAATAAGACAGTAAGCGACACTGCTGTCTGTTTGTTGTTTCTGTCTACTCTCCCACTGACTGCAGATGAGACGAGGTTAAAGATGGGTTTTACAGAACGCTTTCGGACCTCCTCCGAAAAGCTAGGCGCTCTGATATAGTTATGATGGCTGGTGACTTCAATGCTCAAGTAGGTAGACTAAGTGAAAATGAAAGACACCTAGGTGGATGTTATGGTGTCGCGACTGAGACAACAGACAATGGCGACCGTCTGTTGCAACTGTGCTCAGATAACCGACTATTCCTAGCAAACACTAACTTCAGGCATAAGGTAAAACATCTGACCTGGCGACCACCAAAGCCGACCCAACTAGATCAGTAGTTCGCTCCGTCCTACTATACATATGCGAAACATGGCCGCTAAGACTAGAGTACTTTCGTAGGTTACTGGTTTTCGATCATCGATGTCTCCGAAGCATTGCTCGTGTATCCTGGGACAACCGTATAAGCAATGCTGTTGTTAAGAAACGAGTTCTAGGTAAGGATGGTAAATTGATAGATGAAGTATTGAAACTTCATCAGTTGAGTTGGTTGGGACATGTGTTACGTATGCCTAACCACTCTCTCCATTCTTGTTTAATTTTGTCATATACCTGTTGCTAGACATATATTATCCTCGTCCGACTTTTCAGGAGCCGACTTTCTACCAGAGAAATCGCTTACTGATCTAGAATATGCTGATGACATAGTCCTACTTGGTGAAGACGCTGACAAAATGCAGAGTCTTCTGATTACACTAAGCAACAATGCAACAAAGCATGTTCGGGATGCGGTTCTCAACCTCGAAATGCAAAATATTACTTCAAGATTGGGTTTCATCGGCACCTGGACTAGTGATAGGGAGTGAAGTAGTCGAGCGTGTAGACCGATTCACTTATCTTGGGAGTCTCATCAGTGCCGATGGCCTGGTGACTGACGAAATCTCAGCACGGATACAGAAGGCTCGATTGGCTTTTGCCAACCTGCATCACTTATGGCGTAGGTGAGATATCCGTTTGCTGACTAAAGGACGAGTGTACTGCGCAGTAGTTCGCTCCGTCTTACTTTATGGATGTGAAACATGGCCACTGAGAGTAGAAGATATTCGTAGGTTACTGGTTTTCGATCATAGGTGTCTTCGAACCATTGCTCGTATATCCTGGGACACCCGAGTGAGCAACGCTGTTATTAGGAATCGGGTGCTAGTTAAGAATGGCAGATCAATAGATGAAGTAATGAAACTTCATCAGTTGAAGTGGTTGGGACATGTGCTGCGTATGCCTAACCACCGTCTGCCTCGATGAGCTTTGTTTTGTAGTGTAGGAATAGGTTGCAAGAAAGTTAGGGGCGGTCACACCAAAACATGGCAGAAATCCATGAAGTCACTGACAAGTGGACTGAGTCATGTTGGTATTTGTCGACTACCTGGCTTGGGTCCGCGAGATGATAATAATAGATGGTTAACGACCCTGTTCTCTCAAATCCTAATCTTCTGGATTCTTCAACAACTCTAGTTTTGACTTTCTTGACTTATCTCACTGAATCACACTTGTTGGATAATATCTTCTGATCCTAACCTCTCCAATTACTTCTAATACCTTTACTACCCCTAATACTATTGGATTTGAATTGACAATTATATCTCTGTGCTGATGTGGTATGGCGACATGAACTGATGTACTTACGTACGAAGTTCTACGTTCCATCTGACTGACTGACTGGCTGTATGGTGAGACATGCTTTTACTGGTAGTCTTCTGTTGCATTTGTTGTTCTGTGGTTAGATTATAGACATGTAAATTACGAGGTGAAAAATGATGTTATGAATTTCGATACAATCATCATCTAATAACGTCACTATATCTGCATGAATTATGAGGTAAAAGAAGAACTTTATCAATTTTTTTCTAATCAGTAATTGTCTAGATTAGTTATATGACTATGACATGAAAGGAATATTATCAGTGTGGGAAAATGACAGTGAATATTGTTGAACATTAATGAGATCACAATCCTACAACAATTTGACAACCATTGAAAATCAGGAAGTACTGGGAAACGTTTTCCTTCTTGTATGAGGCTCCCCGGTAGTGGGCAAACATGAATTGATTATTATTGTAACCCAGTGGGTGAACTGAAGGTATACGGGGAAAAATCAACTAAATAACTAATAAATTTAAGTAATAAATTCTATTATCTGTTATTTTCTTCATGCTTAGTGAATAAACGTAGAAGCATAAATGTTAAAAACTAAAGTGAGACTTTGTGGATGAAAGATGATAACTATGGGACTTTTGCCTGATTTTATGCTTTAGATCTACGCTAATTACGATAATAATAAAATTTTAACGAATATTTAGTCATACTGAACAGTGATCAAGGAAACGACAATAGGCTTTCAACTCATTCTGACAATGTAGTAGTCTCTTTACAAGGAGTAGTTGTTGCAAACTTGGGAGTCCTAATACGAAATTACTTTCAGTGGCACTACAATTACGATCAGGCTGCGTAAAATACAACCTACACATTAAATGAGTCATCACAAGCTCCTTTCAACTAAAAAGTTTCAGACAAACTTTTTTTAAACAAATAAATAAAAATAAACTCACCAAATGGTCCTAAACGATAATTGAATGTTACTACAACTACACCTTTAGAAGCCAACGCTAAGCCAGGATACATGTGACTAGAGCCATAAACATAACTTCCACCATGAATATGTACAATCACAGGATAACGAATATTGGAACTATCGCGTGTATTCTGAAATAATATATTTTTTTAAAGAATAGAAAACAGTCAAAAGCCACCTCTAAAACAAAGTTTGCAAAAGTTCACGATTTTCAGAAATCGGTATTAAAGTCTTCATAATCCAAGTATTTACTGTCATATGTATATCAAAAACGAACTGTCTAGGTATGGCCTAACTGCATCGAAAAAATTCCGAAACGATGAATATATGGCAACAGAGAAAGATCCTTTACAGTTTCGAGCATCAATAAAGGAATACCTTTAGATCCATTGAAAAAGTCAATGACTAAATCGATTCAATAGCTTAGTAGATAATACATCATGTGTTTTAACTCAGGGTTTCACTGAAATTTAAATCTAAATGTATCTGACTGGCTAGTCCCAAACAGGAAGATACACGCATTCTGAATCCTAACGCAACAATTATTATATCTACGTAAATTCTAAATATGCTTTCAAAACAAGCAATCAAACTTATTTGAATAAAGAAACAACAAATATCGTGGTTCAATAACAGAAATTCATTAATTTCATGGATTATTCTTAGCTGCTTATATGAAATAAATAAGTGCATGTTATTCTGTCATGATATGTGTTCATTCTTTATTCAAGTTTATTAATTTATTCTTAGAGATTATTTAGGCTGTTTTTGGTAGAGGGAGATTGATTGATTGTGTATAAACTAAATGATGAACATAGTAGTTATAAATGATACTAAATCAAAATATGTATGGCCAAGACTTTTTTATGTATGTGTAGTGTAGGTAAAAACGATTTTTGTACTAATAACAAAGTGAAATAAACCTTAGTTTGACTGCCTAAACTATTCGAAACAAAAATATTCATTGAACTGATTTAGCAATCTAGTAAATGGATATCGTAAAAATCAGCTCATTTTTTACCTATTGGTACTAGTGGAAGTGAGCAGAGAGTTAAAAATGTCACAGAGCAATAAGGTATTTTTTCCTAGTACGACACTCCTTGGAAAAGCCCACCTAAAATGCAGCCTCGGTTAGAACAAAAGATTTTAAATTTCTCATCAAATATTTAACCCCCAAAATCTCTGAGTAGGAATCTAATGGTCCACCTCCCTTATTTTGACTAATCCAGTAATCTTTCTTGAAACGTCGCTTGATTTCTATTGTTAATTATCTTCATCTAAAGCATGATTTTTCACGAGACTTCAATAAGCTGTGCTGCCTTCTTATACATGTTTGGTAAAATCATATTCTTTGTTAAACTTATAGCTTTAAATTAAGATTAAATGACTGTATTTATTAGATGAAGGTAGCTTGTTTCGGGCTGCAGCAGAAAATGGATATTTAGGACGCTCTATTAAAAGTCGACTTTTTAGTATGACATCTCTAAATCATGATCTCGTAAATTTTTTTAAATCACACACTCTTCATTTCCGCCGTGGGGTTTCCTAATAAATATTTTGTAGCCTTAAAGCAATGAAACCAGAAATCTAGTAAATTTGTTTTTCATTCCAAATAAATCCGATGTGAAACAAACCATCGAATTTCCTCAAAAAACGCATTTAAATAGTTCAAAAAACTACAAACTATGATTAGCACTGCATGATTAAACTTCAGAGGCAACAACTTATTTAGCAGTTAAGGGACCACTTTTACTTGAGTATACCTAGATGATGTAGTCTTTTCTTAAGACCTTTTTTGAACTAAAAACATCGTTTTAGAAAGAACGAGCTAAAATTTGTGCGACTTTTCGAATTCCTTAATTTAATTGCAACCATACTATTTAAACTACAGGCAATCCAGTCTAAGACGTTTGTGTATGTCTTGGTTTTTCCCTTTATAATAAGCAAGTGGTTTCAACACGTGATGAAAAATTATTGAAGATTGAATATTTCGAATACTGTGCGTTTACTATGCTTCTTATGCTATTTCAATTTATTTGTATGCAATTATTAAAGATTAAAATGGTTAAATTAGGGGTATTTAATGAAATGTTGTACATGGAGATATTATCAACAAACAGCAGCTGTTACGAAAAAATGGATGTTTTGGATAATAGTCTTAATTTCATCCAATGAAGTCATGAAATGCAATGCTTCAAACCTTATTAACGTGCAAAATACGGAACCGTAATACATTAAATCAGTATTATGTGAAAAATACCCAACTGAAAGAAGAGCTGGGGGAGAAAAACAACTTTTTATGAGGATGAAACTAATTTAAGCAAAAATCCAGTGAAAGTAACTAAATATACCATGAACTTATATTTAGGGGACTGAAGTTCAGATGCTTGTGTCCCGTTTTACCTGCTTTTTGGAACAAATAAGTATTCTTTGAACACATATCCTCTTTTTGTGCAGTAATCTCTAGAAAATAACCTTCAAATGAATATGTAATGTAAACTTGCAAACAAATATTTCCTTTAAGAACATAAAGCTAAGTTTAATTTTCCAGTCAATAAATGAGGTATTTAAGTCAAAAATATCTCTGTGAACGTTTTTAAGGGTAGAATCTAGCGTATGTTTACTTCAGCCGTCAGCAGAAGTAAAGTGAGAAGTATTAGGCTTTGCAATTATTTACTCAACTAAATACATAAAACAGGCCCGGTATATATAGGTTTCAGAATTACTTGAAGGCAAATATCAGGCATATAAACCAGCCAAGAGTTATGTCAGATGTCTAGAAGTACGTCAAGTTAATAGATTGTGAAAACTCAAAGATCTGTGGATTTTACACAGATTTCTTAAGTTTTCATATCTATCGACGAATGATATTACTGGCAGTTCTATCAGTTCAGTAAAATATTTTTCTAAATACTCAATAAATTCTAAGAATTTTGTGGTTAACAGTGATAAAATGCAAATTATGAGAAATATAACAAGTCCCGTTTATAAACAAAACTAAATGAAACATGATTATTTCAGGAAATACAGATGATAAAAAGAACTTACATTTGGATAATAAATGTTAAGGTACAAACAGTCTTCGCTTATATCCGAAAAACCCGGTATAAAGCGACTAAGCCAAATGTGAGGTTGCATACACGCTGATCGAAAGCGTTTAGCGAACCATGGAAATCGGGTATTTAAGTAAGCAGGAACAGGTAACTGCAATCAAATAAAGAGAATATCGACGCAAACTAACCCGGAACCTTCTTCCCTCAGTTGGGGGTGCAGCATAAGGTATTCCTAGAAAAACGTTCACAAGTCTACCACTTATTGGTGGCCACCTCGACCAAGTGTGGTCATAATTTATTGTAGTAGAAAAACCAATAAACTTTCCCAAACCAGCTCTTAGTATGCATACTAAATATATATAATGCCGAGACAAACCTTGGAATATCCACTACAACATCGTTCGGCGTTGGACCATATCGATTAACTTCTGGAATATGAGTAAACCGTTGGTTTGGTAGAGGCGTGAACAAAGGGAGTTTGAACGGATTTATTTGGGACTCGAAATTCCACCAATTTTGAGCGATGACAATTCTCAGCAATAAAAGACTGAGAGTCAGTTCAGGAAGTATAAACGATCCAGAATACTTCACCATCGTTATCATGTACTGCTTTTCATAGTTGAGCTGCCGATATAAACTTCCAATATCCAATATACAATATCCAAAACATGTCAATAGCTAGTATAACACAGTTTATTTCTTTGCGCCCGATTCTTGATAATTTCTAACGAATATGGTCTAGCCACTCTACTGTCTAATTCTAGTTAGCTGGCAGTCGTTTGTATGTCCCGTATCTTCCCATTAACTTTGATGGTATTGGTAATAATGTGACTGGTCTGTAACACGCCGGATCCTTCCATTCCTGTGGCTATGAGGCATACAGAAAGTTCACTACGTCGTTTTAACTAGCTCCAATATTTCATATATCTTTTTAGCTGACATTAGGTTTGAGTAGTACTCTGAATGTATAGGTACTTAGTTTAACTGGTCGGGGAGGTTGGTGTTGAAGATCTCAGCCATCTAACTCTAGGTTGGTGAGGTCCTCCTCATTCGGAATTTTGATTTAACAGAAACCTTAATACGTAGGTTTGCTGTTAGTCATGAACCCAAACAGACGCTCAGGATTTACCTGTATTTCGACAGCTAGCTTCATCTGAAAGCGTCTCCCATCACTTCGAACTTCGGTATCGAATCTGTTTCTCAATGCCAAGTAAGAATTACGGACGAAACCCTCAGAGAGACTTTCCACTTGTGCCAGGCTCTCGCTTTACCCGTAGGAAGCGATCAGTTGATTGCTTAACCCAAGTTCTTCTTCTAGGTATATGATGTAGAATCTGTTTCGAAGGTTTTGTTTTCGGAAAATCCCTCCATGTATAAATATACATTTGTGTTATGATATGACTGACTCTTCTGTTTGGTGTACCCCATTGCTTCGAAAGAGTGTCATGCCTTGCGAACTCACTTCGTCGTCTGCAATTTCAGGGGATAGCCATGCTTCATTTAGGATTACGATCTATTATTATTATTATTATCTGAGAGCACATATTCCTTATTTCTAACGGCTTACCCCCAGTACTCTTACGTTGCTTTGGAGGCACTTGGTGGTTTGTTACATTGCCTGGTGCACCTCTACAGAAATATCTGAGGACGAATTTTTAAACGGGTTGAGTAAATCAGGTTGGCTAGTTCTGTGGGCTGTCGATCGAGATCAACCGACATTAATGTGAGATTTATTTGGTCTCCATGTTGTTGTCTCACTGATCTAGGCTGACTCTACCAACATCTAAAGCGACCAGAAATATCATTCATCATGCTATACCAAGCCTGAAACGCCTCAGTTTAGTCTTCTGGGTTTCTGAAGTTCACAGACTGCGAAGACTTAATAATCGTGAGGTGTGACAGACGAGGCAGCCAGTAGACGCTGATAACCATGGTTGTGTGAAGGACTTTGTTACGTAATAGCTACCACCAGCTTTGTACATCATGGATGTGAGTTCCAATCAGGCTACCAACAACCAGCTCATGCACTCGGTGAACCCACGAAACGATTTGTTCTTGGATTTCTTTAGGTGCTCTAACAGCTGAGCCTATTGACGATGGTTTGTCGTGCCCGACATGGAGGACTGTTCAACCTAATATCTCAAGAATCAACTGGGTTTCTTCGCAAGTTGTTTCGAGTCTAAATTTATACTTGGTGGAGAGGGGCCTCCCTTTAGCTGTGTTCTGAACCCTGAACAGACGGCATAGTTTTGCCGAGTACTGCTCGCTCCAGGGATCATGCAGTATCCATGTCACTTTACCAAAGGCAGCTTTACTTCATAGTGAGGTGTCCTCTGACACCTGAATAACAAATAGAATGTGTGAATTTAGTTTGACATTCCTGTCCCCGGTTTGTAAAATTTCGGGAGCTTTGGTGTTGCCGTTGCCCGCTATTACGACTAAACATTGCTGCCTACTTTTAACAGATCCTGGGTGTCTGTCACAAATAGAGATTTCGTTGGTTTGTCGGCTCGGATTGCATCTACCTTCATCGTCAGCATGTTCGAAATTTTGTAGATGTTGTAAGATGTCGTTATACGAGAATTAATTATTATTATGTAATTTTGATAGGGCCTTTCTCTTTCTTGTTGTTAATTATGTTGGCCTAATTATTCTGCATTGTGAACAGACATACCAGAACCACGCATAACTGTAATTTAGTATGAGCCCATTTGTACTGTCTAGATATTTCAGTACCACACTGAGAGTGAACCCATACACTGTATAGGTTACATTCAAATGCAACCTCTGATTTTAACTGTCAATCAGCAAGCTGCATAGTTGCGATCTTTGTGTTCTTAAAATTTTTATCTTGCGTACAACCTAGCATGCCTCATGTAACACATAGTTATTACTATCATTATCATCTCATTATTTTATCATCGATGTCTAGTGACATAGCTGTACTGAAATTTCTCTAGAACGCTTTATTATTTCGAGATATAAAAATGAATGTTTGTAATGCAATTTCTTTTGACAAATAGTCTGAATGGTCTCAGCATTGATTCACATATAATTTGTTAAAAGTGTGTGAGATGTTTTCACAAGAGTGAATATCTTTAGTTGTTTATATGTTCAATAAACAACTATGAACGATTACCAAGCTGCACATCAGACGCTGTCATTTGAGTTGTTCTACAGATAAATTTACCGTTTGCTGCTGCATCACAATCCTCTATTCCTGCTGCTGCTAAGAAAGACGTCAGAACAAGTTGGTTAGGACCAGAAGAATGCAATTGGTCTAATAGAAACATTAATCATTGTAACCAATTGTACCAGTGTTAGTTCTTGTAAATTGTATTGAATTCGTCACCACTTTCTACAGAAATATGTGCTGAGTTTTAAATATTGTGGCTTTCCATATTCTGAGTATCGAAACGTTTTTTTGCCATTACACTGTATTGTGTTAATGTTGCGATTGTCAGCAATTCCAACCTTAAAGTGAACTTCTGAAGGTTGACATGTTTCCTTATTCACTGCTCCCTACTGTCAACTTTGTTTGTCGTTCCTCATATTGGTCATCGTTATCTACAAGCCTTTTAATAAACCGCATTCATCGCACTAGTATGTTGTGAAGATTACTTCGGTTGTGTGACTTCAAGCCACTAGATTTTGAAATATAATAATATTAGGCTACTAAAAATAGCAACCACTACTCCCACATTTGTATCTTATACATTAGCGTAAATTTCTAAAATAATGTTGTTAGGTATTCTGTGTGGTATAATAGTAATCTCACGGTAATTGAATACCTAGAGTACTTTCAACGTTATATGTAGGATAAGCAAACATTTTATTTGAAACGCATCATATGCGAAAATGGATACATTTATATCCCCTGAATCAGAGGAATATTGTCATCGAGCTAAGCAAAATTTCAGTTATCTTCGCAGATACGCATTTCGATTCCTCGAAACCTGTCAATAAACCTTGCGTTTAGTGTGTATAGAGGACCAAGTCAGGCTCCACAATTAGCAATCGTTTGATCGCTTCTAGATATTGCCTGTTTTCGTTTGACATCCTGCAGTCGGTTGTTAGTCGGATGCACTGTCCTGCAATGAAGCCATATAGGCAGAAAGTAGAAATTGGAGATTTTCGTTTGCTGTTGATTGCGTTTACTAACCACAACTCGTCGTGTTTACACAAGTATTTAGTTTTTCTGCTGTACAGAATATCATCCAAAAGACGAAATCATTTTCGGAAACATATATCTGACCAATAACAAAGTAATTGAAATTTTGAAAATGTTATTGTTGAGCTCTTTGGCAAAATACGTAAATTTACGTGAACAGCTGATGAAATAAGAATGATAGGTAGGAGAACGTGATGCTGCGGAAAGAAAATAAAGTTAGACACATTTGTATCCAACTTGTCACCATTAGAGTTTAAGAAATGGAATATAATTATAGGGTGCATAATATAATACATCACAAGGTTACCACATGTTTCTATCGAAAAATCAAGCATCAAGTTTTCAACTGACAGCTATAGTATTAGGCTAGAATGTTACTATATCTTATTTCTACGTTGTGAGGCAGAATAAAGACAAGACATGATTATCATTTTCCTATATCATCGGCCTAGTTGTGGATGCATTTTCAGTATGGTAAAATTGGTCTATTTCTTGATATTTCCACCAACCACAAACGTGATAAACTATTACAGAAGTCGTTTCTACTAAACAATTTAGTCCTCACGTAGCGAACTGTAAGCTGTTTAAAGTCTAAACAGTTTTTTATTCATGAGTGCGAACATTACGCAAATCCAAGCTGTCAAATCTTGTATCCGAAAACCATATTGTTGCTCAGGAAAACTGAATGGACAACACTAATCCTTGTCAATGTAATTAAAATGAGTACAACTTGCTTCTTCTGAATTTCCTCTATTCATTCGACTAACTTCCCATTAGTTATCTCACTACTGAATTGTCTTCATTAACTTACATAAGTGCAGGTGTACAGTTGGTCTTCTGATATTAAAAAAGTCTGAGTAAACATACCTTTCTTTTATCCATAAATGTATGTGCGAAGCCGTTGTTCGGCTTTGAACAAGAATATTTTCTGTTCAACTCCTCGTCCCGTTTTCTTTATTTCTCTTTTTTCAGAACCTTATTCCAATCCTCATATATTAGTCTGGATATATGCAGTAGACTTGGTTACCCTACCCAAGAACATGTGACATCATTAGCTGATGAATATCAACCAGACCTTTGTACATTTACCGCATCAATTCTTGTTATATGAAAACCTATCTCTACCACGAATCGTTCCTCAGTCCTTAAGATGATTGTCGTAACGCAACCTCCATAACTTGCGCCAATTATTCGCATTGTACATTCCATCTTTAGGAATCCAATGAATCTCGTGAAATATTTCAGCAACTGTATACCGTTTTAAAAGAAATATGTTGCTAATCTTAACATTTTGATCTTGCCTGTAAATTGGCATGTCTCCTGTAACATGTTTGTTATTTGAGAATAAATTATTATTACTATTATTATCATCATAGCAAGCAATAAATATGCTATCCGTAATGTTATAGATTACAAGGATTCAATATTATTTCCTTAACGATTTCCAGTTTGTGGGCTTTTATTCCCGTCGATTGAAACATACTAGCTCCTAGTTTCCATTCACAACATGTTGAAAAACGTATAATGAGATTGAAACATCTTAATTATTGTATGATAAGATATCTTTTATCACCTAATACATATATATTCACTGTCTTCTAGGCTTTCGAGATTAGTTGGATGTACACTGTCTTTGCTTACTTAGACAGCTGTAGAGCTGGTAGGACAGTCTCCCATGCTGAAAACGTATATAACTATAAACTCATTATAAACATCCTAATAATTTAGAATGAGTCGTCATGGGAACCATGGAATAACAAAAACTCACCTAAAATCTTAAAAACACTATATTCTCAACACAATGTGTCCTATTTATATTCACATATTATTCTAGACAACAAGTATTATAATCTCACCTTATATATATCGGCGTCTAAAAATGGCTCCCTCTCCCTGTTATTAAAAATATGTAGATGTTACGTCAGTCGTTAACAAAAACGTTTGCAAATGAGACTCTGGTGACATATATCAACTGAGTATTCGCATCTGAAATTTGGTGTATAGCCGCACTCAAATCGAAAAAAACACTGTTTCGGTCTGTCTCACTGCAGAAACTTAATCATGAGTTAATATGCTTCTTGAAACCATTCGCCGAATCTTGATTGTAAATGACGATGCATATTTATATCAATACCGTTTGTTTTGTTGCACGGAATTAACATTAGTCGATATGTTCACGAAGGTTATTTTGAATGTTTCGATGTTGGTTCTTTGAAAGTACGTGCAGACTCACGATGTGAGAGAATAGTCAGTTCGAATCCATTTGAGATGGTAATATTTGTATTTTATTGTAGTTTCCCATTTTTTGACTTCACTGAGTTTCTGTGTATCTTTCTGAACCGCATTGATGTTGTTCCATCTGGTTCTTAGTCTTGGTGACAGTCATGTTGATTTGTGCCCCCCTTGATTGAGTTGCTTGTAGTGACTGGAATTTGGCACTGTGAATGTGAATTGAAACACTATTCCAGAATAAGAAACCCTGTGTTATAAAGCAACCAAATATTATCTTTCGAATGATTTTGATATAACCAGATATGATAGAATAACATTTATTCGTTGCTACTGATTCGATTAACTGAACACTTGTTGGTGGAATAACTGAATGGTAATATATGTTTATGTAATGATGTACATCTATATTTACGATGAATATTAGAACCGTCATATACACAATCATTTTGTTTCGATTTTGACTGAGCGATAGCGCGTATCTAAACTACCTAGACAGTTATTCTTTAGTTCAAACCTCAGGATTTCAAAGATATTGTCAGTGGCTTGTACATTTGCTGGAATAATGTTTGCAACCAAACAACCGGGTTATATTGTAAAATGTTGGTCGGTTACACACAGTAACCTTATTATATTATCCGCATGGCCATTGTTATCTCTGTAAATTCCTTCAGTTCAGAATTTGTAGTGCTCTGGAGTATGTAGGAATACATACATACTTTTTAAATTTGAACAGCAGCCTGGTACACGCAGAAACTCTCTCTGAAGGTTTCGTCCCTAATTCTTACTTGGCATTGGGAAACAGATTCGACACCAAGGTTCAAAGTGATGAGACACTGTCAGCTAACTGCCAATATACTAAAAATATCTGTTTAGGCTCATGAAACAAAGAAAACCTACGTATTGGGTTTGATTTAAATAACACGTCCGAACATTGAGGATCTCACCAACCCAGAGATGGTTGAGATCTTCAACATCAACTTCCCCGATCAGTTAAACTAAGTACCTACTACAATACTATCAATACTATCAAAGGTAATGTAAAGGCTGATGAACGGATTGATGAGGGAGTATATGGATAAGAACAAAATACTCTATTAACCTCAACACGGGATTCGGTAAGGCACCCACTCTTCTCAACCTGCTTTAACCGAAAAATACTCGGTCACACAAAATATCCTTACTTTTCCAGAGACCTCGACACAGCAGTCTATGTACTCTTTTGTTTAAGCGGTTCTGATCTACGCAGACGATGTAAAGATCTGGAAGTCCATAAGAACCAATGAGGATTCGAAAGGAATTTCGAAAGGAGAAATGAGCGACGAAAAACAAATCAAAACTGATCCACTCGAAATATCACCTTATGAACATTCTACCAAACGAGAAACAAATGACTTTCGCCTTCCTAATGTCTTCTCAGGGCGCGATCTCAGTTTGATGACCTTTGAAAGTCTAGACACCAGTTCCAACTTCACAGGGGAGGCAGACAAGACTAACACAACTCTTCACTTTATGCGAAGATTACTAGGTGTAATCACCCTAAATTTATGCTCAACGTTGTTTAATACATACACACGCAGTCTTCACATCCCCTCATCTTAAAAGAGACATAAAGCTCTTGGATCGTATTCAGACACGAGCAGCGAAATGGGTAAAAGTATTGAAGAATAAACATTAGGAAGACATATCCCAGCATTTTCGATTATTCCTGCAGAGTTGCAGGAACATGGGCAGTGATCTGATAAAATCATATGGCATATTAGGCACACTAAAACATCCCAATATTTTTTAAATTCAAACAGATGTTTTGATTAAGGAATAACAGTTCAAAAAGATTAGATGCGCGCCTTGCCCAGTTAAATTCCAAAAAGCAGTTGATTTAGGTAAGTAACGGTTCTATTATTAATAATAAACATAAGTACACATCATTACCTAAACAATATTACAGCTGTTAATCCTGTTATAATAGCACAAAGTGTTTCCAATTCTGGAAGAATGCTCCGATTTCGAGCTAATTTGCACCCATCCAGTCCAGATGAGCGCATCAACCGCCAGAGGATCAAAATTCGATATGGCTGTCGTCATAATTAAGTATCAACTTAAACAACATATTACAGTTCAGGAAGAAACATAGAAACTCAAAAAGGGTCAAAAACCGGAAACTATAACAAAATACAAATATCAACATCCCAAAATATGGAACAGAAAGAGTCAATAAGTACATATTACGGATGTACATATGGAGAGATTTTCCCGATGGATTCCTTCCAATAAGGATTCTACATATGATCATCTTGCCGAAGAATCACCAACACGCCCTTTGAAGTAACCATCACAAAAATGCGAATCGAAAAGCGAACACTCAAATTCATGCACACTTTTCCTCATTAAGAATCGCCCCAACTTGGAATGCGCTCTCAGCGAAAGTGACCACAGCCCATTCAGTGGATAGCTTCAATAAGAGGCTTGATAAACACATACATACGGATCATCATCGCACTATTGGAATAGCTCTGTCTGAAGTATTTCTCGAGATTGCTAGTTATTATTATTTCATTTACTCATATCACTAACTCATTCTACCTTGCTTATTATCTCTTTTCCCTCCATCCTGCTTAAACTTACGTCTTCTCGCACTGTCTTCGCTAAAATCTGATTAACTTATTAAATTACTTAGTTCTGAAATTTTCCTCTTAGAATTAGAATTTTCCCCCATATCGCTCCATATTTTCTCCATATTGCAACTAACTGATCTCCTGCCTGGTAAAGTGGTAGCTGCTGGGCTCCAGAATCCCTACTGCCCTGAAACAAACGCAAGCATTCAAACCACGAGACATAACAATTCATAAATAACTTTTAACTGATTAGAATTAGTGCGTTCGAGTGTCTAAACTAATATCTATTAAAAACAACCAAATTCCTGGGACTGTACCGAAAGAACAAATATTGAGATCAAAGAAATCAATTGGTTTATACTAGCTCGTGAAAAAATACTTTAAGTTTGGATTTTGGTATGGAAGAAACAAGAAGAGAGTATAAAGTTATGAAATGTTTTATACGAGCTTGTGAAAACGTTTTTGGATATTGGATTTCGGAGTGTCCTTACCAAGGTTAGTGAATTATTTGAAGTGCACGTAGGTAATCATGCTTTACTTTTTTCTCTTTTTTTGTTTGTTTTTTAAAAATAGTATTGTGTCTCTGGTCCTTCACAGTTAAGTCCAAATGCCCTCGATAAAAATCAGTGTCTCCCGGCTGTCGATTAGAATTCAGTCCGTGTTTTTAATCAGCTTCCTTTTCGAATGTAAGAGTACATTTGGTCACCGTGAACAAGTCTTTTAATGAAATGACTAAGGTAGATACTAGTAAGTGATTTTAAATGCAAAATAAAGTAATCTGAAGAGCATGGTTAGATGACTATATCCTTAAATAAAATTGATTATTTAAGCTGGCTTTATTATCTCGAGTCGGACAGTATACTCTTATTAATGCTGCTCTTAAAACAAAACGAAAAACTAAATGATCATATTCGGGTTATAAACTATAGTTATTATGTGGCTAAACTTTGGGACAACCGTATGTTTCGTGAATAATAATTGTTCTTTTTAATGACCTAAGTCAGTCAGTTACAACATACAACTTCGTACATAAGTACATCATTTCAGGTTGCCATACCACATTAGCGCACAAACGCAATTGTCATTTCGAATCCCATAGTGGTAGAAATAGTAGAAGTATTAGCAGTAATGAAGAAGATTAGAGTTCGAAGATATTATTCAAGAGGTATAATTCAGGGAAATAAACTAAAAAAGATAAATTTAAAGGTTGGGACCAAATCAGAAGATAAAAAAAATTCATAGAACAGGAAGAGTGGATGCACCTGCACCGTTCAGACGATTTTGAGCCATGTCGATTAAGGTATACAACGCAGACCTCAACCAGGTAGTCTGCATCTACCAACATGACTCAGTTCACTTGTCAGTTAATTCATGGATTTGTGCCATGTTTTGGTTTTGCCGCCCCTAGCTTTCTCTCAACCTACTCCTACATCACAACACAGTTCATCGAGGCAGTCGGTGGCTGGGCACCCGTGACCTTTCCTTAAGGCTAACTAAGATAGTTTCTAAATTGTTAGTCTCGATAATCCTTAGACGCCTAACTAGAGCTAGTGAAGAACAAACCAGAGAAAACCAGGTTGGATTTCGATCTGGACGTGGTTGTATAGACAACACATACACACTACGACGCCTCACTTATGGCGTAGGCGTGATATCCGTTCGCTAACCAAAGGGCGGGTGTACTGTGCAGCAGTTCGTTCCGTTCTCTTATATGGCTGTGAAACATGGCCGTTAAGAGTAGATGTTCGTAGGTTACTAGTATTCGATCATAGATGTTTAAGAAGCATTGCTCGTATATCGTGGGACAGCCGAGTAAGCAATGCTGTCGTTAAGGAAACGAGTACTAGGTAAGGATGGCAGATCAATCGATGAAGTGGTGAAACTTCATCAGTTGAGGTGGTTGGGACATGTGTTACGTATGCCTAACCACTGACTGCCTCGACGAGCTATGTTTTGTGGTGTAGGAGTAGGTTGGTAGAAAGCTAGGGGCGGCCAGACCAAAACATGGCAGAAATCCATGAAGTCACTGACAAGTGGACTGAGTCATGTTGGTAGATGTAGACTACCTGGTTGGGGTCCGCGAGACGAAAGTCATCAATGGTTAGAGACCTTGAACGACATGGCTCAAAATCGTTTGCAATGGCGCAGGTGCATCCACTCTTTGAGCTCTCTCAAATCCTAATCTTCTGGATTAGCCAGCACCTCTACGTTTGTCTTTCTAACCTTATCTCACTGAATTATATTTTTTGAATAATATCTTAAACCCTAGTCTTCTTTATTATAACATTAATACCTCTACTATCTTTATCACTATGGGATTTGATTTGACATTTGCGTCTCTGTGCTAATAATGTGGTATGGCAACATGAACTTATGTACATACGTACGAAGTTCTACGTTGCAACTGACTGACAGGTCTTGGAACACCGACGCACATCTAGGCGTCCGACAATAGTTGTCTTCCTTGAACTTAAGGCGGCATTTGACTCTGCCGATCGTGAGGTTCTGTGGCAGTGTCTGTCATTGAAAGGCGTACCAAAGAAGTACATTAACCTTATACAAGTTCTCTACTCAAACACTACTGTTCGAGTGAGGGCTTATAGCGAACTGTCATCGGAATTTTTTACTTCAAGTGGTGTCCATCAGGGATGTCCACTTTCCCAATTCTTGTTCAATTTCGTCATAGACATGCTCCTAGAGTTAACATTATCCTCGTCTGAATTTTCAGGAGTAGACCTTCTACCAGGAGGCCCGCTTATTGAGCTAGAATATGCTGATGACATAGTTGAATTCGGTGAAGACGCTGACAAAATAGTCTTCTGACTAACCTGGACAACAATGCAAGCATGTTCGGGATGCGGTTCTCACCCTCGAAATGCAAAATGTTACTTCAAGATTGGGTTGCGTCTACACCTAGACTAGTGATAGAGGGTGAAGCAGCTTAACTTCACTCACCTCGGAAGTCTCATCAGCTCTGATGGCCTGGTTACTGACTTAATCTCTGCACGGATACGGAAAGCTCGATTAGTTTTGCCAACCTGCGTCACTTACGTCGTAGGCGAGATATCTGTTTGTTAACCAAAGGACGAGTGTACCGTGCAGCAGTTCGCTCCATTATCCTGTATGGATGCGAAACATGGCCGGTAAGAGTAGAGGACATTCTTAGGTTACTAGTCTTCGATCATACGTGTATCCGAAGCATTGCTCGTGTATCGTGGGACAACCGTTAGGAAACGAGTAGTAGGTAAGGATGGCAAATCGATAGATGAAGTATTGAAACTTCATCAGTTGAAGTGGTTGGGACATGTGTTACGAATGCCCAACCACCGACTGAACTGTGTTGTGATGTAGGAGTAGGTTGGAAGAAAACTCATCTTTCACATCGTCTGGACTGCAGTCAGTGGGGGCGTAGGCTGATATGACGAAGAGGCAACGACGAGTGTCCCTATCCTTTCGAATCCTTACTGTCCCGATTAGTCGGACGGCGCACAAGCGACTATCTACGAGGATCCAGTCAAGGAGCGCTAGTTCTGCCTTACGACTCAATGCTATACCTACACCAGCGAGACCCAAGGAAGCAGCGTCAGGGCTACCGGATATACGAAGCGTAAATCGAGCTGCTTCTTTATCTTGACATGGTGAGGTCAAGTGAATGATGCTACTCGGATCCTGTATGCGCGTTTCCGAGACGCAGCACACATCGATGGCACGAGATTCTAAAGTCCTAGCTAAAGATGCCTGTCGCCCTATTTGACACAATGTCCGTACATTAAATGCTCCAATATGTAATCTAGAGCGGGGCTTCAAGAGACCAGGAATAACTTTTCGAGGACTCGAATCGTTTGCAGCAGAGGTGCAGGGAGATAAAGGAATGTGAGCAGAGTTAGTCGTGGAGATAAGAGAGGTGTGTGTGGGTGTACGAATGATTTGATTTTGACCAATTTGGTCTCGTGTGCTGTTACGGGTATGAGGGCGGTTATCACCGCCCACACCGTGGAAGGTTGCTTCTTGAGGGACCTGAAAAGGAAGATAAATTAGTGTTGGTCTTGGAGACCGGGGAGCGTGACCGCAGAGCCCAAGGTACAACTCCTTGAGGCCGGTCACGCACGGCCTTTTAATGAGAAGTTTTTTGAGTGTTAGTTCGGCTCTTGAAAGCCCTTAGTGGGCACCCTTACTGCCGGAGACGGAAACTCGTGAGGTAGGGTGAGGTGTGACATTTTTTAGGGTAGACCTTTTCTAACCCTTCCTTCCTTGTGAGAAGGCAGCATCGCTGCAGATGCTGGTTGTCCGAGGGGAACACCTTACTGCTGTCACACCCCTCTGCAGTCAGCAGTACGACTTCGCCCTCAGACCTGGAGTAGCTGCTTTTAGTCTCTTCACTCTCCAATCGACCTGCCTGGCATGGTAGAACCTTCAGGAACATATGTTCCAGCCAATATAGCTCGGTTGGGTCATCACGATAGACAAGCCTGACCATCACGTCAAGGTAGCAGCTTCGGTCGGGTTGAAGCCACTAAGAAACGCGGGAACGTAGTGTATGATGTCAGGGTGAACCGAGATATCTATATCATGCACCAGGGTCACCTAAGGCCAAGGGAAGTTAAGAAAAAAGGTGAAATTACGAAACGTCTCTCACTCGACTTACTGTTCGATACTTTTCAACTTCCGCCAATAACTTCATCAGAGACAACTGAGTCATAGACTCAAGCAGAACATCCTCCAGGTACAGAGTTGCTACCTAGAAGGCGGTCGGATCGCAAACGTAGACAACCAAAGAAAATTCAGATAAATCCTCGGCTGCGTCACTATTAAATTCTTCCAGAGGGAGGTCATTCAGTCAGTCAGATGGAACGTAGAACTTCGTACGTAAGTACATCAGTTCATGTTGCCATACTACATTAGCACAGAGATGTAATTGTCAATTCAAATTCAATAGCAGTAGAGGTAGTAAAAGTATTAGAAGTAATCGGAGAGGTTAAGATTAGAAGATATTATTCAAGAAGTATGATTCAGTGAGATAAGTTTAGAAAGACAAAACTAGAGTTGTTGAAGAATCCAGAAGATTAGGATTTGAGAGTACACAAAGAATAAATGCACCGGCGCCATTGCAAACGGTTTTGAGCCATGTCATTCAAATATACTGAGAGAATTATTTTTGAAAGTCTAATTCTTTTGGTCATTTCCTGTTGGTCAATATAATGGTTGTCCTAACTGTCAATGTCACAGACTTCAATGTTGTTTCCTATGCGACCTAACTGTATAAATATGCATTATCTGTAAAGCTTATTATTCCTTCCTCCATCTCTTCTGTACTCGACCCCATAAACAACTTCATCTAATGGTGTTGTGTTCTGATATATTGGAGATTTGGGAACAGTATTTGGGGTCGTATTGGAATATCTGAATTCGGTCAATCGGTAGGATTTCGAATAGCTACATAGCAGCATTATAATAATAGGTTTAGTAAAATGATAGATTTTTCATAGGTTATTATGCGGAATAACTGACTTTTTGAAATTTCTGTTTTATTCTAGTGAGACTGTAAAATGGTCGACCAACAAATTCATGGCCTTGATTTAATCAAAAAGAGATTCAGTGCATTTTGTATTAAAGAAGGTATTAAATGTGATGTTCAATATTCAAGGTAAGTTAACTACCTAATCAAATATCATTTTGTTATTACTTAAGTGAGACAACTTTCAACACAAATTGGACGGATGCATTGTTGTATCTTTGCTCTAATCTCCCAAACAGAAAGCTGCAGTTGGATTTCTTAGATACCATTTTAAAGACAGGTAAATTATATGAAAATTCTTTCAATAATGAAAAATAATATTTTCAGCCCTACCATTGGATGAAAAAGTTATGTTTCAAAGTAATTTCAAAAGTATTTAATAAAACGATTCCGTCTTTAGTTGTCAAATACGTTTTGAAAATTTTTCAGGATTTGAAAGAGTCCAATGATGTTCAAGGCATTCAATACGATGCAGTTTTAAGTAGTTGTGCACAACTTATGGTTCATTGTTTAACGTATTCACATACACTGTCTGATTCATATTCATTGTTCATGGATGTCATCGATCATATCAAATCAATAATTAGTCGTATGTTAAAAACATGTTTTTCTCAGTGGTCTGAATTTTAGATTCCAGTACCGTTGAATGTCTCATAGGTTATGCAGTCTTATTCATAAATATTGTTAAATTGGAAAGAAAAAACAACTATCTAACTGAAGTAGGCATAAAGTTGTGTGTATTAATTAAAGTTTATTTTAGATATTAGATATACTTAATGAATATGAGGATTCGCCTCCGTTGGATACCACAGGAAATTTGTCATTTTTATGTCAATTATTTCACTCCAATAAATCACAAGCTCAATTGGCAATTCTAATAGCATTGATTGGAATCCTAACATCAAATGATTGGTTTTGTAATTACAAAAATTGTGGAAGTATAAGTTTGTATATTTTATCTATGGCTGGATTTACTAGTGACTCAACTGATTATATAATTAAGAAGTTTGATCGAAATGATTCAATTACTAATTTACTATTATCGAAATTAGTTTACAATTGGTCAAAGTTTGTTTTCTTCTAATCAGTACGATTATGACTATTGATTTCAGAAAGAATTTATTAAATGCCAGTGAAAAAAATGATCAAGAAACAAATATTCAACAATGTATTATGTCCATGAATCCAATTTTAACATTTTGTATAGAGATGCGAAGCAATTACATAGATGTTTGTTCTTAAATAAATCATTTTAATTCTCTGTTTATATATATTTAGGCCATTCGATATTCTGCTTTAGATACATTTGAGAATATCGTATTTTACCATTTAAAGTATTGTCATGGTAAGTCTAATTCTGTTCCATTTAACTGTAATGTGTTTAAAAATATGTATTTTAGAATGTTGCCAACCAAGAATATCTAGTAACAACAACACATTGAAAATATCTTGTGATCATCTGAATAAGATTTTACATCAATTAATCAGTGATTCATGTTACAGTCGTGGAACAATTGCTATGTTAACTCGATTTGTTCGTTGTATATGTAAGAAAAAACTGTACAAAATAGTCAATTTCTTACACTTTTTGGATTCTATTTGTCAACCATTTGCTAATGACACTAATTTAGGACTTTGTGGAAGAGTTGTTTCAGGATTAATGAAGATTGCCAATGATCCTAATTTGGCATCATCCGTAAGTTAGTTGCTTTGTTATTCTTTAAATTCAAAATTGATATTAGCTGTCTCTATGATAAGGCATGTTTGTCTGATTAATATTTCCTTAAAAAACAATAAGTTACTAAAACTGTTCAATCAACTTATCATATTTTCTAATGTGGACTTTTTATTCGTTACCTTGTTTTGGTTAAACTGTTGGATTAGATACGTATAACTGAATAAAAATCAAACATTCATGTTATGTTAGTCACTAGGTTAACGGCCCACTTATTGTTTAATACATCTGTGGAGTTCTAATTAATTTCCCATGAGTAATAAGTCAATATTTTTATCCGTGTCGCAAGTGAACTGTACGTCAGAAGTTTACTTGTTAACCATACCTTAAATCAGTCGGTACATGCATTATTGCATTAATATAGCTATTCATAGTTATTACAAAACTTGGCATATATGTGTTAGCTCAAGCCTCTAAAGTGCATCAACATTCAGTTAAACCAATATAATAGATAGTGAATGAGTCCAGTTCATCAAAGTAACAATGATGATAAGTAGAACTAACCATCAAGAATATGGTTTATAAAGAAAGATATGTATGTAGAAATAGTGAAACTCAAGATCTAGTGGAAGAAAAAGAGTGGATGTATCTGCGCTATCTTCAATTATTCTGGATCATGTCATCCAAAGTCTCTAACCGATGAGTTCTGTTATCTCCCAAACCCTAATCAGATGTTATGGATCTATCAGCATAGCTCATACCAACAGCCAGTGATTTCATAGACTGTTGCTTCGTTGTGGTTTGGCCGCTCCTAGTTTTCGTCCAACTTTTCTCTAATTCGGTCACCATTACATGATAAAGTTAAGTTTGTTAAAAGATACACACCAAATGTCCCAGTCATTGTATTTGATGAATGTTCACAGTCTCAGCAGTCAATTATTTAGTGTAGCACTATCAAATAAGTGAAATGTGACAGCCTTAACAATAATTTCTACCGCTTCCATCATTTAGAGTGTGAAACTCTGAAGTTAATCACAGCGTATCTACTATTTTAGGATAACATAGTTTCATTTCATTTCCAAGAAGAAAGTTTTGTTTGTATCAAGCATATAATGACAATGAAGTGTTTTCCTCAAAGGAATATCTATTGACTTTTATTTATGAATCTTCTTCTGTTCTGTCTTGGATTTATACCCTTTTTCTCGAAGATTTTATGTTCATTTGTTTCTCTCTTTGACCAAGATTGTTGTCATTGTTACCTTCAGTGTGTCGAGATTATAGATTATAACTGTTCAATCATAAGTTTCATCAATGAACAACTGAAAATCTGTGAAACGTCATTCAAATAGTAATTATTTATATGAATGTGCCCGTTCACCTTCTATACTTAGATTTCTTTCTTGGATCTGGGTTCAATACAATAACTATAATACAGTTTCTATTTTAGATGTGCTGGCCTTCTGTTCAAGATGATCAGGAATGTTCTGAGCCCGGGTGAAGGCTCATCATTTCACCTCCTCTGGGTTGAAACTTGCTACGAACCCTAATCGGGTGTGCTCGGGAGTTCAATTTTTTCAGTAGGGATGTCTCATAATCCGCCCTTTATAGTCCCTAAATGACCTGGTACGCCTGAGAGTGACGAGAATCTGCTCTCCCACTCCAAATGCACTCATATGGCCATGCGTTAATGGCCATTACCATAGAAGTCAAATTCTCGTGACAAGGATGTCGTTTGAAAAATTGGGAAGACGAAATGCAAATGTACGACGTGCTAACCGAGTTGTTGTATATAAAAGGGGGTTAGAAAACCCTGACTCCAAACCAGTGTTGTACATGAACTCCAGTATCCTAAGGGAATGAATGGCGTACAAACCTATTGTTGGTTACTGGCTACCATGGGACTGCATCCGGTGACATTGCTTCCTATCTAAACCATCTCAAGTTACTAACTGGTCAAAATTTGAATGCTACCACTGAATACGAATTCTGAATCAGCCTTTCTAAAACCACAAATGCTATTCAAATTTGTGTCCTTCAACGTTCACACTAATGCAGGTCGGAAAACAGACAGGGTTGGCTGTCTTTAGAGAGTCCTAACGTCAATGTCTGTTGTCTATTCAAGACCCTAGTGACGTCAGTCAGTCAGTTACAACGTAGGACTACGTACGCACGTACATCATTCCAAGTTGCTGTACAACATTAGCACAGAGACGGAATTGTCAATTCAAATCTCATAGTAGTAGATGTAGTAGAAGTATTCATGGTAATCGAGAAGATTAGGGTTTGAAGATATTATTAAAGAAGTATAATCCAGTAAAACAAACTTAAAAAGATAAGGGTAGTGAAGAATCTGGAGGATTAGGATTTGAGAGAAGCCAAAGAATGGATGCACCTGCGCCACTACAAATGATTTTGAGCCGTCATTCAAGGTCTCTAACCATCGATTACTGTCATCTTGCGGACCCCGACCAGGTAGTCTACACTTACCAACATGACTCAATCCAGTTTTCAGTTATGTACTAAACGTTCTCTATACATCTGCCGCTTCGATAAGCTTATTTCACGTAGGATTATCCGTACCCCCTGTGGCATCTTCGTCTGATCTTTCTGACGTTGTTGCACTAAGCACTAGAGCTGGAGCAGCCCTTCTCAATCGCACCGCCATTAACAACCGGTTATCTGCTGTCGCATTAGAAAGCTCCATCTAAGTGTGGAGAAATCGGTTTGCAAAACGATGCCATCCCGTTATCTCCGTATGCGCAACGACAGATTGCAGCTTAGATGTAATCAAAGATGAATTCTACTACAAGTTGTGTGATCTTGCTCAAAAAATGTATTCGACGGATAAGTTTCTATATGCTTCTCACAATTCATTAAAGTAGGTCAGTTTACGGGTAACCACGATTTTGACGATAAAAGAAGGCTGCTACGTAGCCAAAAACCTGGTGATCGGAGTTGGATGTAGTAGTGACATCTGTTAACTACTGGAAGCTCTTTCAATTCATGCGAGCCATTAGCAGAAAGAAGTTCGGTGTAAGTGAAACATTCTGTTAAGCTGATGACACATCAACCAATAACATGCGCCCACGTCTCGGGAGATGGACAGGGTCTTTCGCGGAACAGTTCACCTCGTCTGCTAACCAGTGACATTGAACAGACTCCTGTGACCTCCATGGCCGGTGACGACTGATCCACTTAACAAGGCAGAAGTTCACAAGGAACTCCAAATCTTGAAGTGGCCCAGATGACTTCCAGCAGTTTCTAAAGATGGTGACCACCTTCTCACTGAAACTGACTAACTTGTTTACAACTGTTTGGGAGTTAGTGTTCCAACATCATGTAATGAGTCCCTACCTTTAAAAATGGTTCAGGCCATCCGTGTAAGAACTATCGGGGAAACGGTTCACTAACGATTTTGTCCACACTTTTGGTTTCACTCATACTTCTTAGATTGTTTGAAACCTGATAAAGACTGACTCCCGAGGAGCAGGCTGGTTTTCATCCTGATCGAGGATGTATTGATCGTATCTTCGCCCTCTGACAAATGTTGAAAAGCCTACAGTCGTTATGTTTCTTGACATCAGGGTCTCCTTCACTTCTTTGGACAGGACTGTTCTCTAGGATTGTACTGAAAAAGGTTGTGACTGAGAAGTTTATTAACATCCTAAAGGGCACCTCAGGCAAAGTGAGGGTATACAATCATTTCTATTCATTGTTTCACTCAAGCAGTGGGGTTAGGCATGGCGGCCCACCTCACCATTCCTGCTTATTTTTGCCATCGATGACGTTCTGCAAACAGATATGATGGATGTACATGATGGCGGTGTGGATCTGTCACCTGGAGAAGGCTTCAACCTTGAGTATGTGGATGGTACTGTTATAATGTGTGAAGATTTCCAAGCCATGCAATCTGCACCTAATCACTTGGCAGTCAGTGTCCATAGGTGTGGCATGTGCTTTTCACCTTCGAAGTGCACAGTACTTTTACAAGACTAGCAGAACCCTGGATCTGGACTCGCTCTTGGTGAAAGTAGTCAAAAGGTTCATGTAACTAGGTAGCCGTTTTCATGCTGGTGGTGGCGTGAGTGATGGGACCAATCCACGTTTAGCGAATGTCATAGCGGCTTATGCTAATCTGAGTCATCTTTGGCACCTTCATGATGTTTGTCTCACTTTAAAAGGTCGGGTCTACAATGCGTTGGTGCGAGCAGTTTTGCTATATGCTTGTGAAACCTTATCTCTGCGAGTTGAAAATATGACATAGTGTCAGAGTATGAAAGAAATCTGTACAGGACTAACACCTTTAGGTCCTTCATGAAACCGTGGTTGGGATCCTAGAGATAGTGCAACTCAGCGGCTTAAGACGTTTTCAGACATAGCCCAAACTCTAAGCCAGTGATGGTCCTGATGTTACGTTCTATTATTTTCTTCACATAGGAGGAACATCTTTAACTGAAAGGATTCTTTCTGATTGTATTTCTTTTAACTGAACTGTATCTGCCATTATTATTACGATTAGTTTAACTCTCATACACTTATTTCGATCTATTGTTTGTTATTCTCACTGTTTTTTCCCATCTTTTAATGCCTATTTGTTCTAATATTTGTTTTAAATAATTTAAAACAAGTAAACGGAACGTTCCGGTTAAATACAAAACAGTAGTTGCTTTGTAGTTTAATCACAATTCAATTGTTAGTTCATAGATTCAAACCCCTCTCCAGTTACGCCTGTTTCAGCAACCAGGTAGTGTTACTGTCCCTCATACTTGGAGTATGGCTCAAAGACAAGCACACTAATCTCTATCTAGTAAATTTGTTAACGAAATTGAAAACAAAGCCTATGTGGCACTTATAGACATGTTTATAAACGTGTATTTGATAAATAATTTGTTCTATTTTTACTTAGAAAGAAAAAATTATTACATTTTAATTTCAATAAATGACTGTAAATTATTAGGAAACAAACAGTTCTAAACGAAATGTTACAACAGTTAAAATAATTATTTTATTATATATATATAACGTATGTAGTTTATTATTTATTTACATAGATTGCAGAATTGTACACATTAATTGCTCAAAATCTCTGGATTAACAATGATCCATTAATTAATACATGGTTATCTGGTTTAGTCGATAATTTAATTCACAACTCTAACGAAACATTTCATTCTACAATTAATCAAGTAAACATTTTCTCTTTAATAATAATAATAATAATAAATCTATTAATCTTTTATTATCAATTGACATGAACTCTACTATCCTCATCTAATTAGAACTAATGATCAATCAATTAGAAGATAATGTTTAATTATTAAAGTTTCAAAATTATAAATAGTTAAAGTTTTAACATGATGAACAAATGTTTACACGTTGTCATCTCATAATAATAACAATAATAATAATAATTACTCATGAGAATTTCCTATTGTTTACTCTTGTCATGTATGATAATTGTTAGATTTTATTTAGCTCTTAGTAAGTTACAATATATCTATCATGATGCCTTCATATATGATCGGTTTTGTTTGGATTTCGATACTGAATCATTATAACTAGTAATATATTGTCATATCCTTTTTTATGGAAAAGGATCATTACTAACAAACCTTAAGTAATAAAACACTGCAAGATATATTTGATTGAAATAGTTTTTGATATCTATTTTCGAAAGTCGATTGAAGTTTTTGTTAGAAATATATACCTATTCAATATGGTATGATAAACAAAGTGCTCCGTAAGTAGGCCTCTAAGCAATTTTTGCCCTGAAGAACAGTGCCAGTTATTGGATTTGATACATTGATTTCCTTCATGCTAGTGTGATTCTCCAACAAAATAATTTGTATAAAACTGTTGATTTCAAAACTAATCCTCGATAATATCGCTGAGATTTTCCCGTTGCTTTATTTTTCAAAAAGAGGTACAGTAGGATTTAAGTCAGTAGTACCCAAATAATTCATTTTTTAGATTGTATTCTTCGTAATCCAGTCTCACTTGTAATATTATTAAGAATCATAAAGTACACTGAGTAGTATGGGACACCTCAATGGTAATGTACACCCATAATTTACCAAGGACCAAACCCAAAACATTCAGGTCTTGTTGCAAATACTTCAAGCAATAGTACCATTTTAACTACACTCAATTCCCAATATATCCTTGATGGTTATTTAATACCATTAGTGACAACTGTTTCATTCCGAACATAGTTCCCTAAATGTAACCAATTCGATCTAAATATTAAACTAATCTCTTTCTAAAATCCCTTCAACAAAATTTATTTTTCTGTTTATATTTCTTTTGATATTAGAATATTTTACCTAGTTTAATGAAAACCAATCCTAAATTGTTGGAAATACTCGTAAAATGTTATAACAATGACTCAGGTAATTGCTTTCTTTTGTTTCTAATATTCTGTATTTTAACTTCAAAATGATGTTTTATAATGTTTGCTAATTATTATATAATTGTGGGCGATCTAAATACTTAAATCTTCTCTATTGGAAATCTGTTCTATCTTAATTAAGACTTAACAGTCGTCAAATCATGTTGCATTAATCTTCAACGAATGTGAAACTTTAAGCATTTTTCGAGCCACTAATCATGGTGTACTGGCTCCCCGAATAGGGTTGCCCAAGGAATAATTTATCACAGTCAAACCAAGAAATATGATTTCAGTACGCGAAGTTACTAACTGTTCAAGTGAATGATTCTTGCTTTTTATCCACAAGAGAACTATTATTGACAATGCTCTCGATAATATTGTTCGCAATCGGGTAACAATAATGCCAATGAACTTATTTCTTCCATACTTTTACACTGTATACTAAATATTTGGCACATGACTGCTCTTTGCTGTATACCTCATAGATCCCCTTTCTTCACCATACTGAAATGTGGCCAACAATAAACTGATCTACATATAGATGTATACTAAGTCCTGCATTTAAGACTGATTGATCGCTTTTAAGTGGTTGAAGATAGCTAGCAGGAAAATCCTGCCTGACTTAGGTGTCGTGCTGTTTGATACTTATCATGAAACGTACCTACAATCTGAGATGCTACCGCTGGTCTATTCAGGTCACTGAAGGTGAATGACACTAGTTCCAATCCCTCAAGGAACACTACTTCCCTTATGATTGTAGATACGATGGCTAGGTAGTATGAAACATGATTTAAACATCATCTCCTGCCTAATACTTCCGCCCACCTGATATTTCAACATAATGTCATCGATATAAAGTCACTTAGACTAATGACCACACTACTACAATTTAATGGATAAAATCTTATCAGCACTGAAGATCTAGACAAACTTTACATTTGCCATCTTTCACTGACCAATCAATTTTATATAACCTGGGATGTCTTTTAAACAAATATGTCACAACCTCATAAAGTTTATCTCATAAGAATCCCTGTTTTTTAAAAATTTTATCCTCTTCAACTCTTCAAATAAAACAATTACTCGCACAATAATTTTAATTTGTTTTCTCTCTCGTTTTGTACTTTTCACAACAGTTAGTAGGGATACTAACTTGTATATGTTCCAACTAACTTGTTATCATCTTTTATCATTGAATGGTATGAAAACAGATTGTTGTGAACACTTGTCGTTAAATTTTTTAACTTCATGTCTTGTCTCATATGATAATCAGGTAAGTGCATATTATGTAGTTGTGTGCATACATGTATAATACTAGTATTATATATATATATATATATATATATAAATCTTCCTCTTTGGCACTCCCCATACTTGCTGCCTAATAATATAAATAATTTAAAAATGATAGGATAAGTTATTTTTAATTTTAAAATGGATATAAAAACCTATTACTTGTTTGGTGACTAAATTTTTAATAGCAATAAAACACCTGCATGCACTCCGCATATATTTCGTACCATCAAAATATATCGTCAAGACCAAATAAGCGAAGAGTCCACAGTCATTTTAATGTGAGTTAAGAAACCGGCTTAGTGAGGTTGATATTGTATTAAAATATTTTAATTATATCTCAATTAGTTTTTACAAGGCATAGATTCATGTACTAGAGCCAAACTCTATGCCATGAAGGCTAGTAGTGGTACTAATCATTTGCACAAGTCAAAGTGAGTATAACGGAGTTCGAATCTACAATTTAAGTAGTTTAGCGTTGAATTACTTAACCACTACTGATGGTTAACACTAAAATGAGATGTTTTGAATTGCTCCATCATTATGCAAACTTCACTTAACCAATTTTTCGTCACTGTCATTTGTATGTGTGAAAAATTCCGCACAACGAATTTAATGTTAATCGTACTTTTTTTGTAAATAAACAAGACAATACTTCTTTTATTCGAAAATAAGGAATATTTGTTTCTTATAGCTTTTCAGTCCGTTGTTTCGGAATACCCCTCTTGAACTTTTTATTCATATTATGTACCTTTTTATCGTTACATCATGAATATTCTTAATGGGATAATGAAAAACTAAGTTCACATCCAGGGTCCTATAGGATATAAAATTGAAAATTGTCAGTTTTCGCTGTTGCCGCTTACCCGTTCAAACGACCACATTATGCAACGATGTATATCTTTTTATCTGAATTTTTTATTACTAAAAATGCTACTACTCAATAAGTAGTAACATCAAAGAACAATCAAAAGTAAATCAGGATCGTGATAATGTTTATTTTTCGTTGAATCTGTTTACACTCGTATTTTACATATAAATACTAACTAAACAAACAAAAATTTTCTCAAATTTTTTTATCTCATTACTTTTTATTTAAAAATCAAGTTACGTATTACAGCTTTAAATGTTCTAGTAAGTTCCATCACAAAATCAAAACAAAAACTGATTTTATCAAATGAAAAGTTAGAAATGTTTCTTAATTATCTGAAACGTGATTTATGGCCAAATTCAAAGCATATACATGATCAGATTGTCAGCGCAATTAAAGATGTAAGTGTTTGTTTTATCCTCCTATCGTGTACAATAAATGAACTGACTTAAGCTTCTGAGATTACGTTGTTATAGATCTTTCTCTCGTATCTAACTTGTAAGCTGTTATCACATTAAACTATTCTTTCTAATCACTAGATATAACCCTTCAAGACTCCTTTTTTTGATTGCATAATTCACAACGGTTGTATGAATAAGATGGACAAATCGGTCAGTAGTATCAAGGCGATAAGACGAGCTAAAGAACTTGAGAATTTCTTCAATAATCTTCTAAATAACATGAACTATGAATGCGACAAATGTTGTTTATACTACAAATGAAAAGAAATATTTTGGGAAAGTACATGACTAAAAAATAAAATGAAATTTTTATAAAGCAACATGTTTATGACTTTAGCATAAAAATTTATTAAAAAGACCAAGTATTATATTAAATGACTATTTATAGTTGAACACTTATTTCAGTTATTAGATTGTAGTTAATTTGTCCTGTGTTACATGAAATCTGACATTCATTATGTTGATGAGTTAATAATTTGTATATAATTCAATTAATTAACAGTAAAGATCATTGAGTATAGAATGAATCAATTGTCTGTTATTGTATTTTGTTTAAAAAATAATCATCAGTCATGATCTAAGTTGACATTTTAAAAATAATGAAAAAAATAAACAGCATATTCATGAAATGATTGAGTGTTTTTTTTTTAATATTTGTTTTTCTTCAATTTATTATTATAAACTGACAGATTTTGTTGCATACACTTTCGATCATTAAACGTGGAATAACTACTACTAATTTAAGTAATCTTGAAGTAAGTTGATTGTAGTATCGTTTATACGTTTTGATATTTGGTCTGCTTTCAGTAGCTTTTTCATATAATCAATTCATTCTTCAACTTATAGACGTTTTTCCATTTTGTCTCCTTGTTTCAGTTTTTTTTTTGTTCTATATGTGTGTGCTGCTCTTTCAAATTTCATTTTTTGTATATTCTGCATGCACCATCTACAAACATACACAAGTTAAAACGTACAGTGCATAGTCTTTGCTATGACAATGACAGGGTTTTAATATTTGTGAACTTGTTTGGTGGATATAGACTTGTCTATTTGGCTACTTTAAGGTTAGTTGCCCAAAACAGAGTAGGTGAAGAGAAGTTTGAGCCCATGGTGAAGGTCAACCACTGTAACTACTGTACCATTATTTAATAATTGAACAGTTTGTATTATTATCATAAGTTATGAGAATATTATTACCATATATTATTGTCGTACCTCTGTCTCAACACAAACGTGGTTGACTGTGTAAACATTGGTATTACAACCAAACATTAAGAATGAAGTTCTCAAATTGTGCATCAATTCGCTAAACTTTCTGTATATTCAAACCTCTCACTTTTAAACAAAGTAGTTTTTATACTAGCTGAAAGTCTTTCATGTTTTCTGTTTTACTATGTGTCATACAGCTGTGTCGTTTTATATCTTCATAATTTTGAAGAATTTTCTAATTAAAATTATTCAATGCTAGTAAAGTACAGATTAACAATTTTTTCATAAATTTTCTATAACTACTAAATAGTATAGAATACTTATTTATAAATATTGTATCTATCATTCAGCTTAATCATTATGTACCTTTTTAAAACAATGATATATACTAAATTCATTTTATCATACAAAAAAAGAAAAAATAATATTAAAATGAATATGAAGTTTTAATAATTGGTAGATCAATTGACAATTATGCCTTTTTTTAAACTAAACAAAGCAGCGCAGACACTGTGAGAAATGTTCAATAGGTGTGTATATGTATAAATCACCCTTTTTTTTGAATAGCTTTTACCTCTTCTTGTATTTACTATTTGACTTTGACAAGTCATATCATCACAAGCACATAATGATTCAACTTATGATTATTATTATTATTATTAATTATATTTTTTTTATAGAATTATCTAATTGTTTCATGTTTATTTGTTGTATTGTTTGTTATTTACTGATCAATTAATCTCAGTGAATAGTTGTGCACTTCTTCAGTGTGTTTTATTTGTTTGTTTGAAGAAATTTTGTTGATGTTGTTGTTGTATTTTACTGTTTTCTTTTTCTTCAGTTGTTTTGTGTTAAACTAGTTCATACCCTAATGACGTGTATTTATCCTGGATCACCAGCCTCACGTTTATCATTAGGCTTAGCTGGACTATACACAGTTATTGAATGCTTTTATTCCATGTTTTATACGGATTGTAATACAGGTAACATGTTTACTTTTTTTTTTTAAATGTTCTACATTCAGTCAACATTTTTATTGATAATAAAATGAACACTTAAAATATGTTACTGTATCTACATTACACGATAGGGTTCCTACATAATTTTCTGGTTAATAATCTCATTCATGAAAACCAATACAATAAGTGTTTTTATCAACCTAAGAATCGGTATCATCCATTTGAAGTCAAAATTGTTTTATTCGCTAAGATAAATTGTTCTTATGTATCAATCAAATGGGTTAAAGCTTTCAAAATTCACTGTTATTGCCTTACTTATTCAAGAAAATGTTTGCTACGTAAAGATAGTAAGTAGAGTCTCTATTAAAATGGGTGTTATGCAAGCTAGCTTTATGTTAGAGATTAATTATTTCCGTGATTTAGTCATTCAATTTTTACATTGTCAAATGTTATACCGTTTCAAATTCACCTTAAAAATATACATAAAATCTGTTTAAGATGATGTCATAGGAAGTCAACACTGATCATCTTTCTTATTGTCGATTAAAACCTACATTGTTCTACCATCAACCATACAGATTTCTTTTTAGTTATAATATTTTATTCTAAATTCAATGTAAATAAATCGTTCATGATTGTATTAGTGGACAAGAAATTGGCAACTTATCGATTAATCAATTAATCAACAGCAACGTAGAACTTCGTACGTAAGCACATCAGTTCAAGTTACCATATCACATTTGCACAGAGATATAATTGTCAATTCAAATCCAATAGTAATAGAGGTAGTGAAAGTATTAGCAGTAATCGAAGAGATTAGGACTCGGAGATATTATTCAAGAAGTAGAATCTAGTGAAATAAACTTACGTTCAATGTGTTTATCTAAACATTAATAACTTATCATCCACTCATATGTTTTCTTTTTAGAATTGGTGAGTTTTTTTTAATGTTGAAAATAATAATATTTTGATGAATATGATTTCTTAACTCATTATCACTTTGATTTCAATTTTGAAGAGTTCACCAAACGAATTATGAGTTGTTTAAATGAAGCAACCAAAGGCTTATTTACATTAGCTTTATCTAGCAGTGAAGATTTTAAATCAATCAACCAATCAACGTTACAATTGTTCTCAATTCTTATGATTGGTTTATGCAGTCGATATGATGTTGATCGAGATTATGCTGTGAAAATACTGTTAAGATTGAATATTTTACCACAACTTGTAAGTTATTCTCTTTTGACCTGCTTCCCAGACAGCGCTACTTTTAATTATCAAGATAAGTAGTATCTATCGTTGTGTACAAAGAAGTTTAATGCATGTGTGTCTGCATTTCCCTGTGTAATTTGATAGTATACTAGTTAATTACTTACCTAAATTATTTAGCGCCATTTACATTCAACAATATTCAAGATCACGTGAAAGTAGTGGAGCATAATAGTCGAGACTCAACTGAGTTCATTTGAACATGTCTCCAAAGATCACTGTAAATTATAATAATGAAACAGCAATCTTTCTACGAAATGATTCGAATTTTATCAAAATTCAGCCTACAGAAAAAACTTAATTACTATTTAGCATACGTGCAAATGATTCAAACAATTAATCACGAAGATATTGCTTCATTGGAATATGAATAATTCATGAAAATTGAAGTGTTCATTTTATAATACAATTATTCGTGAGGTTATTGTCTAATGGTCAACCTGTGAACCGATGCTGAAGTGACCTTGAGAATACTCACCTAATTATTAGAGTCTAGAGAGGGTTAGTAAGAGAATTTAAAGTCGGATGTAAAGGTGTAGGGGTTAAAGTTGGATGTTTAGGGGTGTAGGTGCTCATCACAAACTTACATGAGCGACAATGATAAAATACTATTTAACCATAGGGATTGATAAATTTCGCGCGAAAACCTAAGACTTCCTATTTCAAATGCAAACTGGTTTAATGATATTATTGTTATAGTAAAGTTTCATAAGTTACTGACGAATAGAATTTCTGGAAGATGAATTTAATCTATTTTACTTCTAATCACTTCTACATAGTTTACCCATTTCTAAGCTAAAAATTTATTCAACATTGGAATGGTTTCATATTTTCCAAACTTAATTGTGTACTTCAATTAGCACTCAATAGGTACTTGACTACAACAATACATTATAATTGAGATTTTTGATTGCATTGGTTCATATGAAAATACAAGTGAATACAGGTGAATAACATAAATTCAACATAAAATGTGATATGATTTATACATTTTGATTAAATTAACACTAACAATATAAAGTGAACAAACAGAATGTAGGACAAATCATTGTAAGAATACTGATCATATGAATAACCAGGTTGATTGCATTTATCAACATTATTCACTGCAATAATCACTGGTTTCATGCCCATAGTTTGACATTAAAAATTTCCTTTCTTCATAAAACAAACTATTCTACTCAATGATGTTGTTCACTTACTATCAATTTATGTATTATACAAAATTTATATCATGTAATTTTGAATGATTAATATGTATATATTTTTTTCTTTTTCATTACAGAATCCTAATTATATTAATAAATTATGGACTGATACACTAGAAATTTATGCTCAATGTTCCAAACCAGATATCAATCCTATTGCTGGTGATCTATTACGTTTACTTATCTATAGTAATGAGAATATTAATCAAACAAATTGTTTATCTACATCTTCATCATCTATCGTCAATATGAAAGTCATACAAGCAATAGATTATCTTCTTAATCAACTTGAAGAACAAATTATCATGTGTGAAAAATTCCCAGTGAATGGTTTAATGTCTGTAGTAATTAATAAACCATTTTATGCTATGCTTAATACTATTCGTTCTATCATTGGCATCGCCTCATCAACATCATTGAGTAAGAAAGACAAAAACTCTATCAATCTTCAAATTTGGAAGTGTACATCAATTAAAGCAGAGTATGTTTTTCTTTTTTTTTCTGTATGTGTATTTGAGTTTACATTTACCTTGAAAAATGGAGGTTAAGGACTGTAAAATAATAAAAGAAACACTTATCATTGTCATGAAATCCTAGTCACAAACACTTCAACTTTTACTGACACTCTTTTACAACAATAATCGTTACATAAAACTGAGTCAAGGATTTTAATATCTCGAAAAGAACACAGATTTTTTCCAACTATGGAATTCCCGATATGAGTGAGTAACATAAAATTTTAAAAAATATCAACTAAAATTTGGATTCATGAAATGATCAATTTTAGACCACCATTAGAAAACTGAAGGCACGTGACAACTGTTTTCAGCTAGTTTGAAACTAATTAGCAGTGCGCATCGACGTCCCTGCTCATCAATGACGAGCTCCGTGGGTAAATTCTTGGAGTTCTAATGAGAAGCTGTGACCAGTGGAGTTAAGCGTGTTGAGTGTGTGTGGACTGATTAAAGTTAGATAGACATTAACACCATTGGATGCCAGCACAGCAAACACGCGTTTAAGCGTTCTCGCGCGATACTGAAGTTCATGGGTTTGACTCCCTCTTAAATGTGCACAACTGATTATTTCTATGCTAAGAAGAAAGGGCCGTCTAATGCTACCAGTTTCCAAATGGAATTATGAGATTGATCGATTCGTGGTTTCAAGAAAGCTCCACAATCTCTGTGACTTCTCACTAATAAAGTTGAATATTTTAGATTGTTAGATATTTAACCTATTTTAAATTGGTATTTACACTTCCAGCTTTTGTTTGATTGTTTTTAATGATTTGTGAACCATAATTTATCTTCAACGGTTAATGTTTTACATCAACTTGTAAAAACTGTGGGCATACTTCTTGATATTAAACTCACTGAAAAAACTACACCTTGAGATCGTGATGCAGGTGGGTGATTATGGTAGTTTCGTTCTCTAATATGGATAGTTTAGTTCAGTAGCTGTCATTGTTCTTCTGAACAAAATCTTCAGCTAAACCTACAGGTAGAAGTGAACTTTTCAATTTTGCCACATCTGACAGGACAAGCTATGAGTCATGTATGCAAAATTCGAATAGTTCATTCCTATCTGAAGTGTTTGTGCCTATGATGTTTTTCAGACGAACAATGAAAGCTCCACAATAAAACCATCCTGATCAGTGATTAAAACTCCTCCATAAACTACATATTTCCCATTAAAAAAATGGTATTAAAGTCTAGTTGGAAATTTATAAGTATCGACAATAAGATAGATTACCACTATAATTTCCCAGTAAGAAGTGACTTCTTTGATAATAAACAAATATTTTACTGCAATTTAAAAAATTACGTTTTTATAGATCTTTGTTCAAACAAATCAATGGAGTAAACTGTATGGAGCGTATAATTTCACTAGGTCTTCGTATATCTGAAATCGTTCTACCGGTTGTTGGACATGAATCACCTGAAGGTGTCTTATTAACCTCAAAAGAAGATGTAATCATTGATGATATTAAAGTGAGAAACGAATATATTCATTTTTTTCTGGCTTTTGGATATTGAATTCAATTCAGTGATATCCTAACATTCACTGTATTAGTCTTAAAACTTAGAAAAAGCCGTATGAGTTTCATGCTAAAAGTATACTTTACTTACAAATCGCCAACCAGTTGTAAAATAGGAGTTATCGAATTTTCCCGTGAAATTTAATACATTATGATTAATGAAGTAAACTCAACTATAAATTAGGAATTAACTTGAGCGGTTCTTAAAATTAATCGTGGTGAAATGACTGATTTGTGATGAAGGTAATGGGAAACGAATTAAATTGAAATTTATCTATCGATCCCACTATACAGTATTCTTTTACTCCATTCTTGATAATTAGTCAGTCACAACGTAAAACCTTGGATGTACGTACATCAGTTCAGATTGCCATACCACATTAGCACAGAGCTACAATTATCAATTCAAATCCCATAGTAGTAGAGGTAGTAGGAAGCATTAGCAGTAATCAAAACGAATAATGATCGAATATATCATTCGAAATGTATACCCCAGAGGAATCAATTAAGAAAACATGAAATTTGTCACTACGCAGTGATCGTTCAATTGTAAATACATCTCAGTCCTGCAAGAGATCAGTCGCAACCGAAATGAATCAGTAGTAGTAATGCCTTTGATTACGAAGCTAATTGATATAGAATCAAATCTGCCAGAAAGTTTCGGTTCCCTCACTATTACAGGCACAGCTCGCTGACAAGTTCCAAACAGCACAAAACCTAAGTTAAGTAGGGTTTCATGTAGACGACTACCTTCAGCTACCAGCCATCAATGTTAGTTTTATTACTAAGTAATGCTTTTTATTATCTTTATTAAAAAATATTTTATATTTATTAGTAATATTCTTTACCTTATCTCTTTTGTAAACAAAGTGTTTCGCATTCATTTCATTCTAACATCTTTTTTTGTCTTCTGCTACTTACTCCAAGATTGAAAATGAACAAGCTGATCATTTGTATAAATTATCTGAAAAAACGCGAAAATATCCGGAATATTTAATTTTATGTTGTTGGCGATCTGTTCGTGAATTATCTTTACTTATGGGTATATCACTTATTTCGTATGGCTTCAACAATTCCAATAGTGATCAAATGAAGCCGAAAGAGGTTCGTTAATTGATTGGTTTTCTTTTCGTGATATTTACGATAAACACTTTGTAGTTTGTATCATAAACAAACATGTATAATTTAGCTAGATTGTCATTGAAAAAAATTATGGAGGCATTGAACAGACATTTTATCTTTGACCATGTGCATCCATTACCAGTCATCCGGGAATCGAATGTAAATCAATGATGTTCCAATTGATCATGGTAACTTTCTTTAACTTGATTTGAGTAATTTCACTGATTACAGCCTATTCAATATGTTTTTCACTTATCATCTGTGTCTACCTTCTAAACATTTCATGTTTTTATATGATGATAAACAAACTAATCACCTTTTTTATTTGTTACTTAAACATTACCATTCAAAAATCCTTACAAAGTGATTACAATGCACGAACTGGGTTTTTTGTTTTCTTTCAATTTTCATCTAAACAAATAAACTATCTAGAAGTAAATTAATTCATAAAATTTTCCTGTTTATAACTCGTAATTAAATAATTTCAATATGAAATAGCTCTGTATTCTTTTTTTAAATCTGAATTATCAAATGACTTTCCAATCGATCGCAGCAATAGAAACTCGAATTTAAACGTGAATATGTAGACAGATGATTATGAATAAAAATGCAACATGAAAATTATGTCATTGAAAAATAATTAATTATCAATGATGTAATATGAATGCATTATTTCTACGAACTTATTAATACTATTTATTGCATTTACTAATCACGCCTTCTGTACACAAATTTGATGCAAAACATTAAATAAATCAATCATAGAATACAATCTGTTTCTCAGTTTTTCCAACTTCACTTCCATGTTACTTGTCTTTTTTGTGTATATGACACTATACTACTTAATAGTGGAAATAATTTTTAAGCTTTATTCAACTGTTTATATAGCTTGTAGTGAATGAGAACACAGGTGGGGCAACCGAATTGTATTTAGCGAAAATTACAGAGTTACACAGTAAAATCGGAAAACCATATCGTAAATCGTTCATTTGCAAAAGATCAGTTCATCCTATGGAACTGGATTGTTCCTGTTGCAAAACAACTATTCATGCGTTTCATACAAATTCCATTGTTTTCTAAGTCTTCCTTTCTTGATCTTCCCCCCATATTATGCTACCAGACTTTACGTTGACACTCACGCTATATACTACTTATAAGTAGTTCGCACCACAGCACCACAAGCTTACATCTTAACGATAAGTATTTGTGTTAACACGAATCGAAATACACTACCATTGAACGTATCTTATGGATTTTTTCTTTAAAACAGTATTAATTGAGTTTCAGGCACTTTGTTATTCGGTAAATCCATATTGTTCGTCTGTCAGTTTCGCAATTTTCACATGTCATTCAATTGGTAAATTATAATCTTCTTACAGATTTAGTGATGTTTGTAACAGAATCAGCAATTGGAATACGATCTCACGTTAATAAACCGTGTTGACCGCTTCACTTATCTTCGGAGTCTCATCAGTGCTGATGGCCTGGTGACTGACGAAATCTCAGCACGGATACAGAAAGCTCGACTGGATTTTGCCAACTTGCGTCACTTATGGCTTAGGCGAGATATCCGTTCGCTGACTAAAGGAAGAGTGTACTGTGCAGTAGTTCTCTGCGTCCTACTTTATGGCTGTGAAACATGGTCGGTGAGGGTAGAGGACATTTGCAGTTTGTTAGCATTTGATTATCGATGTCTTAGAGGCATTGCTCGTGTATCGTGGGACAACCGAGTAAGCAATGCTGCCATTAGCAAACGAGTACTAGGTAGGGATGGCAGGTCAATAAATGAAGTAATGAAACTTCACCAGTTGAGGTGGTTGGGATATGTGTAGCGTATGCCTAACCAACGGCTGCCTCGATGAGCTGTTTTATGATGTAGGAGTGAGTAGGTTCGGAGAAAGTTAGAGGCGGCCAATCCAAAACATGGAACAAATCCATGTATATATATATATATATATATACTGGTAATCTACAAGTTAGTTCTGAAAATAACCATTCTTCCATGTCATATGAAATTAAACAATATCCAATTTATTTTTTCTGTTGTACAAATAATTTTTCTTTTCTACGTTACAGATTTTTTCTATTGCTCAATTTTTTTGTACTCAATTACTTTGTTGTCGTCATCGTGGAGCATTTGAACTGTGTGCAACTGGATTTACAAATTTCTGTACTGCACTCGTAAAGTTAGTTGATGAATCGTATTTCTTATTCTTTATGATTATAGTTATATTTATTTTAACATAAATATTAGTTCAAAGGGGTGCCAAAGTATTATATTTACTTCAAAAATTACTGAAGTCTTGAGTGGGCTGGGATACTGCCTGGGTTCCCAAATCGAACCTGTATTTTTCCCAAGGTCCCACTCCCCGAGCCTTAGACCCGAAATTCTATTCCACAAAGCGGTGGAGCAACGTCAGGAGCGGCAATCTCATGATAACCAGTTACCAACAATGGGTTCACATTCCACCACATCACATCCTGGAGCCCTTATGATCATCGGTTTGGAACTAAGGTTTTGCAACTCCGCTAGGTAATTCCTCTATACCAAAAATCAAAATTCAAGCGCCTCTTATTTCTTTTTATTCCTCTGCATTTCATACGCAACACCCTTGCCTTGGGAAGGCTTGAGGGTAGGACTACCTTGACAGTGGCTGTATATACTCATGGCCATATGAAAAGGAGAAGGACAGTGGATCCTTCCTACTCTTGGTCGTACAAGGGCATTTTGGGAACACATTTGTATTTAATCGACAGAAGAATATTCTAATGCCTAATAATCATGACTAATGAAATGTAATTTATACATTGTCAAATAATTTATTTACTCAATATGAGTTGACAGGATATAAATCAACAGGTGAGAGCGTACTACTTTGGTCATTGAAGTAGTAAGAAATGAGTATCTTGTCAATCACACACACAAAAAAACACATTAGTGTTATTCGCAACCACAACAACAACAACAACAATTGCTACTACTGCTAATCAAAAAATATTTGATTTTTGAACCTAAGATTTTAGCAAACATTGATACCGTTTACTATTGAGAAATTCAGTCAATCAATGTAAATACTTTAATCTCCTTTCTGCTGGTAGAGATCAATTGTTGCGTGAATAACTTTCAGTTTAGGTGGTGACATTTCACATTGTGATACTGAGATACCGTTTTAAATCACTCAGAAAATATCATTCTCTCCTCACGATCTAAGAAACTCTCGACAACTATTAACTACCATGAATCTAATCTTCTTGTTAATTGTATTTCTATCGACTTCATTTTGCAATGTCCTATTCAACTATAAATATCAATTGCCTTAAAAGTGTATGGTACGTTTTTTAATGTGTTGTTTATTGATTCTCATTTATTGCTTTATTCATTTGAATTTTTTCCCACCGCTTAAATGTGTAGTCATCCAGTTTATTGTTCAATTCCTATTCATTGGCTAAATGTTATTACTGGTCAAAGTGTATTATTCAATGAAAAGTCAACAAACAACAATTCGACTGTAATAGAAAATATTGATTTTTCATTGAAATCATGTATGGGAAAACATGACATAGTGGAGTGTATCACTCGCCGTGGTGCTGGTTGCCCTTTATTTGTTCAGGTAGGCTTTATTTTGACTTTTTTAGTTTTACTAGTATATTCAAACAATTGACATTTCCAACTATCGTATATCACACAGTTGAAACTTACTTCAGTTTTTTGATAGAACATAGTAGCATATATCTGACTTTGGCATATATATACTGTAGTAATAAGGTGTTACCAGTTTGGTACACATATTTTTATTTTGTAATCGATTTGTCATAATGCCATCAAACAATTGACTTATTTATCAAAAGAATAACTACCAGATTATTGTTCAAATGCACATTTTCATCAATAGTGTAAGCAAAAGGATATTAAGTAATGATGATAAATTTGTTGATGCCGTTTTGAAAAATTCAAAGTAGGCCAAACCAAGATAGATGCATTCGGTGTATGAATTCATCCAGATAAGTATAAACTGCTTAGGTGTGATGTAAGTGTGATTATTATTTCAACCAATAAAATTAAAGATAGTGGATAACATAACTCAGGATCAATTTCACTAGCTGGGCGAATGAATCCATTGTTCATCATTCTGTATGTCTTATTCTAATTCATTCATTCTTTCTTATTGAATCATATTGTTGATACTTAATTGTTTCTACCACTACCACTACTTCTACTACTCTGTCATATTGTTGTTGTATTGATTCAATGCCAACTTGAACTGATATTTATTATTAGTTCATGGTATTTGTTATACAGCATTATATGATAAATCGAAGACATCTTTACAGATAGGTAAATCAGTTTACCTGTGTTGAAATTCTTCAAAGTTGATCATGAACATTTGTGAAATTTTTGGTTTTTTTCTAACTATATTACTACTCATTCGTCATCAGGATTTATCTTCTTTTTCTTGTATTTCATTGTTTAAATTAATTATTCACAAACTGTCTCTCTCAGCTCTTATTGGTTGAAACGTATTTTGTATAGATAGCCATTTTGAACTTTTTATACGATTGATAGATTCCATGAAATAATCTCATCCTTTCCATTAGTTTTACATAATATGTTAATATGTGTGCATTGTGTAACAACTTGGGCTGATGTTCATTCATGGATGTGATCAGTTCTCCAATGCGAGACTTTGAAATGATTAATGATGTTTCTTTTTTTGTAAAAAAAAAATTGGAATCATATGCATCTTGTAACACAACTATGCGTTCTAATTTATAATTTCTCTTACTAAAATTGTATTACTTTTTTTGATAATAAATATAGGCTATTTTAAGTGCAGATTTAACTCGTAGCACTAATGTACCAACAACTTCTCTTACGAGTACAGTCTATTGGTTTCTCAAATCAATTAAAACTTCTATTTGTAATAACAACCTACAACAATTCAACAACCTAGTAAGTATATTATTATTAATATTATTATCATTTGACTTGACATATTCTTCATCATGGAAAAATCAAGCTATCATTATTTATTTTAGGTGAAAAAAATAATTTTATAGACAAGCTACTCAGAACTGAGAAAACGAATTTCAATTTATTTGCACAAAAAAAAATTGAAAATTAAGTAACTTATATTTTACCAACTATTTGTGAATGATTTACTGGTGAAGATGATTGAAAGTTTGTTGATTCTACTTCGTAGGTGTGAATAATTCTTAGTAGAGTATTCAATAGTCCACTAGTCAAAGGTTATCCGATGAGCATTATTCATTAAAAAAAAAAATTTATATATACGTTAAATAAAATGAGTATTAATCGTCTGATTTAATGTATCAAATACTTTTAATACACAAACTGACATTTTGTTTTGTTTGTAAATGTTTTATAAATCTACAAGTTTTCCAACTTCGTACGTGTTTTTACTTTTAAAATTTATCATAAGCTATTCTTGTGTATATTAAATACACTAAGTTAAAATAATGTTAGAAAATTTTCATTGCCCAACCTGGTGTAACATATAGCTTCAGATAGACTTCTATCTGGAGTTTTGTGCTGATGATGCTGTTTTTTTTCAGAAGAACACTGAAAGCTTCGCAATCCCAAAACAGTCAGCTCAGAGAACGAAACACCGCCACAACCATCCACCTGAGGTACCAATTTTTTCCACCCTATCTTGATATTGATGTGATAAATTTGGATGGTCTAATTCAAAATCATTCACAGTGTACTGTGGTAGATGATATATTCACTCTTTATCTTGTCCTAAATCCTGAGTTTCAATATATTTTTCATAAATATCTTTTCATTTTATCCAACTATATTCTAAATGTTTATGTAGAATAAATAGAATGGTGGCTAGTAGTGAAACACTCGACACACGTTTTGTCTCAGTAGCGTTTGCTTCGAATACCATTGCCGTCATCTACTTAACTACTGATTCTATGTAATCACTCACTAGAACCATTTACACATTTTGAATTCCTCATAGGAATGCTCAATCTATGCCAACGAAGACTGATCAAATTTCAATCAAAATATCAACAACCGGATAAAATGCAAACTATGTTTGATTTTTCTTTTCTTATTATCATTGATAATAAATACTTTTGTATTTCTTTATTATTTATCTCGTTAGTTTGATTTTATCATTCTGAATTATTAAGTTAATAAACATTTTTGTCAGACTGTTTTATTATTCATTATGACTGACTGATTGATCATTGTTTATTGCTATTATTTTTTAAATAAAATTTTTTCTTTTTTTCCAGAGTACATGTGTACTACACTTAAATATTATTCGTGGTATATTTCAATCAACAAATTTAAATTATCATATAGATAAATATTTACAAAAAGCATTAATTATTGCTTTGAATGGTATTGGATGTAGTCATCTACCGGTAAGTTTTTCCTATCTATTTGAACCTTACATTATACCCTTTTAATTAATTAAATAATTCGATTGAGTCCTTCTATGATGTAACTATTCGCTACATGGATTATCAGTAGTGTATACATTAATGTGTCACCTAAATGTTACTAGTGAAGTGTAGAGTATCCGATTCGGATTTATGGTACGTTCAAAGTATTCTGAATAATAAAAGACATGTGAACAAAGACAGCAAGCACTGTGATATGAATACACTTTATGCTTATAATATCATCATTGACTTTCACTTCAATTAATGAAATCGTTTGATCACCTACTTTGACGTTATATCCAGTACTATCAATAACATCCTTGTTCTGTTTTATTGGTCTCCAATACAGCTTTCTTTTTTTAATCTTTATAGCTTAGTTACGCAATATGAATACATTAATCAAGCAGAACTTTGTATAGATTGTAAATCAAACAATCATAAGATTAAACGAAATATAATAAATAAAAACACACTATTCAATGTATTACTTAGTGAAAATGCCAACAATTATCGATGATATAATACAATCAATCAATCAATTCATTAATTAATCTAATTCGAATAATTATCGTGAATTTTCTTTTAGTTCGTGTTAATATTATGTGTGATATGATTTATTATATATTATTTGATTAACTACTAATAGATAGATAGATAGATATTTAATGAATTTTCATAAGAGAAAATGTTTGATGAAAAGATAACCTGTTCATATGTGAATATGTTTTATTCATACTATCATTGATTGTTGTTCATATATATATAATAAGACACATTTCCATTCGAGAAAATCACCTTTGAGGGTATAATATTATGTAATGACTTAGTAATTCAACTGTTAATCATTTACTTCTTCTTATAGATGATAGTTTTTCATGGTGATTGCGTTAAATCCAAAGTAAGGCTCATTCACCACTAAGTATGCATGTGATAAGTGAATTAAGCAATGCTCATACTTATTCAATCAAAAAATAAGCTGATAAATTGACAAAGTCGAACAATGTGCAAATAAGTTGCAAACAATTGATTGATTAATTTGTCCAAAGTCTGGGACTAAACCATATAGGTTCAACATATTTATATACACATAATACAAATTGTTTAAGACATGTGAAATAGATTTCTTATTCTATTGATTCATTTGTTTTAACAAATTTAACACAATTAATTTTAGTGTGAGTATATGAACTGAACAGATCACCTATCTCATTTTTTTTTTTTTGGTTTTCATCAATTACACTTATATTGTATACTACAAATTTAAATGAACTTACACAACACACTATACTAAAAAGTCAGCATATTCTTATTAATGACTAAATTCTGAAAGTAATTCTCACAATACAAGCATGAAAGTGTAACCTAGTGGAGTTCATTTATGTAAGACATGTGATAAACATCACCAACGACACTATAATGGACAAGGGTCCTGCAACATTGTAAATTTAATAAACTGATTATTTTAAACTAATTCATCAACTTGCAAATACGTTCCTATTTACAAAGCTTGACAGTCTTGAGATCGAACGCTGCTGGAATTGTGAATGCTGACCACCATCTCATTAAAGTATTCACCATAAAATACTGTTCAGTATCTTCCTGTCTATCATTGTGCTAATCTATCTGAGATGAGTCATTCATATAAATAAATTTTACAATGAAATTCTCTAACATGTTTTATTTTCAAATTTTTTTTCTCAGATACGAAATGCTTCTATACTATTTTACAGTACAATAGTTCAACGTATTTTTGGTGTCAAACGATCGAAGGCAGTTAAAAGTCGAAAAAATTGGTGTGTGTGTGTGTGTGTATATATACATCAAACTTAATTTGTTATGCATAAATGAATGAGAAGTTTAATTTCATTATCAAGTTTCTTTTTAAACATATACTGTAACCATTAAAACTGTAGAATTCAAACCGATTATCGCGTAGATAAAACTTTAGTATTTAAAATTATTGATAAAATCATCTTGAATTTATCCCATAGTTCTAGAATCCAACTTTTACATACAACAGAAGTCATAGGAATACACATCAATAAACAGAAAAAGTTTGCACAACCACCTCGGCCTTTTACATAGATATATTAATTAGATGTTTGAACTTTTCTAAACTTCTATTTTGTTAGTATTTACTCTTCGAATTTAGACTTACATAATCTGAACTATTACTCTTGTCATTTCTAATTATATATTTTATGGATAAAAAAGCAACAGCATGTTTATTTTGCATCAAATTTCCATTCTTATTCCCTACTTTATCAAAATTAACTAATTATGTAAGTTCGTCTTAGTGTTTGAATTTTTTTTTAATCTTTCGAACAAACTGTCTTATCATCATCTGATTGACAGTGACTTTTTTTACTTATTTGTAAAACATATAAATTGGTGTAGAGCGTTGATGAAGGACTAATTGAAAAGAGATATTTCTCCGTTCATTTTGTCTTTATGACAGAATTCTATCGATCCAATTAAAATATGACCAGTATTCTAAATCATTCGGAATTATGTACATTATATTAAAAATGTAAAGAAGTGAATGGTTGTAAGATGGTCGACAGAAAACCATGAAATTAAATTGAGAAAAACTTGATAAATACAATATGAGAGTCACTGCTCAATGGTTAATCAATTGTGTAAATATCAGTGTTGCAAAAGAGAGGATGAGTCACACAGCCCAAATAGATCAGTGGTAATAACTTTTAAGCTTAATCACATAAAGTCAAATATCTGTCAATGAGCAGCTTTAGTTTCTCATTTAGAGATTACAAGTGCTTGATAAATCAAATTAACAGAAACAATTGTAAGGAGCAATGTTTTTTGAATGTACACTGGTTAAATTGTAGACATTTGAACCTAACTACTTGTGCTGCTAAACAGGATAAAATTAATGATTGTTATTTTTTTTTTTAATGAAAATCCCTTTGACACATATCCAGTGTATGTCCAGCGTTAAAAGATTCTAAATCTACTTTTAAATGGTTTATTAAACATTTTCATTGAAATGATGAAACTGATCAGTGTTAGATCACCATTAAATACCTGAAATCACTGGATAGCTGTTTCTTTTTCATATCTGACTCCTTAAGCAGTGCTAACGTACGACCCCGCACGAGGAATTCGAACCCATGACAATTGGTCACGCATGTGAATATTTCGATATTGCACAGTGAAGCCATCTGATTTTCAAGGAAAGCTCATACTCAATAAAACTATAATTTTCTCGTCTTCAAATCAATACTTATCGACTTACATCGTTAACGAAATTTACTCTTGAAAAAGGAACATTATCCCATCCCTTTATTATCATACCGTTCGATAGCACAACAAACCTTTTTTTTGAATCCAAAGCATTTCAAGTGTTGTATCAAACAATTCTCAAAAACTAATAAATAACTGAATAATCCTTAATATTTCGACTCTGATTTGGTTCGATATCATATTACAATTTAACTAAACAGTAATCATTTGAATACTGTTGGTTTTAAGAAATAGAATGTACATATGTTTTGAAAAATATTTAAATTTTTTTCTGTGTATAAATACTGAGTTTCAATTTTATATTTTATTATTTATTTTAATATTATTGAAATTTTTTGACATTTCACAGTTTAGCAACTTCAACATTTTTCAAACTTTATCCAAAATTAGAAAATTACTTGGTTGAAACTCTTACATGGTACTCGAGAAATACAAAGTATGAATATTTTATAAGATAAAGATTACTTTCTGGTTTATTAGAATGTTTCTTTTCTGAATCCGTACATTTATTTGTTTGTGTTATATAATAGGGGTTGTTTTTTCTATTCCAGCCGTATACTACTACGATAATACAATGAAACGAAACTCGTTTAGGTGTACGAGTTTTTACTACCACCAGACTAGGTACTCGAATGGCACACAACACAAAGACTAGATCACGTTATATCAGATACCCCGAATCACGACCAAAATAGAGAACTAGACTAAGCATTTCACAGCACTCTATTACAAACAGTTACGATCAATCACTCTCAGTGAGTAAAAAGAATCATATATTAAATGGTCAATGGACTATGTGTTGTTTTGTTCATACTCAAAACCTAATCGCACTTTAGTTTCATCATCACACATCAAGTTGCTTCTACATAATCAATGTTGTTTGCTGAAGTATGTAAAATTTCTGCATTGAATCTCAATTTGTGTAATCCTAATTAGTTCAATAGTGTATCCATCTCTTTCGGGCAATAATAGCTTTTATCATGATTTTGGGAAGTTCCAACATATACATAAACTGGACAATAACATTTTAGCTATCGAAATTGAAGATTCAATACTGTTTTCAACATATTTCATTTTGAGTATCCAATGCAAAATGTATCATAGTTATACTAAGTAGTACAAGCTTATTGAATTCGGTTTATTATTTGCATAATGCTAAGCAATGAACGTAACTAGTTCCACTGTGGTTCATTTTAAACCATTTCACTTTTAATCATCCTGAATGGTTTCACGCCGAACACTCGTCGTTCGTCCTCGCAATTTGTTTTTGTAGAATGCATTCTTTTATTTAACATAAAAATCTCTATACAAATAAATTTTAACATACAACATAAAAAGCATGCCAGATATGCTTAATATACACCGCCAGTGAAGCGTGTAGTAAATGTTTTGTCAAATATATTTTTCACACTAAATGTTACGTTTTCTTGTAATTATTTGACCATTTCATGTGATTCATGCTCCTTTTTCCCTGAAATTTAACCTTCACTGTTGGTAAAGTAGTCTATTTTTAGCCTTCTTCCTATATTCTACAGCATTCCACGTGCAAGCTGTTTCAAACTGTACAGTATACTTCACTTGATGACTCATCTATTACCATCCACACAAGTCTCTGAGATTGATAAAACACTATGCAAACTACTTATTAGGTAAGTACCATATATTGATAAACTGTACACTTTTAATTTATACTTATATTTGAGTAGTAATCGAACACCAAGAAACTTTGTCCAGTTGCTTCCTACTTATTCTCAAACTCTTGATTAGTAAAAACTCATGTATCCACATTTGATTGAGTCTTATGTCTTATGGAGACCATGGAGCTTAATTTTCTGTTGATATTGAATCTTCATTCATATAAACTGGTTAAACTCTTAACTTTTCAAAGTTCTCATTTTGTCGTGGTATTTACCAAAGACTTCATTTTGGTCGTTGTCTTGATATTGCTTAAAATTTTATTTAGGAATCGCCAATTAGAAAAAGTTTTCCCTAGTATTGGCATTCGAACTGAAATCCGAACCCAGTATGTAGCTTATCGGATCACGCTTTGTGGCTAAAGATGTTATTGAGTACGGTTTTCTAGATCTGAACGTGATTCGCGCTAACCCCCAAACTGGTTATTTGAGTGAGAAGGCAAGAGCAGGAGGGAATGTCTGTTTGGCCATCTATTGATGGCCTTCTCATCTGCTCACTTCTGATTGGCTCACTATTTCAGGAGTTAAGTACTAAGTTCGTCTCAGTTGAAACATCAAGAATGGATTGAATTTACATCTAGATGAGTCCCAAGTAAATTGAAATTGCAGGCTTCAGTGGTACTGCCAACCAGAATCCTCATAACTATTAGAAATGTCTGACAATAAATCGAAACAATGTCATTTGTCAAATTCACCTCAACTAGTAACAAAAAGCTTGTGAAAATATTTTCTAATGACAGGAACATTTAATTATTCAAAAAAATACCGTATTTATACTTTTGATATAACATACACAGACTAGTTGCTGTAATTAACCATATCAATCAAACACATATATATATATGTATATATTTATATTTCCCTACTTTCCCTAGATGTGGTTTCAATAATGATATACGTATACGTAAAATTGCTTCATTAGCTTTAACCTCAATTATACATCCAAATATTATAATGATCACATTAAATCATTTATTCAATTTAATGGAACTAGTTCATCAGTCAATACTAGTTAAAAAATTATGCAAGTTTCAATTGAATATACTACATAGTCTACTTTTACAGGTATTACATATGTGATTTTATCATTTTATGTTAGATTTAATACTCAAACGAATAAATTGTTCAAATTGGTTCTTTTTTTAAGTCTTAAGCACATAGTTGTAACTTAGAGATACAGTCAAAACAAAAATCGACTGTTGAATGTGAAATAATTATCCACTACAAACAACAGGATCCGAATATGCCATGTTATCGATTGATTAAAATTAGAAATGTACACGGATAATTTTCGATTGGTCTCAATCTCCACTCGGTATCCTAGTGTTGTAATAATACAACTTAGCTGTTCAAAGCAAACTAAGTGTAATTCAATTAACCCATTGTGAAATACTTAAGCCTATTTAATGCATGCAGAGTCATAAACCCTCAAACTTGGAAAATAATCTAGCACTTTTTTAGCCTTATTATTATTTAAACACATAAACATTTATCCGCCATATAATTTATCATTGAATTTTTTAGTGTGCTCAAATACTGTCTTGGTGCTGCTTTTCCTCGGGGGCCACTCCCTGAACCTGTGACCCGAAAGCCTTATCCACAAGACAGTGAAGGAACGTAAAAAGATTCAATTCCATGATAACCGATGACCAACAATAGATTAATACGCTGGATACGACGCGGGTGCCCAAATAAACTCACGTGGTTTTATCAGTATGGTCATTATTTTAGCCTTTGACACAAAAGTTTAGTCTAATCCAAAAGTTAGTGGTAGTGCAGCGACGTATAAAGATGTGATGATCCCATGGTAATCGGTGACTAACAGTTTGTTCATATGCTATTTGTTCTCTGAGAATTCTGGAGACAATGTGCACTATCGGTTTGGAATCAAAGTTTTTTAACTATCGTACATGGATTCTGCTTACCTATCAACCTAATTTAAGCGCCAGGTATTTGCTTTTCGCCTTCTCATTTTCTCAAATAACACCAGCACATTGAACGAGAAGATTTTGTGCGTCGTTTAACTGGACAACAGAATATCGATTCTTTTCAATAGACTCTTGAGCATCAACTATTTAATTTTCTTAAATTGATAACTTTACAGTAAATATCTCTATTATTATTATTATTATTATTATTATTATTATTATTATTATTATTATTATTATTATTATTTCGAATTCAATAATGTTTTACTGATTTATTTTATTACAGATATTTTTTGCTTGTTTATTAACTTTTTTAGATATATGCATTGATATATTCTAATATGGATATACATGGTAGTATATCACCAGTTTACACTGTTTCAACTATGCCATATATTTCAAAATTGAATTACCTAACAATTATAAATCGTTTAAAAGTATCATTCAATTGGGTAAATAATTCAACATATATTAAATGTCCAATTATAAAACAATTATACATGAAAATATTAAATTGTCACTATAATCAATCTACAAAGATTGAAACAAATCTAATTGGTCTTGAATATGAATCTTTTGAAACATACATCAATGTTATGATTGATTGTGCATTGAACAATGCAGAAAATCACACACTTACTACTACTACCAATAATAATAATAATAATACATTTTACTTAGATTTAATGAAATGGACTAAATCTATTCATTCATTGAATGTAAGTATTTTGATTAAATTTCTTTTCATCAAATTGGACCTATTTTTCTACCAGGTTTTGATTTTCATAAATTTCGTTTGTTTTGAAGTCAGTATTCCTCTGCTTTCGGTTAACAAAAATATGGTCAAATACTATTATCGAATAATTTAAACGACTAAATCATTGAATTATGAAGAATCAATGGCAATATGCTACAAACTAATCAGAATTAAGATAACGTCTCATGTAGTTTACGCTAAATTTAAAGTACACAGCAATTGATAACTTATATTTTATTAATAACGAAGTGAAAACTATCAATTTGTTTATGGTCCATGAAATGCTTGAAATCAATAAGAATTTCTGTTACGAAACCAAAAAGTAAATTTAGCTATCAAACATAACTACTCGTAAAGCGAATTGTATTTTAGAATATTTGCTGTTTCAATGTGTGTTCAGTAGGATTCAGCGAAACTAGATAATATACTTTCATCCTAACATGTTACTCCAAATCTCACCCATACGGTTCCTAGATTTGTAAACAATAAATAGAATAACAAATTATTTCATCCTACCTGATGCCACTATTTGTTGAAAACCCTAGACCTAATTTTTAAACCCAACAACAAATTCCAACCTACCTTTTAATTTCTAGCACTAACCCTTTTGCATCATAGATGGTGTCAATTGGTGACGAGAATTCTTTGGGATGATAATCCTAATTGTAGTTGAACGTGTCGACCGCTTCACTTACCTCGGGAGTCTCATCAGTGCTGATGGCCTGGTGATTGACAAAATCTCAGCACGGATACAGAAGTCTCGACTGGCTTTTGCCAACTTGCGTCACTTATGGCGTAGGCGAGATATCCGTTCGCTGACTAAAGGAAGAGTGTACTGTGCAGTAGTTCTCTGCGTCCTGCTTTATGGCTGTGAAACATGGTCGGTGAGGGTAGAGGACATTTGCAGTTTGTTAGCATTTGATTATCGATGTCTTAGAGGCATTGCTCGTGTATCGTGGGACAACCGAGTAAGCAATGCTGCCATTAGCAAACGAGTACCAAGTAGGGATGGCATGTCAATAGATGAAGTAATGAAACTTCACCAGTTGAGGTGGTTGGGATATGTGTTGCGTATGCCTAACCACCGGCTACCTCGATGAGCTGTTTTATGATGTAGGAGTGAGTAGGTTCGGAGAAAGCTAGAGGCGGCCAATCCAATACATGGAACAAATCCATAGAGTCACTGACAAGTGAATTGAGTCATGTTGGTAGATGTAGGCTACCTGGTTGTGGTCCGCGAGTCGAAAATAGCCTATGATTAGAGACCCTGAATGACGTGGCTCAAAATGGTTTGCAATGGCGCATGTGCACTCTCTCTTTGTGCTTTCCCGAATTCCAATCTTAAGAATTCCTCATCAACTTTCTCTTTCTAAACGTATCTCAATGAATTTTACTTCTCAAATAATATCTTCGAACCCTAATCTTCTTCATTACTGCTAATACTTCTACCATCTCTACCACTATGGGATTTGAACTGACAATTGCATCTCTGTGTGAATGTGGTATGTCAACATGAACTGATGTACGTACATACGAAGTTCTACGTTGTACCTCGCTGAATGATCAATAGTCGTTGATATTATAAACTAATACAATCACTTATTGATTTGAATATCACTGACATTCTTTTTTTTTTCTAGTTTGTTTATTCAATCTCTATTTTAATGATTTGTAGAATAACTTTGTGTCTGTAATGATAATTATTATTATTTTCTATTAAATATTTTAAATTGATTAGTTTCTCTCATATTCATTATTATTATTATTGTTGTTTTTTGTTTGTGCCGGTCTATTTTGATGTGACCAGCTTGTTAAAATTGCACTTCGTCGAATTTGTTCACATTTACACTCAACACTTGGTCATCATTCCATGCTGGATGTGAATTATAATTTCGATATAGAAGATATCAATGAAATTATTGATATCAGTCAATATTTGAACTGTTCAATATTCACTACATTAAAAACATTATTTTCATTTCAAACATTATTTCAAGATATAATTTATCCATATTTTTGTTTAAATGAAAATACACCTCATAATAGCAATAATAATGAAGTATATCGATATACATTTGCTTTGTTAACTATACAACTGTATCAACAACAACAACAACAACAACATGTTCACAATGCCATGAGTATTTCAATGGAATTAATTTTAACAGCTTTTCATTGGACTTGTAAACAAATCAAATTTTTACATCAAAAAGTGAAATGCTTTAATAATATACCACCAATCTATTTGGCATCATTGATACGTTTTCACACTGAATTAATATTTAATTTATATAACAATAAAATTGATGATCTAGCGCTTGAATCATATGTGTATGAATTATGTGATTTAGGCAACATTTGTTTTAACGCATTCAATCATTCAAATACTACACCGATTTGTTTAGAAGTGAAATATGCTGTTTTAAAGTCATTTTGTTTATTGAATAATTCAACAGTTCAACAGATATCATCTACCTTAAATGAAAATATTCGACACGGTGAGTTATTTTTGTCGAATACTGATGAATTAATTATTTATGTTATGTGCATGTTCAAATCAATGTAACAGACAGTGTTCATGAAAAAACAGCCTCATAGATTATTAAATCGAATGATACTTTGTTGTTCATATTTAAAATATTCAACTGTCAACAACCACCACATCACAGATAATGCAGACTGTCATATACACAGATGAAATCAATACTTCATATATCAAAGAGTTGAATTTACTGAATAGTGAATTTGAATATGTCGAGAGGTATAGAGTTTACCAATAAGACACCACAAAGTTGTATTCTGTAATTGAAATGACCGTAGGTCGTTTTGTAATAATGCAGTTGCTCATGTTTTTTAGTTCTCATGTGTATTAATTCCTCATGAACTATACTTCCATTAGAAAATACAAAATGCCCTGGTACAACCAAGAGTGGGAATAATCCACTCACTCTCTTGCAATGGTCTCGTATGACCACACTGTTAGGGTAGCCCTAATCATTTCTGCAGGGCTCTTGTTCACAAAATCAAGAGGATGGAAAGTGAATGTTCGGTGCCTAAACTGGGTTAGTGGTTACGGAGGATTCACTTAGAGTTGGAAAACTTTGACTCTAAACTAGCGGTGCACATGGTCTACAAAATCCTGTATCCGTTAACCGTGATAGCGTGGCCTATCGATCCTTTTGATGTTATTTTCGGAGTTTGAAGCAAGAGGTGTCAGAAAAGTTACCACAGGGACAACTGGCTTGTGGCGGCCAAACGTTCATAGCGACGTCGCTTTTTTATCCTTCGATGTCGGCTTTTCCTATCTTTATGAAGCGGAATTCACCAAGCGTTGGATTGTTCACCCACTAATAGGGAACGTGAGCTGGGTATAGACCGTCTTGAGACAGGTTAATTTTACCCTACTAATGAGTATTGAGTGAATTACAATCTGGCCGTCGCTCTGGTAATCCTGTTTAGTACGAGAGGAACCGCAGGTTCAGATGATTGGTATGTGCCTGGTCGAAAGGCCAATGGTGCGAAGCTACCATCTCAGGGATTAAGACTAAAGGCCTCTAAGTCTGAATCCCGTCCAAATTTGCAACGGTACATTCTGTATCCGACAAGTGGCTCGGCTAGTTAGCGTTTTCCTTTTGGTGTCTGGACTGGACTGTGTTCGGTTAGCCCATTAAATCTCGCGTTATACTAGAGTGGTGACCATAAACCGTGCTCCAGATTTCGGGGAACGGGGGTCGACATGATATCTAAGTGTAGTATGAGCGTGAGGATACTAAATCGCTTGTAGACGATTTAATGTTTTTTCAGGGAGGCGTAAGTGCCTGAGTAGCTTTCACACTGCAAAACACTGAATCCTATCCCTGATTGACGTAATGATTTCCCGACCATAGCTGCTACCTTGACGTGGTGGTCGAGCTCGCCTATTGTGATGACCCAACCGAGCTATGCTGCCTGGAATATATGTTCCTCAAGTTTCTACCATGCTAGGCAGGTCGTTTGGAGAACGATGAGACTAAAAGCGGCTACTCAAGGTCTGAGGGCGAAGTCGTACAGCTAACTGGAGAGGGGTGTGACAGCAGTAAGGTGTTTCCCTCGGACAACCAGCATCTGCAGCGATGCTGCCTTTTCACAAGGAAGGGAGGGTTGGAAAAGGTCGACCCTAAAAATTTCACACCTCACCCTACCTCACGGATTTCCGTCTTCGGTTGTAAGGGTGCCCACCAAGGGCTTTTAAGAGCGGAGCTAATACTCAAAAAATCTTTCATAGAAAGGCTTTGCGTGACCGACCTCAAGCAGTTGTGCCTTGGGCTCTGGGGTCACGCTCCCAGGTCGTTAAGACCAGCGCTAATATACTTTCCTTTTCAGGTTATTCAAGAAACAACCTTCCACTGTGTGGACAGCCGGGAAATCACAACCGCCCTCATAACCGTAACAGCACACGAGATCAAACTGGTCATAATCAAATCCTTCCTACACCCCCTCATATCTCTCTTATCTCCACGACTAACCCTGTTCACATTCCTTTATCACACTGCACCGCCTATGCAAACGATTCGAGTTCACGAAAAGTTATTCCTGGTCTCCTGAAACCCCTTTCTAAGCTACATGTTGGAACAGTTAATGTACGGACATTGTGTCAAATAGTGCAATAGGCTTCCTTCCTTAGAATCTCAATCAATCTATGTACGCGCATGCTTCTAGATATAACATTACCTTCGTCCGACTTTTCAGAAGAAGACCTTCTACCAAGGGTCACGCTTGTTGACTTAGAATATGTCGATGTCTATTCGGTGAAGACGCTGACAAAATGCAAAGCCTTCTGACTACCCTGAGCAACAATGCAAGCCTGTTCGGGATGCGGCCTAACCACCGGTTGCCTCGATGAGCTGTTTTATGATGTAGGAGTGAGTAGGTTCGGAGAAAGCTAGAGGCGGCCAATCCAAAACATGGAACAAATCCATAGAGTCACTGACAAGTGAACTGAATCATGTTGGTAGATGTAGACTACCTGATTGGTGTCCGTGAGACCCTGAATGACGTGTCTGAAAATGATTTGCAATGGCACAGGTGCATTCATTCTTTGTGTTCTCTCAAATCCTAAACGTTTTAATTATTCATCAATTTATCTGTATCTTTTTAAGTCTATTTCACTAGATTCTACCTCTTGAATAATATCTAATCCTAACCTCTTCGACTACTGCCAGTACCTTTACTACCTCTACTAATATGGGATTTGAATTGACAATTACATCTCTGTGCTAATGTGGTATGTCAACATGGACTGATATACGTACTTACGAAGTTCTACGTTGCTATTGATTGATTGATTGATTGACTGTATCACTCAACGTTGTTCCATCGCCTTTTGGATTAGACTCATAAGTCCAAGTCTTTATAGTGGTCACCTAATAAACCGCTTTGTTCGGTCCAGGCACCGTAGAAGTATCTCAGCACACTCACAAATCCAAAAATTTGTGTGGCACGTGAATATTTTAGTGACTCTTTGTACCAATGTTTATGTCTTTAAATGAAAATATACCCTTCTGTTTACAAACTTAAGGGACTTAGGGTTGATTTACAGTAAAAGGTTTGTAGGGAAGAATATTATCTAACGTTACTAGACATTCTTGACTGCATACTGAATCATTTCAGATACTTCAAAACACAATCTGCCTTAAGAGCGAGTATGACTAGTGATTTAGCATAAGCTCCATTTAAAATTTACTATTTGATTTCGTAAAGGATATTGTTGTTGATTCCAAGAATTTTAAGCGCAAAATATTGTCATTTTTTTTAATTCGGTATTAGTAACATACAAGATATCTATCGCCGCAGCTTAAATTTCGCCCGCAAAATATATATAACGTGTTATCTTAATTCTGATTGGTCAACCCAAGTCTGTTTGAATAATGTATTGTTACCGAGTATTTTTCCGAGATTGTAGGTAATTTTAATTGAATTTGGAAAATCGTTACCAAAATAATGAGTTTTCCTAAGTGAATATGAGTTGATAATAATAATAATGACTGAATTATCCATTGAATGTACACATCAATTTATGAATAACAAACAACTCAACAGAAATCGTAACATGTTTTACTCTGTTTTTGTGTTTTTTAATTTCAGTTTTTCTTCAATCGTTCGACATTCTAATCGACACTTTAAATAATTCAGAAAATTCTAAACTACAAAAACAAGCATGTCATACTGTTAGCCATATCTTGATATCTAGTGATTTAAAATTTCAATGTAAGTTAAATGAAAATATGATAAATGCAATTTGTTTTTAGTTGTATTTCTATTCTTTAGATATAAATACAATACAATATGTGTGTTTTTTTCTTCTTCTTTTCAATGGTCAATAAATTACAATTTTATACTAACTATATATATCTCACAAATTTTTATAATGGAGGTAGTCAGTTGAAATTGATGAATTGAAATTCAATGGTTTACTGTTTTATTCATTCGTGATTAAAAAAAAAAAAGAGTTTTTATAGCACAGTTTTGAAGGTGTTTCACTTATGTTAATCAAAGAGGCTAATATACTAATAGTATATAGCAGTTCGTTATCAATTGAGATGATAGTCAGCGATTATGTAACCTGTGCATCTTCATTTTGACATTTTGACATTCAATATTAGCGCTAAGATAGAAATAGATTAAAAAATTTGATATAATTGGAAGAATTCACATACAATGTCAGTCCATGCAAGCAAAGTTATTGGTTGTCGTTTGTTGATCTATGTTAGGTGTGTCAATATCCTGGTTTCATAGATGCAACACTGACTAAATTGAATTCTAAATAAAATCAAACGTTTTATTAAACATGAATATTTTCTAATTCAGTAGTGGTATTGACTTCATAAACCCAGGAAAAATGACAAGAAACAAAATTCGAAAAAAAAAACTAAAATAAAAGTGTCATCACATCAGATGGCAATAAAAATAGTCTAAAATTATTTCATCAGTAGTCATATAATGCCAATCGTGTATTATGGTATTATTCAACAGCCCATTAAAGTTCAATGAATCTAACTAATGATGAATGACAACACTACTCACTATTCTCGAAAACCTCACTATTTAAATGAATCAAATCTGTCCAACAAACATGATTGTGTTATGTTCAACAGTTTGAGTAAACTAGATGTGAATATATCTCCTTAAGGAGACTGTCATCATGCTTCGTATAAAAATATTAATTTAAGTAATGAAATAATCTTTTTTTTTAAAAAAAATGAGAATAACTAAATTCCATAAAACCTGATGCAAAAAAATGTATAAAAATTCTGACAAATTTTGAGATTTTCAGTAAACAGTTGTTGGGACATTTGAATTTCATTGAAACAGTCTAAGTTAGACCACCATTGAAAACCTGCAATCACTAGATAGCTGTTTCATCTTAATTTTGACCTCTTCAAAAGTACGCATCCGTAACCCTGCTAATAGTACTGGAACCCAGGAAATTCAGCATTGTACGCAACCCCTTCACTGATCATTATCATGTGCTCATTAGTGGCTAAGTTTGAGAAGAAATTCTCAGAGTCCTGGGGCGAAGCTATGACCAGTGAATTTCAACCATATTGGGTATTGTTATATCCGGATGAAGACTAAAGTGAATAGTAACTTAAGAACCCAGTTTATAGATTATTGCTGTATACAGTCTAATTGTATATTAACTAAGTAACTAAATTATCATATATATATATATATATATATATATATATTCCCCGTATCCTGAGCCCTTGAATAACTTATTAACCGTAGTTGTATAATTTATTATTCTTATTCTGTTGCTAATCTATTATTCTCAGTCTCCTCTACTCAGAACATCTTTGGCTCATTTATGTATACTTGTTCATTCCCATTTATTGATATGATGTGATTTTGGTTGTGTGCAAATATTAAAGAACGTCTGCAATGTAACCATGAGAAAAATCTTGGACTGGTGATAACTGGTCTTCGTTCTTCCTCTTCAATTGTAGCAGGTTAGCATGGGGCTGTCGTTCGTCCCTGTTGTATATTGTTTACTAAATAGTCATCTGCCAACAACAGATATGAAGTGGGTTACCCACCAAAGAAGATGGAAAGTGATGGCTTATTGTCCTAGATTAGTTGAAGTTAGATATTAACACCACTGGATGCCGACTCAATGGTCTAGAAATTAAGTGTTCGCACACTAGTATGAAGGACCTGAGTTGGATTCCCTCCTGTAAGTAAGTAAGTGGGTGCGAACTGCTGAGGAGTCCCATACCTGGATGAAACGGCCATTCAGTGATCACAGGTTCTCAATAACGGTTTAACTTAGATTAGTTGATGATTTCAATGAAGAAGACGATATTTATTCAGATGCATCACATAGATAATCCCTATTTCTGACATTATACATTTTCAAATCTATTTCATAGTATGATTAAAGTCTATTGATGATCTGAATTATTATCTATCACAGAATAAAAAACTTTACTTTATATTTCCTTGGGTAAATTAGTTTAAATGTGCAAATATTTGTGATATTTTTCTATATTTACAACTTGCCACTCTGCCTTTTTTAAACTAAAAATTTTAATTTGTATTAGTGAATGATGTGCTGATGAATGAATCGTCTTGTTTTGATATTTCTATATTTTTAGATGTTCTACAATCACCTTATATTCTATTAGAGAATTTGATAAAATTCTTGCTATTACACGGTAGTCATATTCTCTATAATCATTTACTTTTATTTCTTCAAAAAAAAATTCATCATTTTGAAGAACTCCAAGTAGTAAGTGAAGATAGTTTTATTATGTTTTAATATACTTATACTATGCTTAAAGTTAAACAAACTTAACTGTATAAAATTGAATAGATTATGATGTCTGGTTCATTATTGTCATTGTTAAGAGCTACATTAAGTTGAACTAAACAACTTGATTTTTTCCAACATTGAACAGTAAATATTTTAAATTTCATCTATTCTTATCATTCATTATATCACAGTCTTATAATCATAATACATCAATCACTATAATCTATTTTACATAGAATAATTTATTGATCTTTCCTAATTTAAAAAGGTCATAAATTTCATTGGAAAACTACTACTTCATTATCATTCTACAAGAATTGTTATAAAGTAATTACAAAGTGTAAATTCGTTCGTTCAGTATGTTACAAATTCAGATTGCATTGCATTTAATTACTCTACACATTGATCAACTATATAATTATTTTGATACTTAATATATTAATAATAAATAACTGCATAATTTATGTCCGTTTACAAGACTAATGCTCAGCTTGATATACAAATCAATGTGTTAATGTAGACGATAAATATGTCACGTGTTATACTTTTTTATCAAAAGTGTTCTAATTCGAAAATGCCTGACATCATGTAGACATTATTAGATTCTATTTTTAAGTGAATAATATCCTGTTAATGTACTGAATGGTGTGTATTTAATGTATTCAAAGAGCATAAAAGAACAAAAACACTTACTACAACAATAAGCTTAGTCTAACGTGTATCAAGTATAAGGTTACTTACTTTATTACAATTTAATATTCAGGTTAGATAACTATGCTTACGAATGATAGTGTTAGTGTAAAGTATCTGTAAGTATAAAGAGATTAATTAGTAGGCTTAGTAGTAAAACGATTATTAAATACTTAACATTTCTCTAATCTCACTTGTACAGTAGGATATACTAACAACTGTAAGCACAGTTACATCATTTTCCGAGGAGTAGTAGGCATCTATGCGACGAACAAACGATAAGAGACATTTTACTTCACAGATAGACAGCGGTAAATTATTCCACAATCTCAAAGGTTTACTGGTAAAGTAATTCATGTAAAAAGACGATTTAGAATGAAATTGAATCAATATTGATTAAGATTAACAGAGGCTACAACTGGAATCTCAAATCTAATAGCTTCAATGGATATGAAACATAGACTATTAAGTATTTTGAAAATGTTCAAATTAAGTTAGTCTTCCCATCTATAATGTATCGAACTCCGCTTGGAGCCTCTCTAAAGTTACTGCCAGTCCCCAGACCAGGTAAGGAAGAAGGAATGGGCTTCAGGACAGATGTTTTTATACTCCGGCCATAAAGAAGAAAATGCCACACGCACACACGAGTTGCAGCGATGCTATCCCAACAAGTACAAAAGGCACTGATGGGATCGGAATCTCATAGATCTAGGATCATCAGAGCATCCTTCAAAACAAAGAAAGAGGGCATTACAATGACCATCATCCAATGCTATGCACCTACCAACGATAACAATGAAGACGTTAAAGATCAGTCTTATGAAAGGCTTCAGTCAATCGTCGTACAATGCTCAACAAAGAACTTGATTATGCTAATGACAGACCTTAATGCCAAGGTCGGAATGGATAACACTGCATATGAAGACATCATTGAACGACATGGACTGGGAGAAATGAACGAACGTGGTGAGAGATCCTCAAATCTATGTGCCTTCATCAAACTAGTCATTAGGGGCACCATATCCCCATACAAATGACTACACAAAGCTACATAGGTTTCACTGATTAATACTACACAGTACCAAATCCATCACATCTGTATCAATAAAGAGTCCAGAAGGGAGTTGGAGGATGTGAGCAGATGCACTGAAAGATGACGCAACAGTAACTGCAATGTTACTCCACATTCTCTTCAGCAAGATTTAAGATGGGGAACACGTACCAACAGAATGCAAAAAAGGACACCTGATCAAGATACCAAAGAAAGGTAATCTCAGGAAGTGTGCATCACTGTACTACCAGCACCAGGGAAAGTCTTCGACAGTATTGTTGAACAAAATGAAGGACTCCATACATGCCAGACTTCGAGATCAACAGTCTGTATTCTGTAAGGATCGATCATGTATCGACCAAATCACGACACTACAGATCATTTTGGAACAATCAATTGGATGGAATTCATCACTCCACATCAACTTCATTGACTACGAGAAAGCGTTCAACAACGTGCACAGGACAACATTATGGAGGCTTCTTCGACGCTATGCGTGCTTGAGAAGATGGTCAACGGCATACGGAATTCTGATGATGGACTACACTTTCTACTGGTGGTCGACTGAAGACATCAACAACTCAGGAGAAGCATGGAACACAGTAAACAACTAGGATGCAGTGGAAGATTCGGACTTCTCAGGTGATCTAGCTCTTCCATCCAACACACAACAACAAATGCAGATGAAGATAGCCTGTGTAGCAGAAGCCTCTGAAGCAGTAGGTCTCAACGTACACTGGGAAAAAGCAAGATCCTTTGATACAATACAGCATGCTTCAACAGAATCACGCTTGACGGAGAAGCTCTGGAAGATGTGGAAACGTTCACATATATGAGCAGCATCATCGATAAACAAGGTGGATCTGATGCAAATGTGAAGAAACGTATTAGCAAAGCAAGGGTAGCATTTCTACAATTGAACATCTGGGACTCAAAACAACTCTCAACCAATGCAAAAGTCACACTTTTCGATACAAATATCAAGACAGTATTGTATGGGCGGAAACTTGAAGAACCGCGGAGACCATCATCGGAAGGTAGGAGTATTTATTAACAGCTGTCTACATAGAATACTTCGGATCCGCCGGTCAGACACCATCAACAACAACCTACTGTAGGAAAGAACAAACCAGATTTCAGCAGACGAAGAAATAAGGAAGAAGCAGTAGGGGTGGATAGGTAGCACATTGAAGAGGTCACTCAGCTACGTCACAAGGCAAGCTATCACTTGGAATCCTCAAGGCCAAAGAACACATTACGACGAGTATTGGAGATAGACATGAGAAGAATGAACACCAATTGGATAGAAGGCCCAGGACAGAGTAGTTTGGAGAATGCTGGTCGGCGGCCTATGCTCTGTTGCGGGTTAGCAGGCCTAAATAAGTAAGTCCATAAACGGTCGACTCCAAAAGTCAAAGTATAGCGCCTAGACTAGGTAAAATTTATGGACTGATAACTGTTCATTTCAGATTTATTTCCTGATTCGTAGCGTGGTACTATGTATGAGTTTTTCCAGGAGTGAAAGTAAATACCAATCTCCATAGATAGAGTAAAGTGCCCTAGAGGAAATAGTGGTATATTAGATCCATCATAGTTGAAGAGAACGGATGAAATCCCGTCTATTCCAAGGCCGTTTAATACCTTAAGAAAGTTAATAGCTATACTAATTTTTTGATAGATGAAGGAAATAGGATTTATCGAGTTATCATTTACATAAATGAATTTCGATGTACCTCTGTATAAGGCTTTAGTATTATTCGCAAATATATTACTGAGAATGTGTGCAGTGGTTAGAAGGGTACATCCTTGTGTTTGGGAATCAATTATTGTTTGGTCGAGCTTTTATATTTTTGGTTGTGGTTTTGGTACCAGACACTTCTGTATAGACTTTCTTCATATCTCACATAGGCATTAGATTCTGAATCAATGAGCAGCATGTATGGGGCGTAAGTCCGCTCACGCCAGTGATGGTCTCAAATTGAGTCGATGACCAAGGGTATATGTAATAACAGAAGTGCTGTTATCTTAGGTATTAGGGCTTTTCTGGGCTTGTTTATTTAAAATTCAACCCATTTAAATATGTGTTAATCTCAGTATTATGTTATATTTAAAAAGTAATTATCTACTTTTTTTCTGAAGGACCATGTTATTGTAACACTAAGCTCAAACGTACCACGATAACGTACCACACCTCTGAAAATCATGATGACTCATAACTTAATACATGAATTCACTAATTTAAATATGACACCAATAACACGTTAAATGTTTACAACTGTTGTTATGTTAACTACGTAGTGCCGTAGCTGATAATTCATTGAAAAGTAACAGTATTAACTACCTATCTGTAGCCCTCTAGTGTCCGCCCCTACTCTTGAAACTCTCTCATATGCCAACACGTAAATAGGCCTCTGCTAGAGAAGTTTCTTCACTGATCTCTAACAGCGAGAATGTTGTTTATAAAAATCGAGAGGACGTAAACTGAATGTCGCCTAAACCCAAATGATGTATAAACCTATTGTTGGCCACAGATTATCATGAAACCATATGTTCAGACGTTGTCTCATTGCTATTATCTTATGGAATTAGACTAGAAATTTTTTGTATCAAGGGCTCAGTGAATAGCCAGGCCCTCTAAGTAAACCACCTGCTTTGATTTGAGCATTCGGATAATAGTGTATCTCAACCCGGCATACAATGATAACTTATATGGTTTGTATATTTTTATTTATTGAATTTGATTCTTCTTTGTACCAATGCATATTCAAATGAATTAAAATATTCCACTAGTAATTTTCATTTTCTTTTTACAGTCTCATTCATTCAGCGCACTTGATGAACATGCATTCCCACAGACAACAATGAAATTAGAAAATGATCAGTTTGAATTAATCCAAATTATATCTAATAATATTATGAAATGGATCCAGTCAAAGTTTCATGTCTCTGACTGTTTTCGACATGAAAATAATGTAATCGATTATAATGATAATAATAATCAATCATTACGTCGATATATTGATTGCAATGAATTAGTTTCATTCTTAATTTTCGAATTAGACTATACATCACTTCTATTTTTGAATAATTACATAGATTATTATGTAATAAAATTATTGTGAACAAATAACAGAATTATTTCACTTTGAATAATAAAAAGAATTAAATTTTATTTGGTATTTCTGTCAAATGTTTCCAAAATTATACTGTCAATTAGGAGGATTCACAGAGGTTACAAGTTAGTTTGTTGTTTAATCTAACATAAAACAAAATAGGTGAACAATTTGTTCAGAATGAAAATGAATTGAGCTATTTTATGATTCACTGATATACCAGGAAGAGTGTTACACTCTGTAATTGTTGGAGATGTTAGATCCCCAGAACTCGCTTGATAAATGCCTTAATTTTGGATTTCACGTTTGCGAGCATGGGCTGATCACTTGACCTTGAGATTTCATTTCCCACCAGGAAAATCCATGGCTGTGATTGGCTGCTGTGTATTTTAGTGTGCTATTTTCGTAAATGTCTCAAGGATGTTTCTGATGTATGAATAAACGAGAGTTGTTTGCTTGATTGTATTGTGATTGCTGGGTGCTGTAGAATATACTTTCTACGCTTATCAAGCCTTCTGTTTTGCAGTTTGGAATTCAAGGTAGCCTACCTGGACGCTGGTAATTGTATCGTTCGCTTTTATCGACTAAGGTGAACTCGTAATAGCTTCAAGCGTACCTAGTGACGAACATAACAGTAACAGAAAATACATATATTCGGCTATTTCATCAACAACACATCAACGGAAGAAGTTGATGTTGGATTGATTGATATAGATTACTGATTAAATTTTTGAAAAATATGTAGAACTGAAAAATATTTCATCTTGTAACTCATACTTTAAAGTTTTAACAATCCGATATGTCAACTTGTATTGTGTTAAAATGTAGCAACAAGTTCAAGAAATTGTTCATCAAAATAATGATGAAAATTCCCTGAAAAACCTGTCAGCTGGACAAACCTTTTTTTTAAAAGTTGATATTCACTAAGGAGCTCGAACCAAGTACCAATACAAGTACATCCAGCTCACAAGTTCCCAGAAAACTAAACTCTCGTCGTTGATTCCGCCGCTATTCACCAACTATCTCTGCTCGATAAATTATAATGCTCTGGATGTACCTGGATCATTGACCTCATGACTTTAAATCACTTATTCATCTTCAGATTTGTCGAGTTTCTCACATATATCCAACATACTACTGTTTGTAGTTGCTGGTCGATAATAGCTACCACTTAGTTCATTCTCCTTATCAGTTAACTCACTCATCGATACTACCTAGGTAATTTATTACCTACTTTTGGTACTGAAAATACATACAAATTCAGTCAATTACAACGTAGAACTTCGTACATGAGTACATTAGTTCAGGTTGCCATACCCCATCAGCATAGAGATGCATTTGTCACTTCAAATCCCATAGTGATAGAGATAGTAGAAGTACCAGCAGTAATGGCGAAGATTAGGGTTCGAAGACATGATTCGAGAAGTATAGAGACGATGAGGAATTCAAGAGGTTAGAATTTGAGAGAACGTCAGTTCAAGTTGCCGTACCGCATTAGCACAAAGATGTAAGTGTCAATTCGAATTCCACAGCGGTAGATGTAGTAAAGTATTTCCGATTACAGTTTGAGAGAACTCAATGAATGACACATGTCGTTCAAGGTCTCTAACCATCGGTTACTATCATCTCGCGGACCCCAACCAGGGAGCCTACACCTACCAACAGGACTCAGTCCACTTGTCAGTGACTCTATGGATTTGTTCCATGTTTTGGTTTGGCCACCTCAACTTATGAAGTCCCACTACTTCATCAATTGATCTGCCATCCTGACCTAGTACTCGTTTCCTAATGGCAGCATTACTTACCAGGTTGTCCCACGATACACGAGCAATGCTTCTAAGACATCGATAATCGAATGCTAAAAACCTGCAAATGTCCTCTTCTCTTACCGACCACGTTTCACAGCCTTACAGTAGGACGAAGCGAAGTGCTGTGCAGTACACTCGTCCTTTGGTTAGCAGACGGCGTCATGAGTGATGCAAGTTGGCAAAAGCCAGTCGAGCTTCCTGTATCCGTGCTGAGATTTTGTCAGTCACCAGGCCATCAGCACTGATGAGACTCCCGAGGTAAGTGAAGCGGTCAACACGCTCAACTGCTTTACTCCCTATCATTAGTTCAGATGCTGCTACACTAGATATCCAGTCAAAATTATTTTATAAGATCTCAAGAAAACTCAAATCGAGAACATGGGATTAGCATGATCACATTGTATGTAGTATGGCCAAGAATGGACAGAAACCTTATATTGATACAGAGTAGGAATATGTGTCACCTCAAATATGTGTATAACCATCTATAAGTCTGTCAAGGTAAAATTCCCAAGCACGATTTCCCTTTTCTCAAACAAGACTGACAAGACTTTGTGATCTGATCATCTTTGATGAAGTGATTACTTATCTAGTCAACTTTAGAGACGTTCAGTAAACTTAAATTACGTATCAAATTCCGAAATATTTTATGTACATCCTAGAACAGTGAAAATATTTTTTCATTCTTTAATGTTTTTATCAAGAAATATGAAGTGTTCTTAGCTGTGTTGAACAATAGAATGAGTTGATGTGTGAGTATTCAAATGAAAGTGTTATCATATGTAATTTCCAAATGGTCATTTTGGAACAAATGAATGATTATCAGATGTGTTAATAACAGTCTACAATCTGGAAAAAGTATAAGTTATAATTTTCATGTACATCCTAGTGACTGGTTTGAGAAAAAATTGATTGAATTTTCGGAGAATGACCATATATGGTGTGCGTGACAAGTACCCATCGAAAACAAATTGGTTAAAATGTACTACACTAAGTACATGGAACCACCAGTCAGTAAATCCCATGTTTACCGATGCTGATTCTACCAACAGTGCAAACCGACCATCGATTTTCTTTGATTCTATTGAATTTCAATTTTCTGGACAGACAACAAAGAATACTTTCCAGTTAAATGTATATTACGAAATAATGAGTATGTCTACGTGACACTATTGAAACCTACCGGTAAGCATATATAAATTTAAACATATGATGTTCCATGATAGAATTTTGAAGACTATAAATAACAAAATAATAATAACGAAAATGAAAGGTTTGAGAAATCATGCCGGTTTTATTTAAAAAACATAACTGTCGAGTGATGATTCAGCTTTAAAGAGGAATCTTTTCTGTTCTTCTTTTAACCCGTTTATCTTTATTTCTTTATCAGAACCTCATCATATGCCTTAAATATTATCGATGACATTCCCATGGACTTCTAGCTGTTTTATCCAGGAACAAGTCAAATTGTCTGGCAAACGCCATCAAGATTTTTAGTGGAATGCTTTTATGAAGAGAATGGAATTGGTGAAATGGAAACACTTATTATTGTACACAACTGTACTGAAATCCATTATTCGCCCTGCACGACGTGTTAACGTCACTCGGTTACCTCGGTGGTTTTATCTGCTTTCTAATCGTTTGTCTTGATATCTTTTCGATATCACAAGATCATCAATCAATACACCTCGTCTTCCAATCACAGACTACCTTTTGATATTTGGCCTTAACCGGGATTTAACTTGGGTATATCGCGATAAGTAGTCTCAATTCGCTACAGAATAATACACATTAGTCTAGCGAATTTTTGTTACATACAGCCCTCGATTTATCTTGCATTGATTATCAACCGGTAGTCGTTCTTCTCAATTCAAACGCCGTAACTCGTGCCAATTACTGTGTTGTAAATTAAAGGTTCTAAAACACTTACATCATTATGTCAGCTCCCTATAGAAAACCAGTGTATTGTGCAAAATACTTGTTTTACTGAACAAGCTTTCGCAGCAAATTTGTCAGTAGTTTTAACATTTTTATCTTGCCTGTAACTTGGCATTCTTCATGCAATATCCGATGTCTCCAATATCCAATACCTTTTTGATAAGCAATTATAAGCCAATCGACTTCTTTGAGTTTAATTCTTGTTCTTTCGGAGCGGTTCAAGTTATTTGGTAGTGTCCAATGTATGGGGATCTAGCCACTCGACCACACTTATTCTGGTCAGTTGAATGTTATTGATAAATTATTATGTCCCGTGATCTGAATGCGTGCTTTTGTTTCAGGGCAGTAGGGATTCTGCATACCAGCAGTTATCACACTACCAGGCAGGAGATCAGTTAGTAGCAATATGGATAATCGTGGGGAGAAAATTCTACTGCTAAGAAGATGAAGATTTCAGAAACAAGTAGTAGTGAAGATTGTACGAGAAGACGAAAGTGTAAGCAAGGGAGGGGAAACAGAGATAATGAGCGAGATAGATTGAGTTGGTAGTTTGAGTAAATGACAATAATTACAACTAGCGACCTCGAGACACGCATCAGGCATAGCTGGTCCAACAGTGCGGTGATGATCCGTATGTAAGTGTTTATCAAGTTTCTTGTTGAAGCTATCTACTGAACTGCTTTGTTCACCTCGATTGGGAAAGCACTAAAAGTTGAGGCGACTCTTATTGAGAAAAATTGTGCAGGAACCAGGGTGTTCGCTTTTTGATGAGAAACTTTTCGACCGTTACCCCGGATGTTGAGGTGATGTTCATGTTGGGATTGTTCGTGGTACCTAATATGTTGTATGCTATCATCAGATCACTTTTCGTAATTCGGTAACTCAGAGAGCTGGAGCCTATCTTCGCCAGGTGTTTTCTTCCGGCCCATCACCCATTTACGTGCTCATTTCCGCACTCGATCCAAGAGATTTATGTATCTCTTCACTCACAAACCGTTTGTTCCTTCAAGTTTTAATTTGCAAAGTAGGAGGGGGTTGTTCTTGTAAGGACATAAAGTTACTGCTTTAAACGGTCTTGCTGTACAAAAAGTTTAAATAAAAGCCACTGTCACTAAAACCAAAATTGCGATGTGTAATTTGCCTCCATTGCTTAGTTTTAACGACTCTAACAGAAGCCATAACGCACTGACGAAACTGCCGGTTGCTGTTAACCCCCCAGTATCTGCTAGTAATCCAAATCAGTGGGTGGACGTGAAGAAGGGAAAGAGCAACACCCCAATTCACAAGCAGCTTCCACCCAAGACCAGGGACGACAGATCTAACTCACTTATTTTATTTAATGTCCCAGTGTCGGAAGGAAGCTTGCTAGAAGAAAAGGCTGCCTTCGACAAAGAGCAATGGGATAAACTCTGCACAACCCTCGGAATGTGCGACGTCCCAGCCAAAATATGCCGCCTTTTCAAAGGCCAGAATGTTTTGATAGGAAAACCCCCTCCAATGAGGGTAACTCTTGACTCGGCACGACTTGCTGAAGACATAATCCTTTCATCCCTAGGACCATCGGTCAAATTGTCCCCGTTGATTCGCATCAGGCATGACAAGCCGTGGTCGGTACGTGCAGCAGCCAGAACTGCGCCAGGCACCATGGTAGTTCACGGTATACCCGAACTCACCAGCGGTAACCCGGACGAAGCTCACGAGCACGATGTGCAACATTTCGAGGAACGATCTGCCTAGCCACATCAGATGCTGCGAGAGCCGACCTAGATCTGTGAGGCAACATCAGGGAGGCCAAAATGAACGCACAAAACTGATAGTTAAACTCGGTCAACTACCTCTGGCACAGGACATGATTGAACCAACCGCGCAGGCAAAAAACTTGCAGAGGCCAGTTCCCACAGAACTGGCCGATTCGGTTTGAGTAACTTGTCTGAAAATCCGACAATGGCTGCTGCTGCAAATGCGCACCAGGTGCTGAGACAAACCACCACGTGCCTCTATAGCAACGTAAGAGGACTAAGGGATAAGCTGTTAGAATTCAGAAGTATGTGCTCTCAGATGGATCTGAAGATCATAATCCTAACTGAAACATGGCTATCCCTTGACATTGCAGACGCAGAAGTGAGTTTTCCAGACATGACACTCTTCCGAAGCTATGGGGAACACCAAACTGGAGGTGGAGTAACGATATATATATAGCCACTTAAAAGCAGAGCGACTATACGACACCCAACTAACTGAGTTGAAAGAATCATGTTGGTGTTGTTTCCACTCGAATGGCACGAAATACTTGATTGGAGGGATCTACCGACCTCCTTCGGGTACTAAGGCCCAGAAAAGCAAACTGATTGAGGTAATACTGCAACTGCCACTCCTGGGGTTTGTTCAAATAGTCTTGGCTGGAGATTTAAATACCCAATCTTTAAATCTCAGCAATCAGAGTATAACTTCCACTGGTTGGTTCCGAAGACAACTTGGTACAGCCATTAGAAGCTCTGGGCTGACTGAGCACGTATGCTCACGTATGCTATCCCTTCCTTAGGTGGACTAAGGAAGGAAAGTCCTCAAACCTAGATTATCTGCTAACTAATGACCAGCTCCTAGTTGAGGATGTTCACATCCGCGCACCATTAGGAAGTAGTGACCATGGCTGAGTCTTGTGTAACATGGTGATAAACGAAATACTCCCACAGGACAAATACGAGCTCTATCTTTGCTACAATAGGGTAAATTATACACGCATGTGAGAGGTGCTCCTACATGCCCCATGGCCACGGGAGTGGTAGAGGCTGACAGTAGATGATCACTGGCAAGCAGTGCGAGATATCGTCCAGAACGCTGTCGTAGACAACGTCACACCAAAAACGCGGGAACAGAAGAACCTGGGTTAGGCGAAGAGGAAAGCCTGGCACAAGTGGACGGTCTCCTTGAAGGATTCCGATCGCAGTTCTTACTCGGCATTGAGAAACAGATGCAATACCAAAGTTCGAAGCGACAGGAAACAATTCCAGACGAAGCTAGCCACCAAAATAGAGGCAAACCCGAAAAATCTGTTTAGGTTCATGTCGAAAAGAAAGCCTACCAAATGGGGAAGACCTCACCAACCTAGAGATGGCCGAGATAGAAAGGACCCAGCCTGTTACAGACCAGTCGCACTACTACCAATATTATCAAAAGTTATGGAAGGGCTAGTGGACGAACAAATGAGGGAGTACATGGAAAAGAATAAAATACTCCATGATGCTCAACACGGGTTTCGGAAAGGCAGGTCGTGTGCATCTAATCTCCTCATCGCATGGGACAGTTGGACATCCTGTTTAGACCGTAAAATACCGGTACACGTAGTATCCCTCGACTTTGCAAAGGCCTTTGACACAGTGCTCCACGCATGCCTAATCGAAAAGGTTGTGGAAATGGGCTTCACTGACCCACGCGTATCTTGGCTGAGAAACTGCCTTGAGAATAGAAAGTTTCGCACCAAGGTGAACAGGGTGCACGCGAGTTGGCGAGTATCCACATCGAGAGTTTCACAGGGGACCATCCTAGGCCCACTCCTCTTCCTGATATTTATTAACGACCTGCTAGGCTCAGTTAGCTCACCGGCATTGATCTACGCAGACGATGCGAAGATCTGGAGGTCCATTAGAAGCGAAGAGGATTCGACTGAGCTCCAAAAGGACCTAACATCTATTGAAAAATGGGCAGTGAAAAACGGTTTAAAACTCGACTAACCGGAGTTCCACGTCATGTATTTCCTGCCCCATATGACGCAAACGACCTATACCCTCAATGGAAGTCCGCTCCCTAATGTCTCCTCAGGGCGCGATCCTGGTTTAATAACCACAGACAGCCTCCACACCAGTCCAAACTATGTAGGAGATGCAGCCAATGCAGATGCGACTCTTCACTTTATGCGAAGACAGCTGGATGCTATCACCCCGAAATTATTTTTAACCCTGTTTAAAACGTACGTGCGCCCACACTTGAAGGTTCACAACGTCATCGCACCCCCTCTGCTTAAAAGAGACATAAATCTCTTGGATCGAGTGCAGAGACGAGCAACCAAATGGGTGATAGGGTTGAAAAATAAACCCTACGACGATAGACTCCAGCTCTTGGGATTATTTCCACTGAGCTACAGGAGAATCAGAGGCGATCTGATTATGGCGTACACCATATTAAACACGTCAAACCATCCCAATGTGAGCATCTTACCGATGCATCACCACCACTCCCCTCGAGGCAATCCTTGAAAGATTGCACATCAAAGAGCGAATACTCAGATTCGTGCACACTTTTTCTCATTGCGAGTCGTCGCAACTTGGAATGCTCTCCCAGCCGAGGTAACCACAGCCCCTTCAGTGGACTGCTTTAAGAAGAGACTTGATAATCACGTACTCACATGCGGACTATCATCTCCCTCTTGGACAAGCTGTTCATGACGCATATCTGGAGACCTGCTAGTTGTTATCATTGCCATCACCTCAGACCACTCAATCATTCTATCTCGCCAATTATCTCTGTTTCCTCTCCCTTGCTTACACTTCGGTCCTCTCTCACAATCTTCACTACCAATTAATAAACTAAATTCATCTATATTTTACTCAGTTCTGAAATTTTATTTATATTATCATTAGAATTTTATCCTTATTACCCTTATTACTCTCCACATTGCAACTAACTGATCTCCGGTTTGGTAATGTGACGGCTGCTAGTATCCAGAAACCCTGCTGCCCTGAAACAAACGTTTCATTCAAATCCCGAGACATACAAATTCACAACCAACTGCCAACTGGCTAGAATTAGACAGTCGAGTGGCTAGACCTCCATCCGTTGGACATTACCGAACACCTGGAACCGTACCGAAAAAACAGGAATTAGGCTCAAAGAAATCAACTGGTTTATACTAGCTTATGAAAAACGTATTGAAATTGGATAAGGCTGAGTTGAATTCCATCAACCATACTTTGAACTAAACGCTACATGTCTGCCACCGGGCCAATGAGCGGAAGGAAACTGTCGTAAGTTGCGTGCAAATAACTTATATTTACTAGGACTTCGGGAGAATCTTTGTTTCACACACTAAGAGTCCCTAAGGGGGCTCCAGAAGAAGACTTAAGGAAATCATACAGGAAGGTTAGTTTTACTATGCATTTTCACTGCCCTGTTTAATGAGTTTATGTGCCCACCTCTCTTACAATTCTTTACAATAACATTTTTAGTTGATTTAAGAGTCATGTAACTTCAAGCCCGCCTCACAACTTAATGGAAAGCTTAAATGATGTACAGTGTATATACATACCTTAACGCGATCAAGATGGCATAGATACGTTCATTCTTTAGCGTTTAATTCCTGGGATCTTTATAATCTCTTCCCATATTTCTGGTGTGTTCCTGCTAACTCTGAGTTTGTGCCATGTGTGTTGGTTTCTTCGTGTACTATTACATAGTATATGATTTAAACGTTCACACCTATGCGCCTTCACAATGACTAGCACTCTATCTGTTGATGTCACGGTTGATGCAAATATACCACCAATATGACTCGTTGTTTGGCTAGCCTGCTTATCGTCATTTGGCCATGTTTGCTTCAATGTGATGGTTGGGATAGTATATTGTAATATATTAGCTGGGACAGTTGCTTGCCCAAGTCCCAATACATCAGACAGGTTGGAGAATAGCTAGTACAAATGAGAGCAGTTTGAAGTCCGAGGACAAATGCATAAGGGAATGATGGTAACAAGTCACTTTCCTCAGATAAGTAGCATTTGCATGCGAAGCCACTTAAAAAAGTAGATCCTTAGTCCAGTCCCGAAAAATACTGGATTTCACTTAGCCCATGGACTTAGCCTTTATAAGTATCCACTTTCATGCTAGAACGCTATCCTACCTGCTTTGGTTTATGAAACCTGGTATTATCACTAGCCCTCACATATCGTGCCCCATACTCAAGAACCTGGTGTTTGAGTTAGTCATAATATACTTAAACTATATTTGTTTGACACATCCAAGACTACTCACAAACTATGTAACCAATCTTTGTTAGTTTTTCTCCAAACTACGATCTTGCTCTCGATTGGCAAGATAACTACTAATTCTATTTTATTTCCATATCTAGTGTTGACACTAGAATGTAAAAACCACCCACACACCTCTGAAAATGCTCTAGGTGTCTTCGTCAATCATTACTATTTAATACTCCCTAATCATAACCATCGCGGTAAGCTCAAATCACACTCTAAATGCCAACCAACCATCAGTGCTTACTAGTTAGCTCTCTGGTTAACTGGCACTTCAGTGACCATGTAGTATAAACAATTTTCTCTTTCCATCAGACAGAGACAGATACGACGCAGAACATCATACGTAAGTACATCAATTCAGCTTTCCATACCACATCAGCACAGACGCAACTGTCATTTCAAATCCAAAAGTGATAGCGATAGTAGAAGTATTAACAGTAATGTAGAAGATTAGGGAGCAAAGATATGATTCGAAAAGTATAATTCAGTGAGATAAATTTAGAAATCAAAAGATAGAGATGATGAGGAATTAAGAAGGTTAGAATTTGACAGAACACAATGAATGAATGCACCTGAGCCATGTCGTTCAGGGTCTCTAACCATCGGTTACTTTCGTCTCACGGACCCCAACCAGGCAGCCTACATCTGTCAACATCACTCGGTCCACTTGTCAGTGACTTCATGGATTTGTGTCATGTTTTGGTTAGGCCGCCCCTAGCTTTCTTCAAACCTACTCCCACATCGCAAAACATAGCTCGACGAGGCAGTCGGTGGTTAGGCATACGCAACACATGTTCCAACCACCTCAACTGATGAAGTTTCACTAATTCATTTATTGATTTGCCACCCCTACCTAGAACCCGTTTCCTAACGACAACATTGCTTACTAGGTTGTCCCAGGACATACGAGCGATGCTTCGACGACACTTATGATCGAAGACAAGCAACCTACGAATGTCCTCTACTCTCACCGATCATGTTTCACATCCATATAGTAGGACGAATCGAACTGCTGCGGAGTACACTCGTCCTTTGTTTAGCAAACGGATACTTGGCTTACGCTATAAGTGACGCAAGTTGGCAAAGGCCGATCGAGCCTCCTGTTTCCGTGCTGAGATTTCGTCAGTCACCAAGCCATCAGCACTGATGAGACTCCCGAGGTAGGTGAAGCGGTCGACACGTTCGACTACTTCACTACCTATCACTAGTTCAGGTGCCAATGCAACCCAATCCTGAAGCAACGTTTCGCATTTCGAGGGACATGGGTTGCGTATGCCTAACCACCGGCTCCATCGTCGAGCTATATTTTGCGGTGTAGGAATAGGCTGGCGAAAGCTAGGGGTGGCCAGACCAAAAGATGGCAGAAATGCACGAAGTCACTGACAAGTGGACTGAGTCATGTCGGTAGGTATCAGCTACCTGGTTGAGGTCCGCGAGATGTTAGTAATCGGTGGTTAGAGACCCTGAATGACATGGCCCAGAATTGTTTGCTATGGCTCAGGTGCATTCATTCTTAGTGTTCTCTCAAATCCCAAACTTTTTCATTCCTCATTACTTTATGTTTATCTTTTTAAGTCTATTTCACTAGATTCTACCTCTTGAATAATATCTTCTAATCTTAACCTCTCCGACTACTGCCAGTACCTTTACTACCTCTACTAATATGGGATCTGAATTGACAATTACATCTCTGTGCTAATGTGGTATGTCAACATGAACTGATGTACGTACTTACGAAGTTCTACGTTGCTATTGATTGATTGATTAATATTAATGGTGGGTCTAGTTGTTAGTGTTCATTGGGCTCGTGACTTCCGAAGAAACTCGGCTTTCATCATGAGGCCTGATAACTCTTCCTTCCAACTGCCACGGCAGAGTTTAAATGGTCCGAATTACTTGTTCTGGTTAGCGTTTTTTAGCGAGTTGGTTTTCTACCTGATGGGTTCCCGAATATCAGGCCCATCCCTTCTTCCCTACCTGTTCTTGGGACTGGCAGTAACCGTAAAAGGGGGCCGGATGATGACCCAGCGAGTAAAGTAGTAAATCCTTATCGATCGAAATATTTAAGATATTATATGTAAATAATCATTAGCTATCTCGGAGAGCTAAGATAGCTAAGAACGGCTAGACCAAGATGTTTTATTGGTTCATGAAGATTCACTAACCGTTGGTCTTGATCATATTGGCTGACAGTTCAGAATCCGTTTCACTGGCGCCTGTGTATTTACATCCTGTCGCAATTTAGGTTTCCGGTTATAGTATTTATCTGCATATACATTTTCAGTCTGCCTTCTTCAACCATACTCTCAATGTTCGATTGTTCTCATTATAATTTCGATTACATTATTTCTATCCCATCGTTATATATCTTTAATTTCATCTCGTTATAATGTGGTATGAAAACATGGGTTAGTGAATATTTATGCTAATCTCTATGCTGATGATGACTACTTGACCAATAGAAATATCTAAATGACTTACCACTATATGTAGCGTATGTGTATTATGCCAGTAAAGCAATAAACAATCGTTCACGTATCCTTATGTTTACAATGTGTCTTTTGTTCTTCCTAAAAACAATTTCTAATTATAGTTGGCTTTACAATTCCATCCGGATAAAAATCCAGACAATCCCTCAGCATCTGAAACTGTAAGTGTTAATTTCGCTAAACACTTGACTCATTGTTTCTTTTGTATTTTGATAAACCAATGACGTACTTTGTGTCACGCATAAAAGCCATGTTACTGTCTTTTCAATGAATAAACGAACTGAGCTACCCATTTTATTAGTATAACTAAGATATACATCAGTTTTTGCATCTCAAAATGAGCAGTTTAGTATAAATTTATCGCTCTAAAAGTTATATAAGATAGTTTAAAAGCATAAATTGAGAAAATCAGTGATTATTGTTAACAGTGGTCAAACGAAGGAGGTAAGGTATTAAGCAAACATGATGAATTGGTTGATGAGGTTTTATGTCTTCATTAATTGATGCATATGGGGCGTGTTACGTATACCCAACCACCGTCTACCTTGATGTGTGATTTCGCATTAAGTTTGAGGGGTAACGTCGACAAAAGGTAAGTTTGGTGAAACGAAGATAGAAATATATCCATCACATAACTCAAAGGTTACTCAAATTATACTTTTCTTAATAAGTGTAACTCAATTATTAAATACAGATTTGTTTACTCCACCTTCAGCCACATCATATGAGGGCTAAGATTACTGACTAAACAGAAGTAGATGGAGCGAGGTTCAAACCTACAATGTACTAGTTGAAGTTTTTTAATGAGTATCCATTTATAAATTATGTATATATGCATTTCATTGTCCTATATCCTATTCAAGTTTTGTCTCTAAGTATATATTTCTTTTCTAAATCAATAGTTCAAGGAAATTAATCGTGCTTACCGTATTTTAACTGATCCTGTGAAACGGAGTATTTATGAAAAATATGGAAGTGTAGGCTTGTCTATTGCAGAACAATTTGGTGAAGAAAATGTGAACACCTACTTTGTGCTTACAAATAAACGGTGTAAAGTAAGTCTTGATTCTCGTTTTTAACATGAACTGACGTTTAAAACAATAAGTGCTAGGGTTTCTATTAACTCACCAAGTATTTGTCCGTGTATTTGGCTTCAGGCCACTCTTTGGTAATAATACTACCCTTGATTTTCCAAAGAGGAGTAGAACGACTTTCGAATCCTTAACTTAATAGTGATTAAAAGTCGAAAACGTTAACCATCATCAAGGAAACTGTTTAGTGTGAATATGAACAGTGAAATGTATGTAGGAACATCCAACTGTGGCAAACGCCCAAACAGTATGAAACACATTCTGAATTCAACTATAAAAATTTAATAAAATATATAACTAAATGTAATACGTCAAATTATCTCTCCATGAATCCCATATACCACTAATTGAGACGGATCACACTCAGTGTTTGAATACTAACAACGCGGAATATAGTTAAGAATTGAAACTCTGAAAAATAATACTTTCTTTGTTTTCGCTTTCATGTAAAAGTTTGATTGTTTTAACTGTTTTCTCACAAAAAAGTTATGTGACTCATCTTTTGCCAAGTACAACTTCATATAACTCGGTTTGATGTGGCTAGTGATATTCATCAGTCGAATCAATCAGACGAATGTCTGAAGTCATTTAAAAATATAGGCCTAATTCGAACCTGTTCATCCAATTTTAATTTAAATGTCTTAAACCTAACCAAACGTCATAGGTGGTCAGTAATTAGAGTATTCGACTGTCGACCGCTAAATTACAGGTTCGAAAATAGTCCCACCTTAATGCGGTTTGGGCAACTAGAAAGATAATTTCACTAGAACGTATTTCGAGTGTGAATAACTCAAAGTAAGTAACAAAAATACTATGTTAGAGGAAATCTAACCGAACTTCATTAATCCCAAAGTTGTATTCCTAACAATTCTGAATTAATTGTTCGTAATGAATCAGTCCCGACTAAAAAGTAACGTAATTATCATATATTTTGCAAGTGTTATGATTGTAGTGTTTTTAAATAGTTGTATTAATGAAATCAAACGCATTGTTTAGTATTCAGTCTGTTCCATCCATCATTGGCTCATGCAATTAGTAGTTCAAATTATTCGGATCAATTATTTTGTTTGATGACTAGTTTTGATAGTATTCACTCATTTGTAAATTGACATTTATCGAAATTGAAGAGATACTTGTCATGTCACTACATTATTCGATAGTGTAAGCTGTACATTAAAGGTTAGATAATCTCTAAGCGTTAAGCACGCATCATTGAATATTAAATCGTTTAAAAAATTATTTCAAAAAATAAAAATGTTTTGGTATTCCCAATGTCGTACATACAATTTGAGAGCATAAGAGTCAAGATGAAACCCAAGTGATTTTCATAATTTCTTCAAACTCTTTCTTATCACCTACTTTCACATGAATTCCTCTGCACGATCACTAGACATCGCACTGCAAATGCAGCTAAAAACGGATTAATGCACAAGCCCACTTGTTACCGAATCGTATTATTTTCATATCTCAATTTATGCTACAATTTTGAATGTCAGCATTTATTTTGAATTTCGTTCTGTGAAATATACCTAATTCCAGTTATATATTAAGATTTTGAACTTGAAACAATCTTCTTCTTCGAATACATATTGCAATACATTATGACAAAAAAAAAATTTTTTATGAAAAATAAAGGTGTTCGGAACAAGAATTCCGTTATTTTATGTTGTAAAAAATTCCATTTATTACTGCTACATATAAATCACAATGATCCAATCATGAACAGTTTGTTCTTTGTTATTGGATTAATTAACTTAGTAGTTGATTTTGCAACTTGGTTAAAAATGAGTTGGATAGAAGTGATTGTATTCGTTATTGTTTTATGTATGTTACGGACATATATCTGTCTGTTCCTATTAATCTATATGATTATATCACATTTCTTGGGGTGAAAATATACGTAACATGTGAAAGAAAAATTAGTTTCCGACCAGTCAGAACACAGACAATTCAAATCAATAATTCAATGCATGAACGCCCAAGACTAGGTTTAGGATTTGGAGTTCGGGTTGTGAGTGTTAACAGTAATGGTTAGGAATAGCTTATAAAAAATGCTTTATAGCCAAATAGATGAATATCTATACATTTATTTCTTTAGTTTACTCATCAAATATTGTAGAGAGGTGTGAAAGCAATAAGGTGTTTCCCCTGGTCAACTAGCATCTCCAGCGATGAGTTAGGATGGTGAGGGTTAGGGCTTTTCCCGCTTCAGATCTGCATACACATATAGCCGTTATCTTAACACTATCTCTCTCCATTTCACATCAAATAGTAACCCCTACACATTACAATAAATTTCACTTTCAACACTGTTTTATTTAAAGTTCAATCGTTGAGATTTTTTACAAAAATAGTTTTCCTCTTTAATATTCTGTCATCAGGCTTTGAATTTCACTCATAGAAATTCACTAGCTACTTTTTCTTTAAATGTGATTAATTTGAATTTCTTGATTGTTTTTTTTTTCACTGTTTTTATATTTTTCTTTTAGGCGCTTTTCATTTTCCTCTTCTTGATCACTGGTTGTTTCTTCTGTTTTTGTTGCTTTTGTTGTTTCAACTTTTGTTGTGGTTTATACAAACCGAAACCACCACCTGATGAAGAGGATGTGGAAGCAAAAATGCAACTTAATGTAAGTAAATTTGTCTTGTGTGCTTAGTTGTGAAACACTTTCGTTCTTTATTTCTTCGAAATATCATCGATTCATTTGTACGGTATAAACCTTTTGCTACTCCAGTTGTACTAAAATATTATGTGCGGTAAATAATGGCAATATCAAGTTTAAAAAAAACCATTGAAAATATAGAGGAGAAGCACTGACTTGTCAGTTGTTTCATCCTAATACATAATATATCCACTATCCTACCGGTGCTTGAAGCTATGACTTCCAGGTTTCACAGCGAGTAAGTATCATCACCTGCGAATTACTTACTTACACCTGTCACCCCCCAATGGATCCATAGGTCACCGACCAGTGTTCTCCAACCTACTCTGTCCTGGGCTTTCCTTTCCAGTTCTGTCCAGTTTTTGTCCATTCTTCTATTTCTCGGCGTTGTGTGCATCGATTAGAGCTGCCACAACATATCAACACATTGAGGTGAAATTATCAAGATAAATGCCAGAGTAGTAGAACTAGTAACATTGTGGTGCGCGCTACTTATAAGTAGTATATGACGCGAGTGAAAACGTAATGTCTGGCAGCAGAAGATGGGAGAAGATCAAGAAAGGAAGAGTGGGAACACAATAGAATTTGTATGAAACGCATGAATAGTGAAATGTCAGACAATGGATTAATGATGGATTGATGTTTTGCAAATTAACGGTTTACGATATGGTTTTCCTATTTTACCAATTAACTATGTAATTTGCGATAAATACAATTCGGTTGCCCTCACCTGTGTTCTCCTTCACTACAACATTATCAGTGATAAAACATTGAGCATATTACGGGATGATGATTTGAGAAGAAAAAATAAGTTCGTGGAATTTTAAAAAAATGTATACAATAGTTTTCAAATGAAGATGTAAAATGAATGCATTTGTACTATTGCCACGTGATTCTAAATCATGTCAAACAACATCTCCATCCACTGATTACGATTAATCGTGCAAACTCTCAACCAAGTTGTTTACACCTACCTACCTATCTAACCAACTCGATCATACTTAACAACTGTAGAATAATACATTAAAATAAACTACAGTGCAATATAACTCCTCTTATTTTCTAATATGTGAATAAAACACATGTATCATACAATAATAATAATAATAATACAATTTAGCTTAATTAGTCAATATAGCGCATTATTTATGAATCAAATTTTGTCTTCATACCATGCATATTATTATTTTATATCTTGTAATTAAATATTAATTAAAAAAAATTCTAATCGTTACACTCTGAATATCAACTTCAATAGACTATATGCATATATTTTTTCGCTCACTTTTCAAGGAAGAAGATCTTGACGATGTAACACCAATGCAACAATCAGCTCCACCATATAATCCATCATCATCATCTGGTTTCGGCAGTGACTTCAACACTGGTCCGACATCGATTAGCGGTGATAGATTCCCTTATCCAACACCTGTAACTGTAGCTCAACAACAACCAGTCAGTGGGCGTGCATACTGATTTACAGAGAGAGAAAAATAGAACAAATACTACCTGGCTATCAATTTACATGCATATATATATATATATATATATATATATATATATATATATATATGACAGAAGAAGAAAAAGCACAATACAATACACTTCTCTTTTAACCATTCAATTTCTTACGAGTGAATTATCTGATTTCTCCTTGATACATAATATACTATATTATACACCATACATGTGTGTAAATCCTTTAGTTAGGATAGAACACTTATCATGTGAATTAATCATCATGAAATTGATGATGTTATAACTTTTCTTATTTCAATAATCTGAAATTAATGCATTATCACATAAGTTTTATTGATAATAAACTTATTTACTGATTGATCAATACAATGGCATTTACTTTAAAAGACAATCGTTATTATCTCGTAGAGATCTCTTAAAGGAGAGTGAAAAAAAAAACATGAAACCTATGACTATTATCCTATGCACACACACACACACACAGGAAACCGCTTCTAACTGTTGTTCAATAATAACCTGTTATTGTTATTCACATCATCATGGTCTGTCTACTTAACACTGATAAATCGATATAACGAATATATTCATAATAGCTAGTAGTTAATTATCATATAATAACAGAAATTAATGGAAAATCATTATTACTACTGCTATCAGCATTGTTTAAACATTCCAAGGTGAAGACACTCATTATTGTTATTTACCATTGTCTATTCTATTCTATTGTCTTCTCTTCGATATTTTGATTGCTTTTACTTGAGTTTCTTTTAAAAGGAGTCAGTGACTGTGTGTCTGAGTGTTGTGTTGTCTTCTTCCGTGGATGATCGAGGAATCCCAATCACCCTTGACATATTCAGTTTCTTTTTCATCAGTGATTGTATTTCGTTGTTTTTGTTGTCGTTTTGTAAACCATTGAGATCAGATCATTTTTTTTCCATGTTTGTGCTTCCACTTTGTTTGACCATTTCCTGTTCCTCATTCCAGACCATTGTTAATTTAATGCAAATATGTGTAAACAAACTTCTTGAAGCTGCCCATCCATCAAATCGCACTTATTTAAAATGCAGGGGATATTTCGCTCTTAGTCAATTTCATTATCTCTCTCATTTTATTTATAGTCTTTTTTTTCCTGCTATCAGTTAATAAGTGTTAGTTTTCTCTGTTTATTTTATCCTTTTTTTTGTTAATGGTCTTATTGACAAAAGATAATCGCTTGGTTATCTGATTATTATTATTATTATTACTATTTCCCATCGAAATTAGCCTGATCAATATCGACATTATCATTGTGTATCTGTCATACTGTTTTTTTTTCTTTCTGTCACTTGTCTCTTATCGATATTTATTTAAGCAGTTCGCATATTTATATATATATATATATATATATATATATATATATATCTTTTTTCGTTTTTACTTTTACGTATTATCCTCGATTGAATTTTCTTCACAATGTTTTCCTATTTGTCTCCACTAACTTTTCTCTGTTCATTTCCTTTCTGTTATCGTATTGTTATCATATATCTTTGAGACAATCAATTATCTATGAATGTAAAGTGTAAATGTGCAATCAACCATTTTAATAAAGTAATTAGTATTGTAAAAAAAATCAGAACATTGTTTACTCAGTTACCATTATTTGTAGCAACAACAACACTAAGAAACAATTGTCAAAACTACTAAACTGTGGCAAATGAGTTTTCTAAGTGACTGACTGGACTGACATTGCTTCAGTAGTACCATGAGTATTTTTGGAATGATCCATATTTGCATAAAATTCGAAAGTCTGAAACTGGTTTTTGCTTAATAGGAAAACTGGGACATCGTTTATTGAGAATGGATAGTGTAACGAATTTTGATTCCAGTACTGTTCATAGGATACTGAGAACCATCTACAATTAGAAGAAAACAAAGTCATATAGTATGGACTAACAAATAAATGTGTTCTAATGTTTATCGAACGTACTTAAATAAACAGAATAAATCGGTTAACTGGTTCCGTGTTCTCATTGGGTATTGGGGGTAGGAAGATCTACGTGTAATAATCAGGTTTTAGGATATTAGGTCATTGTTAATGGTCTTTATTATTGTTGCCGGTTTGGCGAAGGTCATTAGTATCATTAAAGTAAGCCAGCTCATCTTGGAGATGGATTGTGGCTGACAGTAAAATTCAGGGTCTGACAAGCTTATCTAGTGAGAAAACCAATAATAAAACTCCGCCAGTAGAACCTTCGGGGCTACTGCCGGTCACAAGCCCGGGTAAAGGAGGTGGGTTGGGCATGGGGTTGGTAACCCCATTCCGTCAAAAAACTAACTTGCAAAAAACACTAACCAGAAAAACTAATTCAAACCATTTTAACTCTGCCCTGGGAGTTGGAAGAAGAATTATGACGTCGCGTGATGAAAGCCGAGTTCCCTTGGAAGTCACGGGGCCGATGCCTCTTCTGACAACCAGAACACCCATTTTTTTAGGTACATGGAACGTTCGTACATTGTGGGAGACTGGAAGACTATTTCAAGTTGCGGCAGAAATGAAAAGATACAACCTCGAGGTGCTCGGCATCAGTGAAACGCATTGGACACAAGTAGGACAACTGAGACTAGCTTCAGGGGAACTGCTGTTATACTCTGGTCATGAACAGGAAAATGCTTCACATACACAAGGAGTTGCATTGATGCTGTCCAAACATGTACAAAAGGCACTGATAGGATGTGAATCTCATGGACCCAGGATCATTAAAGCATCCTTCAAAACAAGGAAAGAGGCAATCTCGATGAACGTCATCCAATGCTATGCACCTACCAGTGCTACTGTGACGACGTTAAAGATCAATTCTACGAAAGGCCGCAGTCAATCGTTGGCAGATGCTCACCAAAGGATTTCACGATTCTTATGTGAGACCTGAATGCCAAGGTTGGAATGGACAACACTGGATATGAAGACATCATGGGACGACATGGACTGTGAGAAAGGAAAGAAAACAATGCGAGATTTGCAAACCTATGTGCCTTCAACATACTGGTCATCGGTGGCACAGTATTCACACACAAGTGCATACACAGAGCCACATGGATTTCATCGGACCACACTACTCAGAACCAAATTGACCATGTCTGTATCAACAAAAAGTTCAGAAGGACCATGGAGGATGTGAGAACCAAGAGAGGAGCTGATATAGCCTCAGATCACCATTTGCTGATCGTCAAAATGAAACTGAAACTAAAGAAGCACTAGACAACGGGTAGACAACATCACACGATACCGTAAAGCTCAACGAATTCAAGAAAACCCTCACCAGGCCTTGCAGGATCTACTCAGTGGAGACGAAGCGACATTGGAGAACAATTGGAAAGGGATCAGATAGGCAATCACTTCAACATGTCACAAAGTTCTAGGTCACAACATGTACCATCATAAGGATTGGATATCTGTTGGTACTCTTGCAGAAATTGAAGAAAGGAGGAACAAGAAGGCAGCAATTAATGTCAGCCGAACAAGAGCAGAGAAAGCTACCACACAAGCTGCATACACAGAAGCAAGCAGGGAAGTGAAGAGGAGCATCAGAGCTGACAAACGAAAATATGTGGAAGATCTATCAATGAAGGCGGAAAAGGCTGCAAGAGAATGAAACTTGAAACAATTGTACGAAACAACAAAGAAGCTGGCCGGAAACTATCGTAAACCAGAACGACCAGTGAAAAGCAAGGAAGGTAAAGTAATCAGCAACACTAAACAACAGCGAAATAGGTGGGTAGAGCACTTTAAGGAACTATTGAATCGACCAGTTCCACTGAACACACCCAACATCGAAGCGGCATCCACGGATCTCCCAATTAATATTGGCGCACCTACGATTGAGGAGATCAGTATGGCCATCAGACAAATCAAGAACGGCAAAGCAGCAGGACCAGACAACATTCCAGCAGAGGCAATGAAAGCAGATGTAGAAACAACTGCGAAAATATTTCACAACCTCTTCAAGAAGATTTGGGATGAGGAACAAGTACCATCAGATTGGAAAGAAGGATACCTGATCAAAATACCAAAGAAAGGCGACCTGAGCAAGTGTGAGAACTACAGAGGCATCATTCTTCTTTCAATACCAGGCAAAGTCTTCAACAGGGTATTGTTAAACAGAATGAAGGACTTCGTAGACGCCCAACTTCGAGATCAACAGGCCGGATTTCTTAAGGATCGATCATGTACTGACCAAATTGCTACATTACGGATCATTGTGGAACAATCAATTGAATGGAACTCACCACTCTACATCAACTTCATCGACTACGAGAAGGCATTCGATAGCGTGGATTGGAAAACACTGTGGAGGCTTCTTCGACACTACAGGGTGCCTGAGAAAATAGTTAACATCATACGGAATTCTTATGATGGATTCAACTGCAAAACCGTACATGAAGGACAGCTAACAGACTCCTTTGAGGTGAAGACCGGTGTCAGGCAAGGTTGCTTACTCTCACCCTTTCTCTTTCTCCTGGTCATCGACTGGATTATGAAGACGTCGACGTCTGGAGGGAAGCACGGTATCAACTGGACAGTTAGGACGCAGCTTGACGATCTGAACTTCGCAGATGACCTGGCTCTTCTATCGAACACGCAACAACAAACGCAGGAGAAGACGACCACTGTAGCAGCAGACTCTGCAGCAGTTGGTCTCAACATACATAAAGGAAAAAGCAAAATTCTCCGATGCAACACAACATGCAGCAACCAAATCACTCTTGATCGAGATGCCTTGGAGGACGTCAACACCTTTACATATCTGGGCAGCATCATCGACGAGAAAGGTGGATCCGATGCAGATGTCAGGGCACGGATTGGCAAAGCAAGGGCTGCATTTATACAGTTGGAAAATATCTGGAACTGCAAACAACTTTCAACCAAAACCAAAATCAGGATTTTCAATACAAATGTGAAAACAGTTCTACTGTATGGAGCGGAAACATGGAGAACTACCAAAGCCATCATCCAGAAGATACAAGTGTTTATTGACAGTTGTCTACGCAAAATACTTCGGATTCGTTGGCCAGACACCATCAGCAACAACGAACTGTGGGAGAGAACAAACCAGTTTCCAGTAGATGAGGAAATCAGGAAGAAGCGGTGGAAGTGGATAGGAAACACATTGCGGAAAGCACCTAACTGCGTCACGAGACAAGCCTACACATGGAACCCTCAAGGCAAAAGGGAAAGAGGAAGGCCAAGGAACACATTACGCCGAGAAATAGAGAAAGACATGAGAAGAATGAACAAAAATTGGACAGAACTTGAAAGGCAAACCCAGGACAGAGTTGGTTGGAGAAAACTGGTGGGCGGCCTATGCTCCATTGGGGGTAACAGGCGTAAGTAGTAGTAAGTATGGTCGGCAGATCGAATGAAGTATTCATGAGTAATTAGTATACATATGTCTTTCCATCTGATCTAGATACGAACATCTAGGTAAGACATTAGCCAAGTACATATTCATTTATTGAGATGTTTTGTTCTGCATCTATTGCCTAGCGTTTGGCTTTGGGATTGCATATGATCACAGGTACACGATAAACCTGAATCCACTCAGCCCGTCATAAACCATGATATGGGATTTCAGTGGAACACCAAAACAAATAATATTTGGTCTTTTGATAGTGTTTCATTCTTTTGTCGATCGTCATAGATCTAATAAGATGGGATATATGTCCATGGAATTGTAGCACATCCATTACCTAATGATCAATATATATGCAATCTCAAGGATTTTCGAGCATTTTTCCGTTCATTTAGTAGGTAATTACTGCATATGAGAGCATAATTTCCAAAAAGGATTTTATTTCAAGCGCTTACCTTCACCTTATTGGCTTTTCTTTCACCTGGCAAGTTGAGATATGCTACAGTGAATTGTTCGCAGAAGATATATGTAGATAACTTTGGATGATTGAAATCTCCAGTGAAAATTGTGCTTTCTCATGTAGCGATCACGAACTAACAGCGGTAAAATGTTAGATATTATAGTTTCATTGAACATCAAGAACGAACGACCTCATTCAATCTAATGTGAACAAAGCCAGTCAGTCTTACAGTCCGTTTCAACGCATAACTTGGTACATGCATCAGTCGAGTTGCCATACCATAGGAAACTGATAAACCAAATCCAAGAATAGTAGAGGTAGTAACAGTATTTGTAGCAATAGAAATGATTAGTCATCGGAGGTAATATTCAAGAAAATATAATTCAGTGAAATAAACTTAAATGAAGAAAAAAGTTATGCGGAATTCAGAAGATTAGAATTTGGGGCAACACAAAGAATGGATGTACGTAAGTCATTGCAAACGATGTTGAGCCATGCCATTCAAAGTCTTAAAACACTGGTTACGATTATCACGCTAACCCCGACTGGGTAATCTGCACCTATTACCATGGTTCTTCCAAAATGTCAATGACTTCATGGACTGGTAGTATCACGGGAACAGGAGTAAGTAAGTAAATCTTTTTGGCTCCTAATTTTTGATTGATATTCTGGAAGATGTTAAAGAAATTGTCGACAAATGATTAGATGATGATATTTTGTACAAGAATTATATGAAGACCCTGAGACGTTTGAAATAATACACAATCTACTGGCTAAACAACGTGATGAATTAACCATACTCATCAACTGACATTATTAACGCAAAATATTTTACTAAAATTTACTCCTAAAATGTAATTACCAGATCAGTACGCAGAAATGAATTTTCACAATTTTTGATAAAGTTTTCAATGTGCGATTGAATTTTTGATTTGATTTTGACACTGAAGTAATTGATTATGATCGTTACGTGTAAATCATTGACTTACCATATGAAATTAGCCTGAATGAGCGTTTCAGACGTATCACATTGACTAAATTCTAGTTTCTGTTGAAAGGATATAAGTTTTAGATTTTACTATTCACACCCGTCAAATATTCTCTTTTCCGAGTTTACTTATACCTGTGAACAAGTACTTTCGTGCATGAACTTCAGCATATTGACCTTAACGGACAAGCAACAATGTGGAATCCACCTTACTAGTAATGATTGATAACAAAAATTTCGGATTACAAAGAAGTAGTGTGAAATTATACACAATTACACTGATCTTAAATAACATCATCAACTCTGATAAATAAAGATAAATAAAATCATTTTGGAGTTTTTGTATGTGCTTTAACTGAACAAAATATTGATATACTACTACTACTACTACTACTACTACTACTACTACTACTACTACTACTACTACTACTACTACTACTACTACTACTACTACTACTACTACTACTACTACTACTACTACTACTACTACTACTACTACTACTGCTACTACTACTACTACTACTACTACTACTACTACTACTACTACTACTACTACTACTACTACTACTATGACTACGACTACTACTACTACTACTACTACTACTACTACTACTACTACTACTACTACTACTACTACTACTACTAGTGATATGGATATTTGTTATAACTGAACACATAATTTATTATTTACCGGTAACTCAAAACAAACTGAACTATATGTGATTTACTTATCTGACTAATAAAGTTGTTTCTACTGAAAGAAACAGTTTCCCAACTTCCGAGTTAGTTATATATTGGTGAATTTTCACACTATTTTATGTCAAATCGTTCAATAAAGTGAAAACTGATCTAAATTTTAACAGAGAAATAGGGAAATTTTTTAGTCACCACTAAATATGAATTAACACTGAATAAGTTAGATAGTTACTTCAATCGTTAATTGTAATTCAAATGGATACAACTATTAATGAAAGTTTATTTTTAATGAATTTCGGAAAAATGTTATTGTCTTATAGTATGATTATTTGGTAAGGATGTAGATGGAAAAGGGTTATGTGAATATATTGAATTTTCAACAAGTTTTTGTTGAATTTCTGAGAAAGCATAATATTTTTCAACAACCTTTGCATCTCTCTGACTGATTTATCTGATTGGTAGTCTGACCTAATATTAGTCAGATCAACTAAAATGTGATTGGCTATTGGAAGGTAAGCTTATGTTATCAGCCTAATATCATTCAATCGATCAACGGTTGGACAGACATTGATGAATTGTACAAAAGTGATTGTGTTTTTGTATCACAGTTTTAGCCATGCGAACTTCCTTTTTAGTTCGCAACTGAGTTAAATACGTACTATTCTGAGTTAGTGAAACAATATATTCTACTTATTCAGTCATTGCAGATTTAAACAATCATCGTGTGGTAACTCAGCCATATTAAAGCAATTTGTTTGCCAACTGTACCTATTTAACATAAAATTAAAGTTAACTTTGTTAGTGATTGACGGTTGGTTTTTTTTGTTTTAAGTTATAAACCGAAATCAAGAGATAATGTAACTTTCTGTGTGCCAAGGTCAGGTCGAAATCTCTTGATGACAGTTGCCTCTGCAAAGCGGAACAAAAGTGATTCACTCTGCCTGTGAATCTATTTTAAATGCATCGGAGACAGTCATGGTTGTGCCCACTATCCATTAAATATTTAGCGATCACACATGCGAACACTTCACTTCCTTTCAGAGAACTTAGGAACTTTGGAATATGTTCGGAAAATATTGTAGATGCCCATCTTTCAGTCCTTTCTATGTTATTATTTATTACTATTCCTATTCTGCTTCAATAATCTGTTTAGTTTTACACTTTTTCACACACAATCTTAATCCATACATATTTTAACCCAACTTTTTCTTTCATGAATGATGAATAAGTAGTGTTTGAAATTATTCAGTTGTACGCAGAGATTCAATATCATCGTATTTTCAAGGCTATGATTAACAACAAAATATTTGATGTTCACAAAAGGCACCGTTTTTCTAATTATTCAATGGACTATTGTTGTATAATAGGGTGTAATTTTCATCAATAATTCACATCATCCACATCTGTCAGCCATGAACAGATTCAATTTAGCTCAACATGATAAATGAAAAGCACATCACTAGTAAACGGTAAGATTTGCAAAATATTTGGTGAGAATGTCAGAGGCCTATGCTTCATTGGGGATAACAGGCGTAAGTAAGTAAGTACACTCGTTGAACACTGAATAGGTTGCAACCAGCTTCAGGCATTTGAAAGAAACCAAAGTTAAATCTGCCTGAAACTAAAATTCTAAGGAACTTCAGACTAACAAATTTTTGGATAAGTTTAATGACTCTTCAATATTAGTCAACCTGATGAAGTTAATAACAGTATGTTAAATGCACTTAAGGTTCTACTTTTAGGGTAAAAAGATTACGTGTACAAAATGTTAAATGAAATACGAATTACTGATTGATTGTGAGCAATATATCTAAATTCAGCACCCATATAAATCACTATCTAGAATATTATTATTTTATTGAAACCTGTTGCAAAGACTCATCTTGCCTCACTAGAGACCTTGTTCCTAATTTGATGTCTCTGAATTTTCTTTGTCCACCAGCAAAAATGTTTGTACTGTTATTTCGATGAGACAATGACAGCATCAAATTTTTTGTATTTCTCCTATGGCATTTTTTTCGCTTTATCTTAAACACTTATCAATGGCCTTGATATTTATGCAATGTAACTATAAAATCTACTTAGTCAAACTAACATTACCCAGAATATGATGCGTTTTTATAATTATGAAATCTACATTGAGGAATATCTGAATAATTAGGGAAAAAATGGTCATTATCATTTCTAACCAGAAAATATTAGTAATTAACTGAATTGAATTCTACTATATTTAATGATAAATAGATAAAGTTTTCTTAATTTGAAGCATCTGCAATTTAAAAATATGAATGAGTTTATATATCCGTTTTTCAGTGTTCAATACGAACACAATATCAAGCATTTTCAAGTATTTTTGGATATTTTTCCGCTTTATTTAGTCAGTGAGCGTTGCATATAATGGTACAATTTTTTCTGAGGATTTCAGTTCAAGCTCTTACTTTCACATTACTTGCTTTTCTTTCATCGAGCAAGATGAGATTTGCTACAGCGGTTTGTTCACAGGAGACACTTAGATAGTTTTAAATTACTGAAATGAAATACTCAGGCAAAAACAGGCTCTCATACGCACCAATCACTCACTAACTAAGCGGTAAAATGCTAGAAATTGCACTTTGGCTGAACATTGAACAAAGAATGAATAACCCTATGCCAAAATTATTACATATCTCAGATTCACGTATATGCAAACCGAACGACTCACTCAAATAGTACCTCTCATATGGTCACTTATAGCTATCATCTACATAGGAAAAACGAATTTGTTATTATAATCTTCAACAGATATAATAACAGTTGCATTCATGTTTAAACTTGTACTCATTTTATCCAATTAATTCTATTCGATTTACATCACTTTTCATCTATTCTCTGCAAATAAGTGTTGACTTGTAAAACTATTTGTTCTTCCAAAAAACTACCTTCTATGAAGTCGAAAAACATCACGCGAAAAAATTCAAAACTTCTGTAGATTAATTTCTATTTAGTACTCATATATTTAAATGTAATTATAAATTAGATGTGTAATTTATTTATTTCAAATATTTCCATCTTTTGGAACTTTGATAACGGATATAACTATATTGTTCACTTATACACAGACTTAAGCTGCATACAAAAAATATGAAGAATGCAATGAATATGATAAACAAAACAAAACAAACACGTAATTGATAATTGATGTAGTATAATTGAGGAAACATGATCTGTAAACAATATAAGATTGTGAATAGAATATCAATACAAAAATGGATTCAAGTTTAAAACCGAAAATAGCCTCAGTGTACATAAAATTAACAGAGAGCATAATAATATGTCATGTTCATGTCGTGTTCATGAATCCTAAAAAAAGAAATTAATCATGAAATTTCAGTCTAATTTCGATAAATTTCCACTAATTCTTGTAATTGCAATTTTTTCTCTTCTTGTTTTGCCTATACTTTTTTAAAAGTTTATCACTATTATCTTGCAGTTCTCTTGTTTCTCAGAACTCCTACTAATCAAGCAGTCATCTATGAGGAACAACTGAAGGTGACCATAGCTCAAATAAAGACGATTACAATATGAATTTAGCTGAAAATTCTGCTTTTTCTCCTTCATGTCAACTATTCTGGAGGGAATATCCTTTTGTCTCTTTTTGTATATTATATTTTGGCCAAATATCTACATTTTATCTCCACCTGAACTCTTTCCCTGCATTATAATCATGGTCTTTAACAGTTTTCATCAGTTGTTCCTAACTGTTTTTCATCAATCGCATTTGCATGTTTTTAGTTGATTTTTTAATTTTCATCTCCACAGTTTTGTGCGACCGTATCGGGGCAGCTTATTCTCCACTTTTCACTTCATTCTGGTAGTTGATTGAATCTTGAAAATCTCAGCATCATAATAAAAGTACAGAATGTAATGAATACGTTGGACGCAGCTAGACTATTTGAACTTGGCTGACGACCCAACCCTTCTGGGTCAAAATATAAGGGGATGAAGACAAAAAATTTTACAACAATTTCCCTAGCAGTAGGACCTAATGTTTAAAACATAAAGGTGAAGATTCCAAGATATGACATCGCAGGCACCACTCAAATCATTCTTGCGCGTTAAGCTCTGAAAGAGGTAGAAGGTTTAAAGTACCTTGATTTGATATATACAAATGAGCAAAACAAATGTAACATTCTTACAACTGAAGAACATTAGAAACTCGAAAGAACTACCACCTAAAACCAAAGTTGGAATTTTCAGTCTAAACTTCAAGACAGCTGAAGCTTGGAAGGCTACCACAACCATCATCAAAAGAGTACAGGTGATTGTAAACAGTAGTTTACGCAAGATACTTTAGATTCCTTTAATAAAAGCTATCATTAACAACCTACCGTGACAGAGAACTAACCAGGTTCTAGTTTTGGAGGAAATTATCAAACTACAATCGAAATGGATAAGTTATACATTACGAAAATCTCACTAATAAATTGCGAGACAAGCTCGACCTAGAATGCTCAAGACCGAAGTTAAAAAGGTAGACCAAGGAACACACTGCTCCGAAAATCGAAGACAGATATGGAAAAGACAAATCATGTTACTGCATAGTAATACTAGACACTAAAACAGTCAAAAAGCAACCAAAAATGATGATAGATCAACTCAACTTGCTCTTAAAGTAAATAGTCAAACATGAGATGATAATTATTTTCTGAGGTGGATAGTGGATAACAGTGGGATTCGGGATGCGCGTTTCGTCCTGAGAGGTGAGCGTATGATACGAAAGTGTCATGCTTATGAAAAAAAATATGAATATCGTATAGGCGTGGACACAACTGGAAATGGTAGCATGCGATTATCAGCAAATTAATAAGCTTGTCGAAAAAATAAAATATATTTATGGGATGATTGTCTGGGCGTAAAATAACACGTTCGTATGAATGAAAATAAGGTGTGATATATCGCTCATTATGTGTTTGACAACGAAATAAATCGCGAAAGTAGGGCG